TTGACCTCTCTTTTTTTCCTTTTTTGTGCCGGATACTCCGATACTGGCCGGATCCAAATATTGTTGTTATTAAGTTTTCTACATTACTGTAAGTTATCAATTAGTATAAATCTTATACTGTGTGTAGAAAATTATCAGTTCTTTCTTTTTATAGGCTTGATATTATCTCAAATTTTATTAGGAAATTTTGGTAAAAACTTTCAACCCTCCCAAAGAATGATATTTTAGAAAAATATATATTATTTATGAATCAATAGCATTTTCCTTTTTCTGCTATTTTCCTTCTTTTTTTGAATAAATATCTTCTGGACCTGGCTAAATTTGTGATTTTGACAAATGGTGTAAGGAGGAGGAACTCCAAAAATTGAGAAGTGACATTACTCAAAACTTCTTTCAAGTTTCGACAGGTGAAGGAGATAAGTGTAAAAGAGAAACAAAACTGATTGAATTCATTCATAATAAGCAATGTGAGATCCATAACATAAGAAGTATATTTAAAGAAAAGAATCTCCGACAAATTCATTAATTTAAGATAAAAGACGCTTCTCCTATAGGTTAACTCAAAATTCAACCGCAAAAAAAAGTTCCACAAACCAAATCACTTCTTCGACTTCTTCTTGGTTGCCCTGCAAAAGAAACACAAAAACCCAAAATGAATCTTCTTTTTGACTATCTCCACCTACTTTAACCATCCAGACAACGGGAACAAGTTATTTACTCTGCTTGTTGAGGTGCTGGCTCAGCAGCAGGAGCTGTTTCTCCTCCTCCAGGTCCCTGAAATTGCCAAGAGTACTAATGAGATTGTTGTATACCTAATGCTGATGTGACCAAAATATAAAAACTAACATGATACAGATACATAATTGGCTTGAATTTTTTTTCACCTGAGCTAATCTCTCCTCTCTTCTGGCAAACTTCCTCTCCCTGCTAGCCTTGTTCTTAGCGCGCTTGGCCTCAAACTGGTCAGAAAGAGTCTTTTCTCTTGCCTTCTCAGCCTTCATCTTGTGGATGCTCTCCATCAGCACACGCTTGTTCTTGAAAACGTTACCCTTCACTTTCATGTACATGTCATGGTACATGTGCCTGTCAATCTTCTTTGACTCACGGTACTTGCTCAGGAAACGCCTCAACACCCTCATTCTCCTCATCCACAGAATCTTGGTTGGTAGCCTTGCCTCTCTTGTACCCTTTCTCTTACCTGGAAAACATTAATGTTCATCAAAACAGTAATAATCAGAGAGAGAAAAAAAGATATACAAAGCAGGAAAACTCATTTGGCCTTTACCGTATCCAGAGTGACGACCCTTCCTCTTGGCCTCGTTCAAAGCCCTAGCCCGAGAACGCGAGTGGATCTTGGTAGGCTTCCTGATAATGAAACCATCTTTCACAAGCTTCCTAATGTTCTGCCCTGTTACAGTTAATCCAATAATGTATTAATTAACAAGAATTTCAACTCCACTGTTAAATTGGATCCCAAATAAATAAAATGCATCAATCCGAATAGCTCATCTCTGTTAGTAATTACCCAGTTTAGAGAGAGGCAAGCTAGCATAAAATAAATAGACCATCTGAAAACTTAATTTCGTATAATGACATTTATCAAATTCAATCGCTTATTAGTTCTACTTCTACGGTACTTAAATGCAGAAACTTCCAACTACACAAGGCCTACACACTGAGAAATGCGATCATATATGTGACTCAGAACTCAAACGAACTCATCGCAGCTCTAATTCAGACGAGATAAGTCTCACAACATCGTCATCATACTTTAATTTATCACAGTACAGTGAGAAAATTACGTTCCACTCACTTCATGAATTAACCTAACACCAATCCTAGAAAGCCTAGCTCAGAAATGGGGACCTATCCGTGTCTAATCACTCACAAAAAAAAAAAAACACAATCTCTGCGATACTCAAACTATAAACCAATCAAGCTCTGATATAGTAAAAAGCAAAAACATACTGGAATTGGCCATAGAGATATCGCCAGACTCATTGGGATCGAGCCAGACTTTTCCCTTCCCGCATTTCATCACGGATGCGGCGAGCCGCTTCTGGAGCTTGAGCGACACCATAGCTTCTCCCGGTCTTCCTTCTCCTCACCGCCTCTCTCCGTTAGGGTTTTTTTTTTGTTAGGGCAAAAAAGAAAGGACCACTTATAAATCAAAAGCTTATCAAATCCTTAGGGTTTTTGGGTCTTACTCAGTTAGTTCCCCTCAAAGACCCACTACACCGATATTTGTTTGGGCTAGTTCGGCCCGTTTAATTTTAAATTGGGACTATATTAGGCCCATTAAATATATTTTGGTTTTTGAAAAATAAGTACGAAGTACAAATCATTTATTTTCGTCTACTATAAAGACAATGCACGATATTTAATATTTTAGAAAATTATTAACAAGTTACAAGCTGGTTTAAAACTTTTATGAATATTAAAAAAGAAAAAAAAAAATACAAGGATAGTGGTTGCCACCACGTATTTTTTAATGAAAGAAGATTACACTGATTGGGGGAGAGATACAAAAGAATAAAAGGCCCTTAAACAAACAAACAAAAAAAAAAAGAATAATGCGTATATACATCGCATAATACATTTACAATACCTATGCATTGACAATAAAATAAAAGAATATACAAATCCATACGCACACGGATTGCATTATTTGTTTGTAAGTCAAATAAAATGCGATATAGAATCAATCATTTTCGATTATTCCAAGTTGGGGGAGAAGAGAGGACTGCTTTATTACAAAAAAAGTTACCACACAAAGATGGTCAAAATATGGAGACTAAGGTTGATCTTGACGACAGAACACAAAGGAAAGAACAATTTTGACAAATAATGAGTTTTTTGTTTTGTTTTAGGCATAGTAATGTCATCAATGTTCAAATTATCTACACTAGGGCACACATTAACATCACTGTGTGTGTTTTTTCACCTTTTCCATATATCATTTTTTTGAATTTGGGTATATGACCGACCAAACTGCATGGTTAAATGTGACTAACTAATTAATAAATATATACAATATCAAATTAATCTTTGCAACGACTGATCACTTATATTATAATATATGGGAGATCAAAGTCGAACCATAAATCAAGAACGAAAGTGAGTTATTAATAGTAAAACTCGAAGAAAATTAACGAGACTTTAGCAATAGATTGTTTTACTCGTTATAACATTGCATAGCCAACCTCAACAAATTGTTTTATGCTATTTTACGTAGAGAGATATACTAAATATTTTAATTATAAGTCTAATCATTTAGATGATTTGTTTGGTTTATCTGAATTTGAGTAATTAAATAAGAAATCACACCGAATAGATAGATGCGTTTTGGTATAATTAAAATGGCTAATTAAAATAATTAAATTAAGTCTGAAACGTCGAAAACAAACAAAATTTAGACAAATCTCTCAAAAAACAAACAAATTAGATTCTGTGCAATCTTCGAAACATTGGCGGGACCCTCTTTAAATTCTTATTACACCAACTAGGCTTTATTAGAGAGGTTCATGCATCTACCCAAAAAAAAAAAAAAAAAAACCCCTATCGACATTATATTTAAGATACGTCGTACGAAAACAAAAACAAATGGGAATTGGTACGACATTATTTAATTTATGAGTAGTTTCTTTTCTTTTTTCCTTTTTTTTTAGAGATTGTTCATCTGTAAGTTATTGCTAGTTTAGAAATCTATACATAAAAATGAAGATAATTCAGAATTCCAATTTATTTTTTCTATAGAGAGTAACGGATCAAACCTTTTCCATTGTATATAAGTGATGAAAAAGAAAATACTCATATATATCATTATACAACCTTTTTTCTTAGACAGAAACAGGGAAATAATACGCAATTGACACAAAAGCACAATCGCTGCATTGGTATTAGCGCTTCTCTCTCTCTTGTGGGCAAATTTTAGATCTAGAGTTTTCTTCTTCCTTCCTTTTTTCCGATCAGTGCTTCATCTTTGGCCAAGGTCAATCGATTGAGATCCATGGGTGAGCAGCTCCTCTTCTCTGTCTGCGGTGGTGTGGTAGCCCCTTCGATGTTGTCGTGGCTGTGGTGGTGCGATTGGAGTTCTTTGTAGCGGTGGTTCCCGTTTTTGAAGACGGCGGGGATGCTTCAGAGTTCTTCTTGGCTCAGTCGCCTCTTCTATGAGCTGGGACAACGGCGGAAGTTGGTGGGGCTTAGGAAGGTTTCGCGTTTTGATGTGGGAGTTAGCGGTAGATATGTATGATCTTAGATGGCTGATGCGGGTTATTGGTTGCAGAGGGTTTGGTTTGAGCCGCCGCTTTCTGTTTCTGCCGTGTTTGGTATCTCTCCGTCCAGATCGAGGAAGAGTTTGCTCGGATCTCGGTAAACTGCGGTGAAGGAAAGAGAAGGTTAGATCTGAGAGTGGCGGATTGCTAGGTTGGGATCTGCCACCGTGGAACCGTGTTGTCGGGGTGACTAGCTTTCCGGGAGACTTGTGGTGGGTCTGGTGCGGCGGAGGAAAGGGATCAAAGATGGAAACCGGTCTCTTTCGTCCATGGTTTTCGATCCTTCGTCGTGGCCGCAAAGCTGTGATTCTTGAGCCCGCCGGATCTCAGGCTCCGGTCACTCTGCCTCCGGCGATCAACAGGGTCCGAATTCTCTTTTTTCACCGTTAGTTTTTTCCGATTTTCTTTGCTTAATGGATCACAATCGTGTAAGGCCTGGCCCAGCCCATTTGGGTTTATTCGAATTTTATAAATAAATATTAAAAAAAAAAAAAAAAAAAAAAAGAAATAATACGCAAATTGTACGTATAACAACACGCGATTACGTATGTATAAAAACTGGGAATATAGTTAAAGGCTACTTTAATTTGTGTCACTTCATACTATACATACTTGTATCATCACCTTTTCAAATAACACTATTCTCTCTTTGTTTTGATATGGCTAGAATTATATATATGTTACCAATAGTAAACAAAACAGCTAAAAAATGATATGAAGAATGAACGCAAAATACATAGAGTTATAAAAGTTCTTATTATATATTACAAATCTTATATTTACACATGCAAAGTTTCCCATAATAGAAACTCAAATAACAAAATACCACAAACAAACCGTAAATACAATAACGCACGATTTGAGTCACACATCATCGTCATCAGCAGTTGCAATGTAATGTAACGGTAAAATCCGTAAACAAGTAACGGCGATATTATACAATCTTTATTCGATATATATATATATATATATATATATATATCTTAAATTCATTCATTCATACGACGCGATGACATCATCAAGCATCCACATATCCACCTCGGAAACGGTATCATCGAGTCGACTCGGCTCCTCCTCCTCCGCCGTGGTACCGTCCAGCTCAAGGAACGACTCCAAGCTCGATATCTGCTGTTTCAGATCGTAGTAATCATGTTCAAACCCGTAACTCTGGTTCTGAAACTCGTCCCCGTCTCCAAACCCAATGCACTCCACCGGCTGAGCTAACTCGCTCACGCAGAGCTTCTTCGCCGGAGGATGATGAGTCAGATCTGGGAAGTTGAGCTTGGCTTTATCACCACGGATCCGCTTCGCCGCTACGTCATAAGCCACGGCAGCTTCCTCCGCCGTGTTAAACGTCCCAAGCCAGACTCTGACACCTTTTCGTGGATCTCGAATCTCCGCAGCCCATTTACCCCATGGACGCTTCCTTATCCCTCTGTAAACGTTCTTCCTCTTCCTCCGCTTCTCCGTCTCCGGCTCCTTCTTCTTCCCCGCCGCCTCCTCTTTCACGTTACCTTCAAAAATTACATCGGATTCCCCTCCAGAGTTTTAATATTACAGTTTTAACCCCACAAAATATTATTTAAAGATTCCCTAATTATCCTAATCTTCCCGTAAGTTCCCAGTAAATATTAGATTATCTTAATAAAAACTTTATATTCCTTGGTATGTTCTTATGACTAGTAGGTTAGGTTGAGAGAGAGAGAGAGAGAGAACAGTACGTACCTTGGTTGGTGGGATGAAGGTTGGAGGTGGAATCGAAACCCCAAAAGTTGTCACCGGCGGAAACATCGAGTTCAGACCAGAGTTCCTCCGCCGTGAGTTTACGACCCTTGGCCTTGGTGACGAGAGGGGCAAAATCGGAAATAATAGCACCGCCACACATTTTCTCTGTTTTTGTTGATGGGTTTCAAGGTAGAGGAGCTTTTTGTTGCTACTACGGTGGAGGTGAAATGCTTTTATAGACCCCCAAAAAATTAAATGCCTTTTTTTGGTATAATAATAACAAAGTCGGAGTGAAATGAATTACTTTATACTATAGTACTACTACTGCTAGTCATTTTAATAGTTTCCTTGATACATGATGACGGTTACAACAAATATTAAGGCTAATCCACATAACGACAAGTTTATTAAAGTTTTTTTTTTCTTTTGCTTTTCTTGGCTCTCTATGAAAACAAAACGTATGACAAAAATGTCATTAGTTTATTTAATCGGTATTTTTGGAGTGTTGCGTCCACGAGCTTTTTCGGGTTATCAATGCTTTCAATTATTAATACACGTAATCTCAGTATTCTACCCTTTTCTAATTACAGAATCTTTTATTCAGGGGATAAATAGTTTAAAGTATGGTTTGATTTTATGATTTGGAGATTATACATTTTTTTTTTTTTTTTTTGTCAGCAATTTGCAGATTATAAACTGAGAGTTTTGTATTAGTTGAGCTATACTAAAGAAATTAAAGCGCTTCGTAGTAGATAGATAGTTGACAAAAAATGGAATCTCATAGATTGGGCGAGAAAGAGGAAAAAAAACGAAGTAAGCTCATCCTAAACGTACATAAGTTAATACCAATATTACGAGTTGATGATTAAAAAAGTGTAATAAGCGTTATACGACTCACGTTCATCGCGCAGGCACCGTATCATATAGGTAAGGTTCTCGTTTACTATCTTTGGCATTTCATTTACCATAAACTTTAAAACTCTTTATAAACACAAGCTTATGTCCAAACATTTCATATAATGATAACCTCAAAAAAGTGTAGTGTAAGAAGAAAATCAACAACATATAATGCACTGTCCAGAAAAATACATTCATGACTCATTTATAGACGAACCAATAAAAACTCCCCCAAAAAAAAAAACGAATACACACACGCGTGGTCTATAGATGAGCGACGAGGGACGAGACGGTATTGAGCAAAGTAATGACAAGGATTATAGATATTTCAAGGGTTTTTGTTTTTCTTTGAAAAGTATCGTTATATATGAAGGATCAACCAGCCATTTGGGTTAGGCGGTGAACTGTGCTTCTAGCGATTCTATTCCCAGGATCTATCTTTAGAACCATTCTTAGGTCTTCAGCTCCGAGTTTGTATTTCTCCATGCTCTCGTATAAGAGTGCTCGTTGAACCAGAATGGTCACATTCTTCTTGTCATGATCAATTACCTGCAATCACACAGTGAGGAAAAAAAAACATAAATCTCTGAAGCATAACAGCTTATCTAATCAAGAACTCTCCAGATGTCCGAAATTTCTAGAACAAGTTTCGCAGATCTTAGGTTTCGTCTCAGACTAGAAGAAACCATCTATGGAGCATAACAACCAAATAACTAGCTACCACGAACTGTTCAGGTTTTCCTACAAAGCAAGACTCTATAACTTCTATACCTGTACAGTATTTCTAACTCGTAATCTATCTTAAGATTCCATAAGAACCTAAATCTCATATTGTCAAGTTTCATATACCTAAAAACTCTTTATCAGTATAGATTCCATCAAGAGCCCTTAACCCCCTAGCTAATTCCAATACATTTACAACTCATATAACTAGAGAGCTCGTATATTAATGAAACTAAGGATCTGAGATGATAATCATAAGAACCTTGGTGCAGTCGGCTACAGCCTTCTTATACTCTCCAACTTCTTTGTAACACGAAGCCCTTGTTGAAAGAACCTCGGCTGACCCAGCTTCATCGCCAGCTTTATCCATAAGAATCACAGCCCACGAGAGCCACTTTATGGCATCAGCATACTGACCTTGTCTCTGGTTATCAATGCCCTTGCTCTTAGCTGATGTAGCTGATACACCCGGTGGAGGTGGTGGCAAACCATCGAGCTCGGTGGTAGAACCACCACCCGAATCAGCCCCACCGTCAAAACTTTCAAATCCCCAATCTTCAGTCTGTGGTGTAGCCGCTGCAGCTGAGGAATTTGAACTGGAGAACATTCCTAATGGATCATCGTTTGCACTCGAAGATTGAGGACCACTTGATTGCACACCAAAATCAACGTTTGAAGGATTGAAGCTACTCGTAAACCCGCCTGATGAGAATGTGTTTGATTTCCCAGCATTCTGGAAATCCCCAAAGTCGTTGTTTTGAGTTGTAGACCCCGAAAACCCGCTACCATTCGGCTTCGATACTCCTGATTGGAATGAACCCTGCAAATTCCCAAAAGCATCGCTCTGTACAGTGTTGTTAACCTTTCCTGTTTTGCTCCCTGATGCTTTTGATCCAAAACCAACCAAAGAACCAAACGGATCGCTATTTAAAGAAAGTCCAGACCCACTTAGATTTCCCCCAGACATATTTTTCATTGAAGGGCCTCCAAGATTTGGTCTAACACCGCTATTAGCATTAAAACCGGAATTAACACCACCGGAGCTCGTGTAACCACCTGGAAAACCACTCGGATTACTGCCATAACCCATACCACCACCAGTTTTCATTGAATTACCCGATTTGGGCAACGAATCAGCCAAATTCCCCATAGAATAAGGACTCTTATTCGAACCTGAAGCCGAAACAGGCGGTGCATTCTTCAATGGTACGTTTCTGTTAGATTTACCTTGGCCTATCGCGGAACCCACCAGATCTCCGAACAAACTAGGATCCTTGTTCACAATCCCAATACCTGAACCCGATCCGGAAGCTGAACCCCACGTTTTACCGTGAATATCACCAACCATTGAAGTCGGTCCACTTCCAATCTCGGATCGGATCGTAGTCTGCTTCGGCGCCGGTTGATGCGTCCACGAGGGCTTACCAGGCTGCCACGCAGGTCTCGGCTGCGAATTCGAGCTTGAATAAGAAGACGTTTGGCTCTTCTGGCCATTCAGAGGTCTACCTTGGCTCGATCCGAGTCCCAAATCGAAATCGAAGCTATTAGTCGATCCGGACGATCTCTTCCCGAAGTTCGAATTCATGGTTTCTCCTCAAAACTTTCAGATTTACAGATTCCAGAAAATGAAAACAGAGGATCAAACAGAGAGAAATGCTCGATGGATGAGATGATACAAACGCAGAATTGGGGAGAAGATTAGAGCTTGATCCGTCGTCAAGAACCGAAACGACCGTGAGAGATTCTTCGAATCCACCAGCGATCTAGAGATCTCTCTTTTACCGAGAAATGTTGTCCAGACTCCAAGAGCCAAAGAACGGAAGAATAAAATGAAACTTCACAGAAAGGCCCCTACTATTCTAATGTTTCATTTATTCACCCCCATATTTTACTATTTAACATTACACGAATCTTTGCTCACAAAAAAAAAAAACATTACACGAATCTAAACAAATTTCTAATCAACGTTGTCAAAAACTAGAAGATCTCTGAAGTTTTAAACAACCCTTCGTCAACCACTAGACTAAGGGAGCTTCCACTAGAATTACTCTTACGAGAGCTTAAGAGGCGTTAAGTAGCACACTAATTAAGTTTAACGTAACACTAACAAGAAATTTATAATGAATCTACTAAATAACTTGTCTCATTAAGAATAGAAAGAAAATACCTTATCTGATTAATATGAATCTATCAACTGTGACATAACCAGAAAAACCAACAACATGTTTAAAGATATTTTTTTTTATAAAATTCTGTCTTAATAGCATATGTTTTAAAGTTTTGAAATTATGTAATACAAAAACATTTGTCTGACAATTTCTGAATCGTTTAGTTGGATAGAGATGGTCACAAAATTAAGAAGCCCAAATGAATTAGGCCCAATAGTAATACTATTTCCAATTGATGAGAAGCGGGAAAATCTCGAGAAGACAAAATATTTCGTATCTCTCTCTCCTTCTCTCTTTCCCCAATCTCTCTCTCCACTTCCTTCTATCTTCTTCACTAATCACTTGAATTCTTCGTGTTAGATCGTACATTCTTTTCATTTCCTATTAAAAAATTTCAAACTTCACCTGAAAAACTTAAGTTTCTTTGGAAATTTTCGATTTTTAATTGGAATCCCAATTCACAGTTTTTAGGGTTTCAGCCTTTTCTATTTGGGGGGTTTGGGATTTAGGGGTATGAATTATCCGGTCTCTCCATACAGAAGCTTATACTCTGTGCGTCTTCACCGAGAATGACGAGTCACGGTGGCGGCGGTGGAGTCCGTGGGGAGAAGATTCACACGGTTCAGCCGGAGAGGGATTTGGTGGCTAATTGGGAAGTTGATTTGTCGGAGAAGCTAGAAGAGTACCTTCTTAAAATTTGTACCGGAGAAATCACTGGAAATGAAGACGATGGGCAGATTCCTGTGAATTTCGCTGAAGGTTTGTGGATTTTTCTTCGAATTTTCAGATTTTTTTCTCGTTTGATTTCAAGTTATTCCATTTTTAGGGTAATTGAGAATTGGGGTTTCCATTTTTGTGTTCCTGTAGCTGCTTTGCTGCTTCAGGGTTCGGTTCAGGTTTACAGCAAGAAAGTTGAATACTTGTACAATTTGGTTCTACGCACGTTGGAGTTTCTATCGAAGCAAAGGTTTGTCCTTTTACTTTTTGAATTCCCTTTATCCCGAGTTAATTGCCAAAGCTAATAAAAAATGATAACAAATTAGTATTTGTGTTAGACACTCCAAGCATCTCAGGGTTTAGGGGATAACTTCGATTTCATCTTCTCCGTGTGTATGGGTTTTGTTTTTGTGTTCACAGATGAAGTGAATTTATACCATGGTTGCAGTTAGAAAGCGCATTAATTTCTATAAATGTGCTGTGTCTAAGCTCTGATTTGATGGGATTCATATTTCTTTATATCTGAGTTCCTAATCGTCACCTTATTACTCACTTGGAAATATTCATTTTTTTCGTCATGCTATTCATGGAGAAAATATATACTCTAGAACACTAATCCTTGTGACCATGTATCTCAACCACACAAAGGTGGTCTATCACAGTATTGCAAAAGATATCTATACTAGAAAAGGTTCTCTGATTAGTCAATTGTTTCTGTTATTTTAAACAGAGAGCAAGAACAGTCTAAAGATACATCAAATGAGGCTGGGGAAAGCTCCTCACGTCAGGTTGATGAAGAAGAAAATGATCTCTTCTGGAATGTAGATGACATTCCAGGTAAACAAGTTCTGAAATTTGTCATTCTATTCATGTACCACTCAAGATAGTAGATGTTTAATCCAGCTATTGTTGATAAAATAGTGGACACAAAGAATAGCTTGGACAGCTCGGTTGGGAGAGATTCCGTTCCAAGTCACTTTGTCAAGCCTCCGGCAAATCTAGTTGTTATTGAAGGTGACTGTTTGGATACTAGTGGTGACGGTGGAGAATTGGAATCCTATCTGGTATAGCATGTTCTTCCATCTCTTAGAGCATAGAAAAACAGAAAGAGCTGGGGCCTAAACTCTGTTTTAACTTTCATGTCTTGCAGTTGGCAACTACACATCTCTACCGGGATTTTATTCTATTAGACCCATGTGATGCTGTAGCGGTGAATGAATTTTTAGGTGATAACAATAATGGTAAAGGAAAAAACAGTTCACACAGAGGCAGCTCAGTACGTAAAAGTAATCACTTATCTATAGGACGTTCTGGAGGAAGTGCTCGTAAGTCATCTGTTGGAAAGAATCAGGGCACTAATGTCAACACGTCCCCAATATGTGGGAATGGTCCCAATGTTCAAAATTGTGAGCAAGAGTCGCAGCCTCCTGTTTTTGGAGAAAATGATCACGGTTTTGACATGGATAACGAATATGGAGGAACCATGGAATTTAGTGATACAGATGCTGATGAAGATGATCCATGGAAGCCATTGAATCCCTATGAACCAGGGAAGTTGAAAGTGAAGCCTTTCAAGAAAGGTTGGGAAATGACTTTTGTTTATTTATTTAATTAATATCTCAGCTATATCTTTCTATCTGCGTCTTACTTCTGTAGTTTATGCTCTACTTTATTTCATGAGCAGTTAAAAATTTGAAAAAGATTGGATGGAGCCTTAACAAGGACCATATGACTGCCATGTTTCCTCTCGCTAGACCCAACGGTCCCATCAGTTCAGAGCTTATTGGAATCTGGAAGATGCAAGGTTGTGCTAGTAAAAACGAGCAAGAATCGCAAAACATTCCCTATTTCGAGAAGGTCTCTGTTTCTAACCTGTCATATAATATTTTAATGCAACAAAGAAATCTGATAGTTTGGATGTCAGCTTCGAGAGATGCTTGTGAATGGAGGAAACCAACCTTGTGGTGCTAATGGCAATTACAAGGACAACGATAAGGATAACCATGATGAAGCCAATAATGGTGACTTCCATGATTTTGGGGAGCATGATGGTGATGATCCAGAACATCCGTTCATGGATGAAGATATTCTCAATATGGTGAGTATATTTTGACTATTTGATCTATTTTGGTCGAAATATATGGAATGCGTATAAGCTCATTTGAACTTAATTCAGAATGATGGTGGAGCTGCTGAGTTTCATAACTTCGATGGATTTGGAAATGACGAATCAAATTGTCAAGAAAGCTTGGAAGATCTTTGCCGCTCACACCTGGTAACTACATTGGTTTGATTTTATACATTGGATGTGCAATTGTTCCAATTTTCATCTACATATGTCCGCTTTCAGTATACCGAGTTAAGTTTTTGCTTTGTTTCCTTATGGAAGCTTAAATGTTAGTTTTTTTTTATAGGATGCTCTTCTCGCTAACATAGCTAAAAGTGAGAAGCAAACGGATCTTGCTGCTCGGGTTTCAACGTGGAAACAGAAAATTGAGCAAAACCTAGAAGAACAAGTAACATTCGTTATCCACTTATCCTAGTTTATTTGACCATTCCACTTAAAGTCAGAGATCTAATGCATTTTCTATACCCTCTGGGTTTTGTTTTTCTATGATCAGGAGTTACACCCTCCTTTTGACATTCAAGAATATGGAGAAAGGATGATTAACAGTCTGACTGTTGAAGAGAGTGGAGACGTTGAGACCTTTACCGATCTCATGAAAGGCCAAGAAAAGCACGATGTAGCTCGGGCTTTCTCTGCGCTTCTCCAGTTGGTAAGTCACGGGGGATAACAATTATGTCTGTTGACCAAACAAGAATTTAACATTTGAATTATGATTTGCACAGGTGAACAATGGAGACGTTGATCTGGAAAAACCTGGGAACTCCACAAACGAACCAATGTGTTATACAGCAGTAAAACCTTTCAGTGTTCGGTTGCTCAAGAATCATAACAGAGAGAATGAGACAAAAGCGATGCATTTACCCCGGAAGCGAGCTAAGTCTCCAGTAACCAAAGGCAAATCTCACGACTCACCACCACCAAAGAGGCTAAACACTTGTTCTGGTTCAAGCCAGACACGGAAAGTCTCACTAAAAATCTCAAAGATCAACACTGTCGGACCAAACAGTAAGAAAAGACGGAAGGGTCGATCTGAAGCCGTCGCTGAGGTAACTGAAGTTTCTTCAGTTGAAAAGTCTCTGGGGAAATAACAAGATTGTGTAGTTAGGTGTGGGATCTGATCAGATAGTTATGAAACTTCTGTAACTGTCATTTGTGTAAGTTATAATGAAGGCATTGCCAGAAGTAGCATATGTTGTAATCACGATGAAACTACTACTTTAGAGGGTCTTTTAACATATTAGGGAGGGATACAGTGCTTGTGGAAAATTTTGAAGAATTCGGATGTTTAAGTATTTGTACTAATGTTGTTCATAAATGTGATGTCTTCAAGAGAACCTAATCGACAACTTGACATACAAAAACTAGATATGATACCATTCCACAATTTGTTTATGGACTTGTCACTTATGAAATATCATTTTCAGGGAGAAAATAAATTTATAAAAAAAAAAGGAAGGATATAGTAGTACAAATTGAGAAGAAACATAAAATATTGCATATAAAAGTATAAAAAGCAAGAAACACATATACCAAATCAGTCTCAGACGGTATCTATTATATCTACATGTTGCTTCCTTTTTCTACACTGTTTTTGGACCCTTTTGGATATTTGCGAAAGCAACAAAGACTTTTGCGTAATCTAATAGTGACATTGGAAAGTTCCACGAAACTGTTGTACCCTCTTGATATTTTTGTCATCTACACTTGTATGAGATAATATATTACGTAATTTGCTCTCCATTTACGTCCTTCTTCTATTGTAGCCTTTGCCAACCTTTTTAAATAATTAGTGGTTTACGTATAGTTTTTAATCTTAATAAAAAAAATTTATTAAAAACTGAGTTATCTTAAAAAAATTCCCGATCAGCAGTGTGTTACATGTTTCTCTATTTAATCCATTACAAAAATGAAAATAAATCAATGATTGGAGTTTGGAAATAGTGCGAGTTGTTAACTTGTTACTCCACTTTGTTGTTGACATGAATTAGTTGCAAGGATATAAATTATTTTAACATCACGTTGTGGTGTGGGTAGGAGGCATAAGACTTGGTCGTCCACTGACGCGTAGAGAAACCAAGAGCAATATACTACATTTGAATATCTCATCTAACAAACCCCAAATGAATGGACAAAACTATATATAGATAATATTAATACTGTAACCAAGTGATATACTTATATATATATTATTAGAGAGTCAAAACTCCCAAGTCACAGTCGTGTTTAGCACTATAAATTTTGCTTCTGACTGTTAATTTACTTACCGTGTTAAGACTCATTGTATTGTATTGTATTGTATTGCATGTTTATCTTAATTTCATTTGCAGAAAAAAAAAAACAAACATTTGCAAATGAATATTTTGTACTACAATAAAATATGAAATATTTACGTTTACTATTAACTCTTGAAAACGCTCTAATCTCTCTATCACAATTATGAAATTATATGACCATTGAATTGAATTGGTGGTATTATTACATAAAGAGTGATCAATAACAAATGTAAAAATTGATTCAATACGTTGAGACGACCTGACTTTGTACATCGTCAAACACTATCTGATCTAATCATAAATAGACGGTGGATATTGATTCGCTGGAAGCTAAGATTACGCCACGTTTCCATTTGCGCTGAAAATTTCAACACCTAGACTTGTTGACTTATCCACTTTACTTGTTGTTAATTACTTTTACTCGGCGGTGAATATCAAAACCAATAGCACACAACCACGTGGCAAGTCACCGAGTCTCCTCTACTCCCCGCTCAATATCCGACTCTGTCACCGGTATCCGGCAGGTCGACGACGGAGATAGCGGCGTAGCTCCGGCGATAGGAGACGAAGCGCTTCTTCTATCTCTACTCAACATCCTAGTGAAAGATAACATCCGACTCATCGGCGATCTAAACGAGTGACTCGCCGGCGATTCTCTCCGAGTCAACTCGTCTTCTATCTCGCTGAAGTTCCTCCTCGGAACCTCAATCGCCGTCGGTTTTCTCCCGGAATTATCAGTCGGCGTCGGAGAAGATCCAGAACCATTTGGCTCGCACCTCAATCCGGAGCTCGAACCCGGTTCAGTAACCAAAACCGGATCAGAATCGATCGCAATCACAACTTGCTCCTCAGCCGTCGTCGTCGCCGTTAATTCAATCCCGGCGAGAGGCTCAACGAGAGCGCGACAGAGAGGACAAGTGGAATGAGAATGAAACCACATGTCGATGCAATCAACATGAAACGTATGTTTGCAATTGGGCAAAACCCGACCCGATTCGCTCTCTTCGAACTCCGACAAACAAACGGCGCATTCGATCGGATCTTTATGAGTCTCGTCGGAAAACGTAAACACGGGGAGAGATTTAATGACGTTCGGATCGAGTCCACGCGAAGCGACGACGGAAGAAGCGGCGGCGGCGGAAGGATCAGCGGTGAAGAAAACCATAGTAGCGCGGCGGTTACGGCTACGACGGCGGAGATGACGTCTACGAGCACGGAGGAGATACCAACGGGCGTAGAGATGGAGGAAGACCATCAAAATGACGACGAAGAAGAGGATTATAATCGCGCTGAGCATGATTTTGCCGCTCATGGCGTATGTTTTAGAACCGGAGAACTCGTCTCCGGGTCTGCCTAACGGAAGCGAATCACGGTCGTTGCTGGTCATGGTTTCTCGGCGGTGAGTGCGAGATTCAGAGAGAGAGAGAGAGAGAGTCAACAAGTGAAGGAAGAAGAATTATGATTGAAAGATTTGGGTTTTTAAGTAATGAATGGGACGAGAGACAAAGACTGAGAGAGGTTCGTGCGAAAGTGCATTCTTATTATTAGGAAATTGCTAGACGACGCCAACGTTGACGCGAGCGAGCGAGTTTTCTCTTTTGACCTTTCTACCCTTCTTTGTTTTTTTCTTCCGGTTAACTCTTTTTGTTCAAAGATACTTTTACTTTGTGTATGTTTACCTTAAGATTCTAAATATTTAACTTTAACCAAAAGATCAATTAAGACATCCAAAAGAAACAAAAGTATAAATTTTAAAATCCATTCAATTGTGCAACTTAATTACCTCCTGTCGACTATGTATTGCTTTGGTGTGGCCGTGGGTATGGATCCTCGTTTTTTTCAAGTGTGCCTCTTTTTTGTAAAATGGTATTATGTTCCCAGACAAACAATATATGTGTCCTCAATTGGTATATTTCGTTACAGTTGTACTGCTGTATTATTACTCGGTTCGTTGATTCAGTAAAATCCAGAACGATTTAGCTAAGTCAACACAATTTTGTCACAAAATTTAAATATCCTTACAACACTTCATTCGTCAGACACTAGCTCAACAGCTTTCGATGGCTACAGAAACTAACTGAACAAGGGCGATATCGGATTGTCGATGTTATTTTCTTACCAATTGTAACAGGTTCTCTATACATTCAACAGCTTTCCTAAGAATACTATATTCGAGACTTCAGTTATCTTACGCACAACTCTGGTTCGATTGCGGAATCTCAAAGATGGAAAGAACCTTCAACAACAAATACCTGTCAAGACCTAGTAAATAAGTCATTACAGAAGCTATGTATGTAGCAGACGAGGTATGGCAACACTTTATTGCACCTGAAAATTTACAATTTACAACAAGAGTGGAGATTAAATTTCAGTTACCAATACAATATACAACCTCCTGAAGCTGTATAAGTTTCCTAGTATGCAACATGTGCTTATAAAAGGTATTTTAAATAACCTGTGTTGCAGAGGTGAGATTCTTGAGGCACTGGCCTCTCTAGCTGTTTCCTCCCATGTTCACCCATATTTCTTGAGCAGCTGCGTTACCTCTCCCCAAACTGCAACTCCACCGTCAACAAAGTAACCTTACGGTGGCACCTAATTATTCACGCTTTCATTTGGTAAAAAACCATCTTCTATCATTTTCTTAAACAGCGCATCAGCTTCATGAATTAAGCCTTGCCTACAAAATCCCAATATCATTGTGGTGTAGGTTACAACATTAGGCTTCATTCCTTTGGAGAAAAGGCTACAAAATAAATCAAAAGCAGCTTCCACCTTACCAACCTTACACATCCCATGAATAATGATACTATATGTAACAATACTAATATCCATCTCTCTCTTCCGCATGTATTCGAATATCACCAATGCTTTCGCTACATTCCCGTTATAACATAGACCATCTAACAAAACATTGTAGGTCCTAATATCAGGAGGCGCACCACACGAACCCATCTGATTGAAAACTTTTTGTGCAACATCAGGTCTGCCCACTTGACAATAACCCTGGATAAGAACGGTGTAAGTGATTGCATTCACAACTAATCCTTTCTGGGACATCTCATAGAAGATTTTGGTCCCGTCCTCTACCCTCTTAGACTTGCAAAATCCATGTATGAGAGTAGTATAAGTCACTTCATTTGGGTAGCAACCATTGCTTTTCATCAAATAAAACATTCGTCTAGCCTCATCTAAGCGACCATGCATGCAAAGCCCGTTAATCAGTGAACTGTAAGTGAAAACATCAGGATCTATACACAACCGGATCATCATCTTGTAAAGTTTTTTAGCCTCCAAAAGCTTCCCTACTTTCACAAACGCATCGATCAATGCAGTGAAAGTGATTACATTAGGTTCAACTTCCCTCTTCATCATATCTCTCAACAGCCAAGCAGCGCCGCTCCGTCTACCAATCTCGCAAAGACCGCTTATGAGAGAGTTGTAGGTAATAACATTCGGTATAATCCCATTGGTTTCCATGTGGTTGAAAAGATCCAGGGCGTAATTCACATGCCTGTTTTTACAAAGACACTGAATCAATATGGTGTATGTCACAACATTAGGGATATATCCCATATCCAGAATCTCATCAAACAAAGCTATGGCATCCTCAATTCTATTCCATTGACAGTATCCATTGAGCAGAGAAGTAAACGTGACTAAGTCAGGCTCAATACCAAGTTTCATCATCTTCCCAAGAAAAGAAGAAGCACGAAAAGGATGACAGGATTGGCAAACACAATTCATCACGATATTGCAGGTATACAGAACAGGTGAGATTCCCAGGATTTGCAATTGATGGAAGAGAGAGATCACAACATCGTACCTCTTCATCTTCGCAATAACCCTCAATAAAACAGAGAAATCGACAATTGAAGGAAGAGGACGAGAGTGAACCATATGAGTGAACAAATCAAGAGCCTCGTTAAACTGAAGACCATTTCTCAAAATCTTTCGGTAATCAGAGAAAGCTCGAATCCAAAAACAGAAACCACAACGGCTTACGGAAGGAGCAGTTCTATGGTTACCTATCTGAACACGATGCCTATGTAGAAGAAACCCCTTGGCTATCGACGCAAACCCAGTCGCAATGGATCTACGCATCCACAAACTATGTCTTCGGATTCATTTCACTGTACACAGCAACATGGTGATGAGCAGAGAAGCGGCGGAGATTATTAGCCAGAAGAAGACGATAACCCAACTTCAGTCGTTTACTTGCGGAGGAGAATCGACGGAGATACAGACACAAGTCTCGCCGCGTAGTCATGTAATTTCAGCTCTCTTTTTCAATCATTTAATTTATTTAATATTTACAATAATTCAATTACATAATTAGCTAACCTTTTAATTAATTATTCACGGCCACTCTTACTGTGGAGCTGAAACTTTTATTGAAGAATATTATTAACATGTATCATCACAATTCACAACAAAGTCTTATAAACTGAAGAGTGAGGACTATACAAAAGAGAAAAAAGAGTTGCGACAAAAGGTTCACAAAACACTATCTCCACAATGGCTTTACACGCCTACCCACATCGAACTGAACTTCAGATAGACCGGTGATTCCGGCGGTTATCTTCTCACCAATCTTTACAGGTCCTATACCTTCTGGCGTACCTATATAATACATCCATCAAGTTTTTAACAATACTATTCTGAATGTCATCGACTATATATAAATCAAACCTTCACTCCTATGTTACAAGTTTTATGAAATCTTGATGACGTATTTACCTGTCAATATGACATCTCCTTTGAAAAGGGTCATTACAGAACTTATGTAGCTGATGAGATATGGGACCTTGAAGATCATATCCTTTGTCCAACCTTTCTGTCTTGTCTCATCATTAACCTGCCACAGAGTGGGAAATTCTAAAAGGGAACAGCGCGGCTTAATATGATAACAGAGCATGAGGAGCCATACCTTTAGCCAAAGTTCCAGGCTATTGGGATCCAGCACCATTGCCTTCGGTAGCTAAAACAAGATAAAAGAAACCAAATTTAAGATAATAGGCTAAGAGTGTGTTGGCTATCAGTAGCTAATGGGTTATGTTTGTTAGGCATATTTACATATCAACTGGTGATGACAAGCACTCCAATCTCAGTTATATACATAAATCCAGTGGACACAATAAGACTAAGCAATCTAAGACACCCTAACAACATATCTGGTGATCTTGGACGAGAGTAATAAATGAGTCAATACTTCTAAGCTCTTATCCGGTGAAGGCTAATGTTCACATGGTTTGGTGAAACTAGCATTTTGGAAACAAGTTCCAGATCATGACTTACAACAGAGCTGATGGGAGTGAAGGTATCCTGTCCTTTAGCAAGCGTACATGGGAGACCAGATGCCTGAAGATGAAAAGTTTAAACACCCCATGATGACATATGCTAAAGTAAGGACTTGCACAAAAGCATTGATGAATGTGTAAAAACAACAGGAAAAGATGGATAGAAACATGGAATCAATAGGCAAACATATGTTATGATTCCACACAGGTAAAATCCCACCAAATTATGGCTTATGAACTTATAAAGACTATAAAGGACAAGGAACAGATCGATTAGTAAATGGCAAAGCTCTAGCATGGAAGAAGATTATTTAAAGTGGGAACTATGTATGTACAAACCCATAAATGTCCACTGATACCAAAGACAAATGGAACTCTACCATGGCAGAAACACGGAGTTCCCTAGCAGTCATATCAAGAGCAAGAGCATATCCTATAAAATAAAGAGAAATATAAGAACACGGAACATACTAAAAAGAGATATAAACACTAAGATGAAGAACAAACTCACAAACATTGGCTTATAAAAGAATACATACCAAAATCACGACACAAACCGTCATTCTATGAAGCACCAAATACCAATACATATAATTCCAACTTGTTAAAGTTAAACATTTGATTCTCATATCCTTGATGCTACTTGTAAGTATAGAGAAACAGACTAATAAAAATACCTCCAATGTAATCCATGGCTAAGCGTTCTGGGACATCTCTTGCTTTCTGTCCAATTACTACAGCGAGTTCCACCTCATGGTGAAGTGAATCCAGAGGATGTGGTATCTCTATTGTTCCACCGTTTTCCAGGTACGAAGAAGTTGGCTTTAAGAACACAATCGGGTCCTACTTCCAGCAAAACACAAACACAAACACAGAGAGTGTAAAATCAAAACAAACACACGATGCAGCAGGACCCAGTGATGCTCTTACAAAACCTACGATCCTGATCAATTTACGCGGCAAATTTCGAATTCTGCTCGATCCATTTCTGGGGAAAACAAAAGAAATGTGAAGAAGATAGAAAGTAAAGTTCGTACCTTTGGGAGAGCAGTGCCAAGTTCTTTAGCGTGAGAGGCGTAATTGAGTCCAACGCCGACGATCTTTGTGCCCTGTTTGAACAATCTCTGAATCATCGAAGTCGCCATTTTTAGGTCAACCAAGTCAAACACAGACTCTTCTTTTTCCCTCTTTTAAGATTTGTTGTGTTGACTCGAGAGTTACCGATTGAAGATAAAAGGGGTCATAATAGAAATATTTGAAAGTTAGTGGCCGAAAGTGGAAAACTACCTAAACATATATGGACCTACATGCAAATAATTAAGAAACCGCGTGTTTCACGAATTTTAGACAATAGGATACCATGACGTGGATATTTTCAAGAAAATTGATCACTTAACATTTTTCTAATTATTATTAAAAGAAACAGAGCATGTCGAAACAAAAATGTTATTTATAATATTCTATTGTTTTTTAAAAAACTTTAACTTGATCTACGAGACACATTACCAATAACGAAAACTTGTGAAAATATGTTAATAATCAAATCTATAAAAATATTGACTAAAAATATATAGAAACATGGAAATTAGATTTCAATCAAGATTAATATTTTCCGCTCTGAAGATTCTCTTTTCTATGAAAAAAAAAAGAGTATTATTTCAGGGCAGATAAATTTCGGTCAAGTATTTAATTTAAACTTTAAAGTAAAGCAATTAAGATTATACTTTTTGAGTCAACTATTAATTAAAGTAAGTTTTGAATATAGAACAAAACTTTATGAAATGACATTTTTAAATAACTAAAGATTCGTCTAATCGATGAAACAAATAAATTGTCTAAAATACATATTGATATTTAGAGAGATATCATAAAATGCCACAACCCAAAATTTAGACCAGAAAAAAAAAAGAAATTTGTAAAAAAAAAAATCATTACTAAATCTTATTATCATCCTCTAAATAAAATTTTAATCTCACATGGTTATTTCAAATATTGATAATTTATAGGAAAATATAATTGTTGCAAGTTTTTTTGTTGTTTTGTTTTTACAATAGAAGTATCTTAATTAAATCACATGATCGGTAGATATCATATCCCGTCGTCGGGATATTACAGCCGTTCAAATCTTTTATTAAATCACAGTTTTCAATTCCAGTAGAGCATTCAAGCATTGAAAAATTTAGAAACACAAGCAAAAAAAAGAAAAGAAAGAATAATTCAACCTGAAAAAGTGAAAATGGTAGAATAAGGTACGCACGATTTATACTGCTAATTTTTATCCTAATATAAACATTCACATGCTACACGAGTCTTTATAGTTTAACGATTATGTTCTGTTCGTTTTGCTGTCTGAAAGAGAATTTATATAATTTATAACTAATACTTTACCAAAAAAAACTCACATTTATATCTTACTATATATATCTCTCTCTCTCGTATTTGGAACAGATAAACACAAAAGTCGCCTCCTCATAATTTGCTATCTCTCTCTCTCTCTCTCTCTCTCTCTCTCTCTCTCTCTCTCTCTCTCTCTCTCTCTCTCTCTCTCTCTCTATCTCATCTTCTTTAGTCTCTCTCTCTCTCCCTCTCTATCTGCAGTCTTCCTCTCATAAGCCCATCCCACAATATGGCAGACTTAAGTTTCTATGTTGGAGTCATAGGTAACATCACCATCTTCTTTTGCACGTGTTTTAGTCTATCATCATCATCAAGCTAAGGATCACATATTAATTCACATGGCCATAAATGATCTTATATTATATAAACTGATCGTCTATTTTATATGTGTATGATGATCGATGCAGGAAATGTAATATCGGTGCTTGTCTTCCTCTCCCCTGTGTGAGTTTTTATATCATGATCATGATCTCAATATGATTTTGATTATAATCTATATATATATATATAACAAATTGACTAAATAATAAGAAAATAAAAATAGGGAGACGTTTTGGAAGATAGTGAAAGGGAGATCGACGGAGGAGTACGAGTGTTTGCCTTACGTTTGCACGTTGATGAGTTCGTCGTTATGGACATATTACGGGATAGTCACACCTGGTGAATACTTGGTTTCTACAGTCAATGGCTTTGGTGCTCTTGCTGAGTCCATCTACGTTCTCATTTTCCTCTTCTTTGTCCCCAAATCCAGATTCGTAAGTTTTTCATATTATATGGAGTGACAGTGAGATCTTACGTAAGCTTCTTTTTTTTTTTTTTTAATGTTATACGATATATAATGTTGGTTGAATGCATTTTCATTTGTTGGACAGATAAGGGATTACATTGGTCTGACTCAGATTCAGATCTGATTAGCAGATTTTTTTCTTATAAAAAGATTAATTATGACGTTTTAAATATCAATAATTTCATTACTAAAGTTATGTCTACTTGCTGTATATTATAAAAATAAACTAGGATTATGTCCACTTTTAAGCGTTTAATATTTATACGACTGTAATTTGATTTCTTTCAATTTTTTTTTTGTTTTTTCTTCAGTTGAAAACAGTTGCAATGGTTCTAGCTCTGAATGTGTGTTTCCCAGTAATAGCGATTTTGGGAACAAGAACAGCGTTTGGAGATGCAAACTCGCGTTCTACTTCAATGGGTTTCATATGTGCTACTCTCAACATTATCATGTATGGTTCTCCTCTTTCCGTTATTGTAAGTCTCTCTTCTTTCTTCTTTTCTTTCACCTTATATTTCATCATTTATATACACAATTAATCACATAATCATTTACCTTACCAAAAAAAGGATTTATATAGATGGGTTGTCAGAAAAAAACAAAAAACAAAATGAGATATGAGTCAAAGTGTTAGATACTTATTGGTATATATCTTTTTAAAAAGACAGATATGCAAATAGTGGATTTCAGATTTAATATGAGGGTCCAAGGCTGTTGCTTCATTTGGCTACCATAGGACCAGTCTTTGGGATGTTGTATATTATTAAGTGTTATATTTTCATTCAGCAATAATCAATCAATGGAGCCAACCACCACAAAATACAATAAAATGAAAGAGACATGAAATTGTATGGAGAGTGTTTTCAGCACGTGTTTAACAAATATCAATGTCATTGTATCTATTATCATTACTAGCTAGATGGTCATTTCGATGTATACAATACATGTAATGTCGTTTTAATCTATAATCAATGATCCGACCAGAAAACGGTAGTGACGACGAGGAGTGTTCAGTTTATGCCATTTTGGTTGTCCTTCTTCCTCTTTCTGAACGGTGCCATTTGGGGTGTCTACGCTTTGCTCCTACACGATGTTTTTCTACTAGTAAGCACCATTGTGTTTGATATATACACTTTTTAGGAAATAGAGAATTTTTTCGTATGATCGTTAAACTGTATTTTGTGTGTGTAGGTGCCAAATGGAATGGGATTCTTGCTTGGGACCGTGCAACTCCTAATTTATGCGTATTACAGAAATGCCAGACCAAATGTACAAGATCATGAAGAAGGCCTCATAATACCACCAAGCCAACCTCTCCTCTCTTAACCAGCTTACCTTTTATCCAAAAAAATATATATATAACTAAAAAATGAATACAAAAAAATTTCAATTCTTGACGAACAAATTATAAAAAAAAAATCATTTTTTTTTGGTGTGTGTACTCGAGTACTCGTTTTGATGGCGACCTGTTAACAAATCTCTTTTTCGTTTATTTTGTATTATCTTCGGGCCGAATGTGAATGCATGTGTGATTGTAATATAGTTTGGATCAGTTGTATATTACAACACAATCAATGATTTAAACTATCGGTCACAATCTTATGCGCATGTCTTACGATCAAATTAATAAATAAATCATTGTAAGAAAATTTGGTTATACAACATAGCGATAAGTAACATAACGACCAGAGGTTTCACTCAGACGTGTGATCTTCACGACTTCGCCACGTTTTAGTCCAAAGTATCTTGCGATTGGATCAGTGACGTGAATCTTTGGAAGCTATAAATAACATTAACACACAAAAGAATTCCAAACTTTTTAATTACACAAAACACTAATTAATAACAATACTTCTTTGTATGTGGAAAAAAACTACAAGTTAAACCTGGTTCTCTTTGACTGTGTATTTCTCCAGAAAAGTAACCTTCTCTTCACTAGTAAGAGCTTGATGCTCAGGCACAAAAACATGTTTGTTTACATTCATTAGCAATTCCCCTTCCTGAACCAACATTTAATTAATAGTACTCAATCATATATGGTCTAGGACTTTGAGATATCAAGAAGAGAAGATTAAAAAACAAAAGTGTTTATTCGAATTACCTGGAAAACTTCAATATGAAATTTTGGATAGATTTCACCAATAGAAAGCTGAGCAAAGCGGGAAAAGTCCTTAATATCTTGCACCACCAGAATTGCTCTGAAAACATTATCTGATTTCAACTTGCTCGTGTACTTCTTCATCTCCGCAACTCCAACTTTGGGTCTTTTAGGGAAGAATATATAGAGCTACGTACACAACAGCGATCAAGACAAGAGAAAGAGTTCAAACACAGTTAAATCATATATGTTTGCTTTTTATTAGAAGTTATATTCTATGCAAATACCAAAATTATATATAAACAAAAAAATAGTATATATATATATATATATATCCGGCCAGGTACAAGCAAGCTTCTCATATTATATGTAAATGGTACCTTATCATTGTCATCGTTCTTCTTAGCTTTGAGAGTAACAAGAGCCTTCCTATTCATATTTTCTCCATATTTCTCAATAAACTCTGCTAGACTCATCGTAATATCCGAATCCGCGATAGAGTAGCCACGATCTTTGAGCATCTGCATCAATGTCCTCCGGACTAGGAACAGTTTTTTAATCTCTTCGTCCGTTAGCTCCATATTCTCACCAACTAATCACACTGCCTTGTTACGTTCAGCTATTAGTTTCCACAGGAAAATCAGTACGCAAAATTTAGCTATCCAAAAAAAAAAAAAAAGGATAAACATAGTTGAAGACGAAAGAGTTCGATGAATCATTAAACTGAGGGGATTAGCACCGCTGGAATTTAGGATATAGAACACAAAAGGATCAGAGAGAGAGAGAGAGAGGGAGAGAAGCACGTACCAAAGATATGCAAATTAGCCAAGGGAGATAGATGTCGGCTGCAAAACCCTAAGAATTCTGGATATATATTTATTATGGGCTCTTTTTTTTTTTTCTTTCTAGTTAACGTAGGTAAGTCGGTTTGATGAAGTTGCCAAAAAAACAAATTGTACTTAAAGTCTTAAATATGATACTCGATGCCAAAAAAAAGAAGGGGAAATTAGATATATGTTCGCATGCCACTTTTAACAAATTTCTAATTATCTTTAAACATATTTATATTCGACGACAGGGATTATACAGAAATAAAGGGAAATTATTTGTTACATTTTATTATAGCATTATACATGCAAATTGACATGGAAACAGAAGTTACAATAGCTTTTATTTTAAAGACTGAGACATAAACTTGACCTTATTGATGCATACGCAAACAAACGTAGAGAGATGGTCATGACACAAAACACAAAGCACAAGGGAAATACACGGTAACCGAACATAAAGTATATAGTTTAGCTTAGTTCGGAATCAGTTAAAGTGTGGGGATAAAGCCACTTGGGACGAGAGGGACTATGTTGAGGATGCCGGATACGAGGCTGCCGACGGCCATTAACGGGGAGATGAGTTGTCCGACGGAAGGGAGGGTGGCGTTGCAGCTAGCGCGAGGGGTTGGGACGACGACACGACAACCGCTGAGGAGTGCGGGAATCGAAAGTGCGCCTGTAGAAAGCGTGAATATTCCGGCAACGTTAGTAGTCGTTTGCGACACGACTGTGTTTTGGCTTCCGCACTGGAGCTGGACGATCGCATCTGTTCATTTGTTTACAGCATTAGATTAAGTATATTATATATAGGTCCATGCATGCATGTGCATGTCAACAAAGAGATCATAATATTCACATAAGGATAAAATTTATAATTATGTGAATCTATCTATCATCTAATTAAACTTACTAGCGAAAGCCGGAGTGGTAGAAGTGCCATTGAGAGGGGCGCCATTGACAGTGCAAGATAAAAGCCCAGTGACAAGGGGGAGGTTGAGAAAATTTGGTAACTGAGCCATAGCCATTGGAGACACCACAATGAGACACAACAAGACCAATGAGAATGATATGTGTTTGTTCTTGATAATTGCCATCTTTTTGGATTACTATAGACAATTGTATATGAAACTGTAGCTAGAGTAGAGAGAGCAAATATTTTCTTTGTGTTGCTTTGGGTTTGGATGTGATAAACTAATGTCTCATGCACCTCTATTTATAGTACAAGTTTTATAGATCTCTCGATCCCCTCCTATTTAATTAATTACTTTGCTCTTATATTATTTAGATGAAATGCGTTTACTTTTTTTCTGCACCATGCAACCCAAAAAAAAGAAAAATCTTTTTAAAACGTATCTCCATATATAGGGTTTATATATAGTAGCTGGTGAACCCGGATCCTGGAATGTAATTAGTTTCAATTGTGTTTAACATTCTATTTTATGTTACTTTCCTCCACATTAATTATACTGTATATATGGTTTATACCATTAAAGATAACAACAACCTGAGTCTTCCATAGTAGTATTTCACCAAAAAAAATCTTGAAGTTCAAATACCAAAATACCATACGATAATCGATAACTTAAATTAAGAATTATATATACCGTATCTATGATTAAAATTTTAATGATTTTGCCATTTTCTGTTTCTATTTTGTCTTCATTGTTTTTTATATATATCTCTCTTTCAGTGCTGTTTATTATATATACTAATAGGAAATGCTGAAAAAGTCGTAGTATAGACAGATAAATGCTTTTGAAGGTAAATGTATAAGAGAAAACATTATGATGCAAAGATGTATAAAATCTCGAAGTTTTTTTTAATAAGATTGATTACTGAAAACTCGAACCCACGAGACACAAGGTGATTAAAGAGGTGGCTCTGGAAAGAAAGACACGATGACATTGGGCTACACTTTTAATTATCTTTAAATGGATATATCCTATGTTAAAGTTTTGGTTCTAGAAAAATATATATACTGTAGTGTATCCTTAAATAAAATGACACCCAAATCTTAGTGAGGGGGGTCTCCTACCTATAGTATTGATTTTCTTTCCCTCTTGTACATATAAAAGAAAACCTTAACCAAGTAGACTCTTGATAAAGAGAAAATCCACCAGCCATCTTAGCTTATGTATTAGTTTGGTCCATGTGCAATCTTTTCGTTTATTCTCCAACTTTGATCAAGTTGCATATATTAGTCGTATCTCGATCAAGTTGCCTTAAAAGGTAATTTCTCAATTCATATTATCTTCTTTTCTTTGTATATATATTTGTTAAATTTTGCAGGGGTTTTTTTTCTTTTCTTTCTAGGGGTTTGCTATTGAAGAAAGAGTCATTTCGATCTTCATGGACTCTTGTAGTTTCAATCAATTGTGTCAAAAGTATATCGCGACTGGTACGGTCACTTGGATCCGTCTGGATGGAAGCTTATACAAACATTGGTTCCAATTAACCTTTAGTAACATGAAAACTAAAATTTCACCGGCATTAAAAAAAAACGGCCAATACTATGCAACGCGATTATGATCCAAATATAAACAATATATAGTATTGTAAAAATCTTTATTACAGGCTTACACACATACAACGAATATCGGTAAAATTCATGCATCAACGACTAATGCAATTTAACTAGAACTTATTACTTATATTAATGAGTGTAACAGTGTTAGTCAAATTGTTAATTAGCATTACGTCATTATGTTTTAAACAAATTAGTGATATATATATTCTTCTCTAGTGTATGTTTTAAACAAATTATTTATATGTATCCCAAATAAGATCTCTTCCACTCATGCAGCCGGTGAGCCTTTTACATTTGTATATGCTCAAACAAACTTTATTGGGCTCAATAAAATATAATATTCCTAAAGTAGCCCAAAGAAAATTAGACTGCATGATCACTGGCTGCATGAGTGGAAGAGAACTGATTTGGGCCAACAACTATTTAAGGTGCTTCATACTTTGAATTTTTTTTGATGTTTTTGTTTCAAGTATAAACCAATAATACTAACTACTACAAGAGAAGGATAAGTGGGCTAGTGGTTCTCACTTCTGTTGCCTTCTCACCAAATCCGGGTTCGAGTCCGGTCCCTCTCAAAGAGAGACGTATAATTTGTAATGATGACAAAAAAAAAAAAAAAAATACTGACACTACAAGATCACTCTTATATCCAAATCATCACAAACGCCATTGTTTCTTGCTGAGAGGAAGCAAAATACATCTTTAGAAAACTTGAGACTTTCTAATCCTTTTATTTTTTTTGGGTCATAGGACTTTCCAAGCCTTTTAATTAGATCCTTAAACTAAATTTCGTTTGAGCTACAATGAGATCCTCGGAGGGAAAACTTGTACTTTATCTGGTTGGGGTTCAAGAATGGCACAAATGACCTCATCATAGCTTACATCTTAACTCTCATAGTCAGAACCTCGTATAGTCAGTTTTGTTGTCATAGACTCAGAGATTTCACGAGAAGCATCTTTAGACCAGGATTATCGGTCGTATCTTAGGAAGAATTAGGCAAAATCTTAACTTTTTCTGATTTAAATTAAATCTAAAATGATGCATAAACCTAAGATACGTCTTTTAAGTAAGAGGCCCATTTGGCTCTAAGAGACGGTACGTGGCGTATTATTATTGGTCGAAGAGAGGAAAAAAAGTAAAACAATACGCTTTTGTCTATTCTATTCCTCTCCCTCTCTCTTGACACGATGGTGAAGAACTCTGGCGATGAAGATGACGATTCAATATCAATCTTCGATCCACCTCCTTATATGTCCTCAAACCGACCAACCGGAGTGATTTAACCATCTTCAGCGAGGCGGGATTGCCACGGCTACGAGGAGGAGGTGATATCGGCGACGAGGAGAAGCTAATACCAGCTGAAGATCTCCAATTTTTCAACAAATCGGATTTAATCTTTCTGAAATCGGTACACAACTAGTATGAATCTCTTTCTCTCTGCATGTTCGATTTATTATTGTTTGATTTGTTTCATTGATTGATTTGGGAGAATTTGGGTAAGAGTTTACATCAATTACTCCGATTTAATCCGACTTTTGTGTATATATCTTTTTATTAAAATCTACTCCTCTTACTTGGTTATAGGAAAGTACTTGTGATAAATGTATTTGTGTCTTTGTGTTGTGTGTATACTTGTATGTGCATTGGAAATTATGATGCATATATACAAATGCACAAGTAAAAACAAACAAAATAGAAAGTGAGATCAATCAAGTCACAAACCTTAGCGTAGGCTGTGTAGTGACCACCACCAAGTCCACCGCAATGATTACTAAAGTCATATAGTTCATACATATATGACTGGCCATTCTTGTTTCTCACGTACTTGCTCAAGTCTAAATCGTGAATTGGGAAATTCACAAAGATGTCATTCTTGTTCTTCAGATATCTGCTATACGTGAACCGTTTTAAATAGAACACAAGAATATCTGGCAATTTCCAAAGGTCTAGCTTTTTGTTCTTGTCTATGTTCTTTGCAGCTTGGACAAAACCTGGTTCAAAATGGTGAGTAAGAAGGTCAAAACTAAAACCTTGAAATGAATAAATCAGCTTATGCAATTTCATTGAGGAAGAACTAAAAACCAAAGCTTATTAGGGAGATTTTGCTTTTAATTGCTTATGTTTGAATCTCTTGTTTATGTTTCAGTTTTTGTTTGTCTTTCTTTTTGTGTTTAGTTTGTGTTTATGACACAAACAATGTAAGTTTCTGTTTATGGTTTGTTTTATATGTGTAATGATGTTTCTGTTTCAATTAGTTTGTGTCTTTGTGTCATTCTCTGTAAACAACAAAAGAAGAGTGTGTCTTTATGTCATATGCTAAATGATGTTTATGTTTCAATTACTTTGTGTTTATATGTCATTATGTCATTCTCTGTAAACAATTACTTTGTATCTTTATATCTTTATGTCGTATGTGTAGGTTCACGTGAAAGGACTTTGGTTTACGGACACCACAAGGACACAACAAGAGACAAAGCTTGTGTATGGTTCACAGACACCACAGTTGGAGACAAAGCTTCAAATCTATTTACTTTGTATCAACGATACTCGAATGTTTTGCTATAAATATGACATTCTCTCATTTGTTCTTACGGAGTCTTTAAGTCATTCTCTTTAACTCTTTCTCTGTTACTCCAAAAATACTTTACTGTTTTACAAAGTCTTTAAATCAAACTCATTCACCAAACTCATTCAAACTAATTCACCAAACTCATTCAAACTCATTCACCAACCCAAATCTTCCTATATTCTCTTTTGTTCTTACAAACTCATTCACAAAAAAAAATCCAAACCAAATCTTCCTTTAATTCATTTTTTTTGTGCTTACAAACTCATTCACCAAAAATCCAAACCAATTCTTCTTTTGATTCATTCTCTTTTCTGCTTACAAACTCAAAACAAAAAATTCAAACCATTCTTTAATTCATTCTTTCTTAAGTCCAAAAACAATTACAAAATTTTCTAAATTGCAATAATTATTAACTTTTCAAAAATTAAAAATTTTAATTTAAATTCATTTTTTAATTTTTTTTCCTAAGAACCCTAAAATTAAGAGTCTACCATTAAAGTTACCTAAAAACTAAAAAGAAAAATACAACTCTTAACTATTAACTTTTCAAATTTAATAATTAATTATTCCTAAAAGCTAAAACTAAGAATCTATTGATAATCATGCTCTTATATGCGTATCATGCGATCTAATTCTTAAGGTTTAAACAGATCTAGAATTTTTGTCATTTTCATTAATCGGAGCAAAATTTTAGACTATGTTGAATAGTTGTTTCTATATACTCCATCTCCATGATATTTGTGTTGTAAATGATGCATGTTTAAAAAAAAAAAAAAAAAAAAATTGGATGCATGTTGTTTACCCAATACGTATACGCATTGCATATTATGTTTACCCCAATACGTATACTCATTCATTTAAAGGATATGAAGTTATGAAAATACACATATTGAGCATTGAAACATACATACTGAAAAGGGAAATTGTATATATAATTTCACAAAAGCATTATACATGTAAGAACCTGGAAACAACACTAATTATAACAGAAGACTTTTGAAGTTTGAGACATAAGTATAGACCTTATTCATGCATACGCAAGGAAACGTAAAATGGCCATGATCACACAAAACATATAACAGAAGGGAAACACACCACAACCGAACATAAAGAACGTATGTATAATATATAGTTTGGAATCATCAGTTAAGGAGATTGAAGCCGGCAGGTATGATATTGACGATTCTGAGGAGGCCGGAGAGGCTGCTTCCGATCATAGTTAACTGTGAGACGAGGCTGCCGACAGAAGGGAGTTCAGCGTTACAGGTGGAGAGAGGGGTCGTGACGACGACCCGACAATCAGTGAGAAGTGTGGAAAGCAACATCTGAACTGCGTCTGTAGGAAGCGAGAATAATCCGGCAGCGTTCGTGGTCGCAGTTGAAAGGACTCTGTTTTGCCTTCCGCACTGGAGCTGAACTCCTGCATCTGTTCGTTTGCAGTATTAGGATTAGTCTACATATATTATGACATATATATATCAAAACAAACATGCATGTGGATATATACATATATATAGAGTAAACATGCATGTGGATATATATGTGATTTAACAAAACATTTATAATAAAACCGTTTTTGTACATGTTACTGGATCATTTGTATGATTGTATCTGTGTTACATCATCTACAACAAAACCCACATGGTTAACAGAACCAAGGCAATTTTTTGTTGGGCGGGTTTTGCATGATTGATTTAAGTTGAATATAGAAGAGTGGAAAGCTTACTAGCGAAAGCAGGAGTAGAAGTGCCATTGAGAGCACCATTGAGAGAGCAAAAGACAACCCCGTTGATATTGGCGAGACTGAGAAGACCACCAACAATACCACCAACAAGACCACCAAGGCCACCCGAGCCACCAAGACCACCAGAGCCACCAAGAAGACCACCAAGGCCACCAGAGCCACCAAGTAGACCACCAAGACCAAGCTGAGCCTTAGCCATTGGCGATACCACAATGAGAAACACCAAGATCATTGAGAAAACCATGTGTTTGTTCTTAAACATTGCCATGTTTGTAGGGTTACTAAAGAAAAGTTTATATGGAACTAAAGAGTAGAAAGTAAATGCTTCTCTTGTGTTTGTGTTGGTTTTAGTTTTGGATGTGATAGTGTCTTCCCCATGCAGCACTATTTATAGAACAAGTTTTATAGATCTTGCCCCTCCTATTGTTTTTGCTATTTTGTATATAATTTTGAAGTCTCTAATGATGCGTTTGCTTTACTATACGATTTTATAATCTAATTAAGTGAAAACGTCCCTGGTTTGATCATTAACCCTGATGGCCGGATCCTAAAATGTAAATTCACTTATGTACAAAACATCTCTTTTATCCTAGAATATCCAAGCAATATTTTGAAGCTCCTAATTAGAATCTTAGGCTAATGAAGACTAGCTGTCGTGTATTAATAAAAACCGATGTTATAGTACTATCATCTCATATCATCATGCGTTCAAATGCTATTATAATCTTTGCATTTCCAAACTGCACATGTCGTAATTGGTTGCATACAAACTCATATATATGCATGATGTTGTGCTATAAACTTCAAGAATTCGCACATGTAGTCACACTCGCATAAAAGGTATCATCGGGTAGTTTAATCAATAACGAATACAATATGTTCCCTCTTTACTAATTAGTCACAGAAAATTCATACCATTAGAAACAATATATGTATAACAACTGGAGTATTCCTATATATGATCATCGATAACTTAAGAGATATGTAATGTAATGAATAATCTTCTCACTGGTTTTTCCGGGAGTTTTTAGCAAGTTTTGAGAGAAGAAAAAACATAATAACCTCTACATTGATTAACATGATTTTAACGAAAAAGTACATGAGTTTATGATAATAAAAGGTAATGATAACTTAGTTAAGTGACACATATTTTTGAAGTTACGTTAAAACTAGATGAACAACCATTTTAATGCAAAACTATATAAACTGTCGTCTAGTTTTACTTTTGAAGATTAGTCGAGAGACCGAACTCGCAAGGTAAAGAGACAGATCAAGAAAGAAGGACAAAATATTGGACTACAGTTTTGTCTTTAAATGTATCCTGAAGTTTTGGGTCAAGAATAAGATATGGTGAGTCCAATTTTTTCAAAGTCCAAATCCAACAATTTGCATCATTGAGTGGTCTTAAGTCTTAACCCTTAAACCCCATCTCATATAGTGGGGCTCTCCTATAGATTTGGCTTATTTTTTCCTCCTTAATTATTTTTTATTATATATAAACAAATCAAAATTACACAAGTCGACTCTTGATATAAGGAGATAAGAGAAAACACACCACCCATTTTGTGTTATAGATTGGTCCATGGAACCTATTGTATGTTTTGTTATCTTCGACTTTGAGTTGGATCGCTTGATAACAAAGAGTTATCTCATATGTAAATGTGAATGTATCTTATGAATGAATTCTTTACTAAACTCAGCAGGACCAGAAGAAGATTCATCCACATCGTGATTAGTCGTATTTGCCTTCAAGTTGCCCTCTTGGTAACGGTAAAATGCTCAAAAATCGTTTGATAGACACCACATATACAAAATCCTAAGATAGCCAATCAGGAGTTTACTAATATGTAAAAGTAGTAACTAAGAAACTCAAGTAATTGCTATTATGGTTTATCATCACAAATAATCATGTAAGTTTCTGAGACTCTGGTAAGTTTCAGAAAGATTCTATAAACTGAAATGTGTCAAACAAAATTTCGTATTTAACTCGGCCATAATCTTTTGTGAATCAAGCTCAAATGCCATTGTCCACACCCCCTTCCAAAATGATAGCTACACTCATGTAAAACTACAAGTTAATTTAACAAAGCCACTACAGTGCTGTTTTTTACCTCATCTATATTGAAGCTTCAATATATATATATAAACAAGGGGTTCTATCCAGTAACAGATTTTGGTGACATTAGTGATTATTCTGACTTTGAATTTTGAGTTTACAAAAGTGTAATTAAGAGAGAGAAGCCTTAATTAGTAGCGCCTGATATCTCTCGGAGGTTTAAAGTTGAGAGGATGAGTTTCAGGAGTTGCATTTTCATCTTCCTTCCACATCTTTATTGTCTTGTCTACCTCACATGTTACCAGCCTTGAACCCGTCTTATCATAACATGCGGCATATATACCAGCTTCACTCTCCAGCGAACCTAACCATGTAAAATGATACAAGACACCATTACTAGCAATCCTTGAGATTTATAACTTTTTTCACTTCTTCAAAATTGAGAGCTTCTTTAGCTCCAAAGAACTAATCATAAACCTCTAAGACTTTTACGTCTTAACTTTTTAAGGGACACAAAGGTAAAGGATTTAAAAAACAGTTTAAGGGCATACCGGGTTGTACAATAGTTTCTGCCTGTTGGAAATTGTGGCCACTCTTCCAGTCCCAGAACCATAAGCTTCCTTTATCACCTTTAATTGAACAAAGACCGGAACATGTTAGTTCAGATAATGAGGTTGGGTAGATCAAATGTGGTAGGAAAGATGATTACAAGTATCAGTGTTTGCCCATAGCTATCAAAGAAAGGGATGTGGAAATAAATTAATACCTCCTGTGACCATTACACCATCCTCGTTCACAGCTACTGCGTTAATTATGTCTTTCTGCTGAGAACTGCTCCGTCAGAAAAGATAACACAAAAACAAATCAGAAAACTTCTATCTCCACTTGGTTAAGAAATATTATCTTGCCATTGCCTGGAAGATGTAAGAGAATGGATTAAGACTCAAATAACTAACTACAACTTTACAAGGGTTCCAGAAACTTACAGCATGTTGTGGCAAAACTCTCCCTTAGGAAGGCTAAATTTCTTGATGTTGTCAGCTGATGCAGAAACAAAAGCATTCCTGAACAAAACAGGAAGATACATTGAAAAGGATGCATTATTATACAGAACTCTAAGATTGAAAAAGCAAGAAAAGTCTTCTTACTCTTTTGGATGGGGCACCATTGTTCGGACAGTGCTCTTATGATTCGTTAGAGTTGCCATCGTTGTGCCTGATTACAATATATTTGTTAGCGAAACCCTGCATACAAGAAAAGCTCGAGAGGAAGGGAAAGTAAAAGTTCAAAAGATTATTAAACAAAAAGTATACCATATCGGAGGTCCCAAAATTTGATGGTTGAGTCATGAGACCCGGTAACAACTTGTGGGTCCTGCAACATCAAAGACACAGTGAGTTCCATATCCCAACATCTTATTATATGAGACATAGCAGTAGATTACAAGAACACTATGTGATAGCATAAAGTAAAGATGATATGCGACGCACAGTTGGGCAGGTGAAAACAGAAAAAACATCCGCGGTATGTCCTGAGAGTGCAAAAATTTGCATCTTCGTACGGATATCCCATACCTATAAGCATAAAACAATATTTTGACAGCAGGCTCAGCAACTTAACATCAAAAGATACATAGGCTTATAAACACATGATACATATTTTTAGTAAATTTCTTACCCTGCAGACACTGTCTCGCCCTCCAGTTAGTAAAACATCTAGAGTTGGATGAAGAGCTAAACAGTAGACGCCATGCAGATGACCATGATAAGATCGAATAACCTATCAAAGAAAATTTCCAAAAACATTGGATATCAGAAGTTCAGATCAGGAAAGGAGTTATCAATTTACAGATGAGATGGAAATCCATCATCAAGTTCTAACCTTATTTTGCTCAAGGTCCCAGCATTTGACTTGCTTGTCATCACCAGCAGAAATCATATAGGTATGTCTATTGCTTACAGCGAGGCCTGTGAATGAAAAATTATATAAGCTTAGAGAGTCGAAAGTTGTACATTTGTATTTTTCTACAACACTATTAATAAACTAACGGAGGGGAATAAAATATGAAAGTCCAACCTCGTACTTGCCCAATGTGTCCAGTAAGTGTGAGCTTCAGAACTCCAGTCGCTACATCCCATATCTAGTGAACATGAGCCACATAAGCAAAGTCAGCAAGAATCATAGAGTTGAAGTAGAATTCCATAGAGTTGATCAGTTACCTTGATGGTGCGATCAGCTGAACCAGTGCAAAACCATTCATTACTTGGGTCAAACGCAACAGATCTGACCCAACCCAAGTGTCCCTGGATCACCTGTTACAGAAAAAAATGCATCAACTCGTATGAACATTAAGTACTCTCTTGACGTAGAGCTACATATTTAGCTTATATATTATATCCATAAGATGCAGAAACGCTACTGTACTCCATATCTTACCCTGTAATTCTTCCATGGTGCATGCCACTCTGGACGGGGCCATCTACTAGATCTTCTCTCCATTAAAAAAGTAGTTGACAGATTTCTGTAACACATTGAGGGGAAAAGAAAAAACAATGAGAAACAGCAAAAATTGATACAACAATCAGAGGTTTTTAAGGTTACATTTGCCAAATGACTACGAACAACTGGTAACACCTCATCTCTTTTTTATACCACCTAGGAATCGCAATCTAGCTGCAATGTCATCATAGAGAGCTCATAAAAGAAGAAAAAGGATGCAGCACAAAACCTTTCAGATGAGGATCCAGATGCAGGAAGAATCGCAATGCTTTTGCCTGTGTAAGCAGTATTGTTCCTTCAATTCAAGAGTCATCACGTAAGTAGAGCATTTGTCACAAAGACAAGACATCAAAAACATTCTTGAGACAGTATTAAACTCACTATACTAACTATATGGATTAGTCACATTCCAAAGGAAAAGGTAAACTCACAAGTCACTTCGCGGTAAAGTTGGACCAACAACTAAAGCTTTCTCTGTTGTGCCTTTCCGAAGTTCCTTGGACTTTTCAGGCCCTGCAGAGCAAATAATTTGGTCTTTCAGAACAAGAAACCATAATGCTGAAAGAGGCTACAAGATTACACTAACAGGGGTTTTTAGTGCAGTAGACGTTTGTTTCCTTAGAAGAAATGTAACTGAAACTTTTTTTCCAATCCTAATTATAGACATGCACATGAATGAAGCTCACAACAAATATAAATAGATGTGGTAAACATAAGGGCAAGAAATGTCAGGAAAACTAGAAAATAAGAAACTAGATTCGTCTCACACCAGGGAAAACAGTTAAAAGAACTACCTGGACGGGCAAGGGCATTTGATGGAGCCGTCTTTTCACTGTTATGGTCAGCACGGCGTGTAGGCTTACTTGCAGGTTCTAGTTCTACGCCTCCAAATGCAACTTGAACCTATACAAGAAACCTCCAAGTCATTGACAACATCTTACTAAAGAAGAGGGTAATAGGCTAGAAAGCACGCAAACTCAAACAATCATAACTGATAAGAAGAATCTAACGCCAGATCATATATACAGCTACAAACCTGATAAGACAGAAAAATGTCTTGAATGATCAATTTACACATTGTAAAAAACTCAAATTTGAAGCTAAAGCACACTTGAATTGCCAAAATTCTGATATAATCGAACCAAACCAAACAAAGAAGCAAACAGATTCCGTACCTTATGGCAGAGCCGGATTTTTTTGCTGCGATACAGAGAAGAAGAATCGTCAATACACAAAATTTTGAAAAATTTCGAGAAAACGAGACACTGCAAGCTAAACTCATAAACCTTTCAGGATCAGGCGGAGGAAATTGGCCATGGAGGGGAGCGAAAAGATCAAGAGCTCGTTTAACAGATTTGAGACTGAGCTTTTTCAGCGACTGTGGTTCGACCTCGGCGTTCAAACCCACCATCGTCATCTTTCTCACTTGGTTAGGGTTCTACACGAACGCTCAGAATCAGAGACCCGAGAGAGACGAAGAGAAAAGAGGGAAACGTACGAAAAATTAACCCGACCCGATCTGAACTTTATTTATATGTAACCCTACACTCGGATCCCCACCCGTTTCCCCAAACCCGACTCGTCAACCGTTCTCGGGTCGGTTAATATATATTTCCTTTTTTATACTTAAAAAAAAAAGGAAAGGGTAAAATAGAAATTTAGAAAAAAGTAAAGTCTAATATGGTAAATTACTCGGGAATTTTATTTCCTGTGTCTGCATCTCCAGGGAAAACCCTACGCCTATAGTAATGAGTATAAATATCAAAGTTATATCATTGTTTTAGAACCCTCTCGTCGCTGCGTCTCTCTCCCGCAACCTTTACTATTCGTTTGATTCACATCGATCGGAGAGAGAGAGCTAAAAATCAATAAGCGACCATGTTGGTGTACCAAGATCTTCTCACCGGTAAGCTCAATTGTTCAAATCTCGTCTTGATTTCTTTTGTATTTATCGATCTATTTCTTACGATTTGGGATAATGGTGATATTGAATTGAGATTTCGTTAGATCTGTGTTTGTATCTTACGTTTTTCGTTAATTTTCAGCTCTTTGAATCGGTAATTCTAATCATAGGGGTGTAATTTCTGTAATTTGGTTGGATCTATGATTGATTTGTATATGTATTTTATCCCTGATTGTGGTTGTATAGATCGAGCTTACTATATGGTTGTAGATTTGATACTAGGGATTGTTTTCGATAGTTTAGATACTTAATTAGTTCAAATTTCGCTGGAAGTTATTGTGATGACAGTTTTTTCTGTATTTTGGCTAATATTCTCAATTTTAGAGTCACTGGATTGGTTCAGCTGCTACTTGTATATGTGATCTTATACTAAATATATTGAATTAGTATGAGTAATGACTGAAGATTTTGTTATATTGATTTCAGGTGATGAGCTTCTGTCCGACTCTTTCCCTTACAAGGAGATTGAGAATGGAATCCTTTGGGAAGTTGAGGGAAAGGTTAGTGACTTAGTGTAATCAACGAAGTTGCAAGTTTTGTTTTGAATCTGTTATCTTTTTGTTTTCCTGTTCTAAGTGGGTTTTATTCTTATTATTATACAGTGGGTTGTCTTGGGAGCTGTAGATGTTAACATTGGTGCCAATCCATCTGCTGAAGAAGGTGGTGAGGATGAGGGTGTTGATGACTCTGTCCAAAAGGTTGTTGACATTGTCGACACCTTCAGACTTCAGGTTGGTTTTTTGTCTGCTTCTTTTAATCACATAGTAATTTTTGTATCTCTGTTTACCAAATGTATTTTCCTGTAGTATCTTTGTTCTGATCCGAGAGGTCTCATTTTGTGTTGATATAGGAGCAACCAACTTATGACAAGAAGGGATTCATCGCTTATATTAAGAAATACATCAAGCTTTTGACACCCAAGCTCAGCGAGGAAGAGCAAGCAGTCTTCAAGAAGGGTATTGAGGGAGCTACCAAGTATTTGCTCCCCAGGCTCGGTGACTTCCAATTGTAAGTTTCCCCAATGTGTCATATATCTCATTTATGGTTATGTTGTTTTGATATATTTTGAAATCTCATGTATGGTTATGTTGTTTGATACAAAACAGCTTTGTTGGGGAGGGGATGCACGATGACAGCTCTTTGGTCTTTGCTTACTACAAGGAGGGTGCAACAAACCCAACATTTTTGTACTTCGCACATGGTTTGAAGGAGGTCAAGTGCTGAGAGAGAAGCTCTCGTCGGGTTACTGTGGTCGGTCGCAGCAGCTCTCTTAAGTTTATGTTTCTTCGCACATTGTCTTGTGTTTCGTCGTTGTTCCCTATTAAAAGATTACCTACAAGTTTGCTTTTATCTTCTGTGTTTTGAAGTCTTTTAAGTTATTTTATCCAACAAAACAACGGTTTCAGTTACTATTTAGTTGAATTTTGGTCGTTACTTTATGGGTTGTTTGGTGTCACATCTCTTCTTCAGTTTGCTTTTATCATTTGGGCGTGGGTTACTTATCTCAGGCCGAATCTCGAGGCAAGCTAATATAAAAGTCCTAAAATATTTAGATTCAGATCCTATGGATGCTGCTAATTACCAACAGGTTATTTTTACTCTTAATTACCAACAGGTTATTTTTACTCTTTGGAACTTTAATCATTCCTCTCAACTAAATGGAATATGCTCTTGTATGTTCCCTTTGACATTTTTGAAGACTGTGATGTATTGTATCGTTTTTTCCGACTAAATATGGTAAAGAGACATCATCATAGGCATGTCATCACTCCACGTATGTCTTCTGCTATTCAGCAAGGATATTATTATCTCACGTGCACTCGTGCAGTATCTGTAACTATTTAGAGCTCTGTCCTCCTGTTTATTTTTGGTTGCGGCTTGTAAGACAAATCTCAACGGTCGTAATAAAAATGTATGTATGTGTGTTGTTTAACTTTTGCTATCAGCGTATATATATGCTTGATTCTTTACTACGTTACAACTGCTGTCCAATTCACTTACATAAACCATTTTTTGGTTTATTATGACTCAAAATAAGTTATCCGCGAGAATTACGTAGAGAGTTAGCTGCGTGAATTGCTCAACAACATAGATAATATAAGTATCTAGTTATATTAATGTTGTTTGTGTATACTATATGTGGACAAGAGGACAACCAAAAATGCGTTGGTACGTATTGTGTCTCACGTAAAAAGGAAACGTGATTTGGTCGGTTTTGACGTTGCTCCAACTCCCTTTGTATCTAACGTATTTAAAACCAGTCTCATATTTTTGGTTGGTCCTTTCGTTTTAGCTTTACACTCTTCAACATTTTTTTTTTAAAAACACACTTGACAAATTACAAAGTCGATACTAGTATATTCACATGGCCCATTGGCCATTTGTTAATCGTAACAAAGGAGGTATCTGGATCCATCTACAGCTGCACAAAACTAGAGACCAATGTTGTTAGAACGGATTACAGTATATATAAAGGAAAAGCTCCTTTCGTACTGGTTTATACTTGATTACTTAAAATCAGGAATCGTTTAGATCCAAATGCTTTAGGCTAAAGCAATAGCTTTTTTGATTCAAAAGGAAGGAACCCACAAGCTGTATTTGGCCCACTTCTCTACTTTTGCATATTCTTCTTGTTCGTATATTATTTAGGATTATTATTAACACAATTTACATAAACTAGTATGTTAGCTTTTGATAAACACTCTCTCACACACACGTATATATTCGTTCATATAAACAGTTCAAAATTCAAAACCGCGATACTTGTTTAGATGAAAAATGAAAAACATTTAAAAAAAAAAAGCAATATAAGAACACTGAGATAGGATTTAAAAATAGTGTATTAACAATTCCAAAAGTTGTGGAATTCATGTCGAGAAAAACTAAATGTCATTTTCCTCGGATAGTTTCAAATTTCATTTCTCTATTTTACTAAAGAAATGGTCCAAAGTCCAAACCAGCATCATCAGATACTATATAAAGTAGCTGAAATCTCAAAATACACATAGCGTATTAATCCAACAATGTAATTAGTGTATGTATAATAAACCCATCAATGTTATGCAAATATGGTCAAATTAGGAATGATATGATTCAAGATGAGAAAATCTATTCTTTATTATATGTCATGACCATGGTGTGTGTATATGTCATTGTGTCATGATCTCAGCCAAAAGAAAAAAAAACAATAGTTTATCAACACTTTTATATAGAACGAGAACATACAAGACCGTTCATAGAAGAAGATCGTGTAAACTTGTTTCAAAATGTTTTGGACTAAATAGCAAAAATAAAAAAGTAGGACAAATCGGTGAACGATTCTGAAATTAAAGGGGGTTCTAACTGTCACTTTTTAAAAAGTTTTAGACGCCTTGAACTTTTTATTTTATTGTTTGTGTCTTATACTTTGTCAAATCCTCTTCAACGCCCTCTCTCTCTCTCTCTCTCTCTCTCTCTCTCTCTCTCTCTGCGCCTAACGTCGCTTACGGAGAAGACGAAAATCTTGAACAGAGCTCTGTCCAACGCTAAACGACGAGCACCGCTTAGGGTTCTTCTTCACTCGTCGGATCTGATTTGTATTTTCGGGATTTTTTTTTTTTTTCAGATCACAGATCTCTTATCCAATCGTTGCGTTGCGTGTCTTCGTTTCCCTCTGGTAATCATTACTACTTCCGTCTTTTTAGGGGACTCTTGGTCGATCTCCTTCTCCGCTTCTCTGATTCAATCTATTTGGTTGAATTTCAGATTCCCAAGGAAACTGAAACGAGTTGGAAGCTCCTCTACTCTTACGCTTTCATGTTTTGTGTTCAATCCGAATCCTCCCCACATTGTGAGTTTCCCCTTCGATTGAATCTAATCTGGGATTTTTGATTTCTGTTTCGATTCGGAAAGTTTATTCTTTTTTTTTTGTTTGTAACAAATGGGGGATTCTGGTTTTTTGTTTGGATGAAGAGTTGTTCTTCAGATCTCCCAAGTTGGCTCCTCAAAAAAGATCGCAGCGCCACATGGGCGGCCAAATGCAGCAGAGCAATGCTGCGGCTGCGACGGCGCTATACGATGGGTCTCTACCCGCAAATGACGCAGGAGATGCAGTCATGGCTCGGTGGCTTCAATCCGCTGGCTTGCAGCATCTGGCGTCTCCCGTTGCTTCTACAGGCAATGATCAGCGTCATCTCCCAAACCTTCTCATGCAGGTACTTATTTTCCCTGCTTCTTTGTTTCTCTACTCTTCCATTATCTTGCATGCCCTTTTTATTTTCCGTAATCCGTATGTACTCTACTATAGCTTGTAAAGTGTGGCAATTTTGTATTAGACACAGATTGCCAAGTTTCGTTAGAGCTTTGGTTCGCTGAAATACTGTGGTAGGAGTGTAGGATATAAGTCATAATGCATCTCAAGGAGAACTTGGATATTGCTTGGCCATTTATATGTGAATGTGATTACGTTAGATGTTTGCTGCACGGTTATTAGTAATCTCTCTTCCGATTGGTCAGTTTTTCTGCTATAGATTTTCTTTTGCGTGGTTCTTTATTGTAATTTGCGCGGACGGGGTTCTGATATTTGAAGCCTCATTTGTGGTGTTTACGGTATCTGCTAGGGTTATGGAGCACAGACTGCTGAAGAGAAACAAAGACTGTTCAAACTAATGAGAAATCTCAATTTTAATGGGGAATCGACTTCTGAATCATATACGCCAACTGCTCAGACATCAGCAGGTATGCCGTCTTCGGAAGGATTTTTTTCACCTGAGTTCAGAGGTGATTTTGGAGCTGGATTATTGGATCTTCATGCAATGGATGATACAGAGCTTCTATCTGAGGTATGTTTGAAGAAGAACTAGTGCAAAGACTATTCATATTTACACATTAGTGTCCATGGAGAACAGAAAGCTCATAAATTCATCAGATTGTCTGTTCTATATGACATCCTGGTTGTCATACTGTTTTTCCAATCTTACATCGCCATATTGAGTCCCAACTAATCATTGGCTTTGTGCGCATGCAATCTATCTGCGAGACTTCTGTTTGCTAGTTCTTAAAGAAAGTGATTATCCACGTGAAAGTTATCAACTCATTGATTTTGTGATATGTCACTTTCCTTCGTTTTTGCAGCATGTGATTACTGAACCCTTTGAGCCGTCACCTTTCATGCCTAGTGTTAATAAAGAATTTGAAGACGATTTTAATTTGCCAGCTAATCGTCAACAACGGCAACAGACAGATGCTGAACCTTTAGGTTCATTGCCTAAGAGTGAAAAAGAAAATAACAGTGTAGCCAAGATTAAAGTAGTGGTAGGTCATTCACTTGATCACTGACCTTTTTCCTTACTACTTGATTGTTTTATAAGCAACGTTCATTCTCACTAGGGATCATTGGAAACCATTTTTTGTTTTTATTTGTCTTTAGGTAAGGAAAAGACCTCTAAATAAGAAAGAAACAGCTAGAAAGGAGGAGGATGTCGTGACGGTATCTGATAATTCTTTGACTGTCCATGAACCCAAGCTGAAGGTTCGTGTGTATTCTTCATCGAAGATAACAATGGCATCCATGATTCAGTTGAACAACTGATCGATGGCATCCTGCTATAAAGGTCATATATTCTTTTCATTTAATATTTCTTTTCTGATATTGAACGAATCATAATTTTGTTGGTGCAGGTCGATTTAACTGCTTATGTAGAAAGGCATGAGTTCTGCTTTGATGCTGTTCTAGATGAGGATGTTTCAAATGATGAGGTAAGTTAATAAATGAATGTATTGGACTCTATATCAAAATCTAGAAGGAGTCATAATGCAACCTTGATCTGTGATACATTTATGATTTATGTCAAGGTCGCATACCTTATTGACCTATTAACTAGATCAGCATGTGGTTTCCCCCACCTCTTCTATCTAGATTGGATTGATGAATGGATACTTTCAGCTTCTTAAAATATACAGAAGCTTTATACTGCTTTGAAGTTGTTTGTTGTTCCCTTGAACAGGTGTATCGAGCCACAATTGAGCCGATAATTCCCATTATATTCCAGAGAACTAAAGCTACATGCTTTGCATATGGTCAAACAGGTATACTGATACTATTATTTTTTCTATAAGTTCCAGGTTTTAGATGATTATATAGTTTTATGCTTTCATGACCCTGATATGTTTTGCTTTATTCAGGTAGTGGCAAGACATTCACAATGAAACCACTACCCATACGAGCAGTTGAAGATCTTATGAGGTTGTTGCGTCAACCAGTATACAGCAATCAGAGGTTTAAATTGTGGCTCAGCTATTTTGAAATATATGGTGGAAAGCTGTTCGATCTGCTCAGTGAGAGAAAGTTAGTGTTCTTTCTTTTACTTATTTCTGTGAAATGTCATATTTGTTGAGAGGTTTTGTGTTTTTCTTTTCTTTTGGCATATACTAGCTTATAATTGTTCTTCAGCGTCAGTATACTGTAATCATTGGCGCTTTTCTTCATCCTTTCAGTTTTGATACTTTCCATTGTTGTCTACTACAATCGCAAATGCATGTTTACAACTGTCTAAATAATTCAGTTATTGCCGTATAGGAAACTTTGCATGCGAGAAGATGGCAGACAGCAAGTTTGCATTGTTGGCCTGCAAGAATATGAAGTTTCAGATGTACAAATTGTAAAGGATTTTATTGAGAAAGGAAATGCTGAAAGAAGCACAGGGTCTACTGGAGCAAATGAGGAATCTTCTAGATCACATGCTATCCTACAGCTTGTTGTAAAAAAGCATGTTGAGGTAAAAGACACTAGACGGAGGAATAATGATGGTAATGAATTGCCTGGGAAAGTTGTGGGAAAGATTTCGTTCATTGACCTTGCTGGCAGTGAAAGAGGTGCAGACACCACAGACAATGACCGCCAGACAAGGTAAAGATTCCCGTTTCCCCTGTGGTTGAGTATTGACCTACCACTAATGCGTAGATTAAAATTTATGCCTATTTTGGACTTGTTAGTATTGATGGAGTGGCACTTTGCTGCTTTTTACTTTAGGGCACCACACTTCAGATTTAATACTGTATAGTTTTCATGGTGGATTTTTCTTAGGATTGAAGGCGCAGAAATCAACAAGAGTCTCTTGGCTCTTAAGGAATGTATACGTGCACTGGACAATGATCAGCTACATATACCATTTCGTGGAAGCAAACTAACTGAGGTGCTCCGTGACTCATTCGTTGGAAACTCAAGGACAGTGATGATTTCTTGCATCTCCCCAAATGCAGGATCGTGTGAACATACCCTCAATACTCTAAGATATGCTGATCGGTATGTTTTGTACAAACTATTGCCTCTCTTGTAACAAATTCTCTATTTCACCTTCTCTTAAAGTGCTGTTGGCTATGTACCAAACAAACAGGGTCAAAAGTCTATCCAAAAGTGGAAATAGCAAGAAAGATCAAACTGCCAATTTAATGCCTCCGCTTAATAAGGATACTTTGTTGGTCTCAAATGATGTGGAAGATGTCTTCGAGCCCCCACAGGAATTGAATGTACAGGAAACCAGGAGGAGGGTGGTCGAGAAGGACAGCAACACTACATCAGGTATTGACTTCAGACAGCCTACTAATTATCGAGAGGAAAGTGGAATACCATCAATCTCAATGGACAAGGGAAGATCAGAGACGAACAGCTCTTTCGGTGGCTCCACTAGCCAGAGGAACCACTTGTCTTCAATTCCCCAAGAAACTTCAGACCGTGAAGAGAAAGTGAAGAAAGTGTCACCACCTCGTGGAAAAGGGTTGCGGGAAGAAAAACCAGACAGACCACAAAATTGGTCTAAAAGAGATGTCAGTTCATCGGATATCCCTACCTTGACAAACTTTAGACAGAGCACAAATGAAACCGCTTCGAGGCAATATGAAACTGACACTTCTCTTGATGAAAACATTGATGCACTGCTTGAGGTAAAATACTCACTTAAAACTTGAAACATGAGATGAACCTGTGAAATTGATTTGAAAGCAAATGTAGAAACTTATATGAATATTTCTGTTCATATCTTATCATAAGTTAATAATCACCAGCGCGTGATCTTTTCAGGAAGAAGAAGCCCTCATTGCAGCACACAGAAAAGAAATCGAGGATACAATGGAGATTGTTCGCGAGGTAAGTAAACATAGCTAAATGAATAAACTTACTGTAGATTAGATTAGTATGGCTTCGTTTGATTTTCGTTTATATATATATGGTTTATCAGGAAATGAAACTTTTAGCGGAGGTGGACCAACCAGGAAGCATGATAGAAAACTATGTGACGCAACTGAGCTTTGTGTTGTCTCGAAAAGCAGCAGGGCTTGTTAGTCTTCAAGCCAGGCTTGCTCGGTTCCAACACCGTCTCAAGGAGCAAGAAATATTGAGCCGTAAGAGAGTTCCTCGGTAGTTGGTATAAGAAGGAAAACCAAAAGGTGTGATGTTGTTTAAGTGTGAAAGTTGCTTTGTACGCAATGAATGAAGAAAAGAGTGAAGAAGTTTGGTTTTCAGTTTCAATTTTCAGAAAAGAAAAAAAAGCAAAAAAAAAAAAAGGGTGATCTCTTCTTTGTTACAAAGAATGACAGAAATGTCCTTCGTGTTAGTGAATTCGGGCATTTACTTTTACTTTTATTTTTTAATCGTTATTATAAAATTATTATACCTTTTGTGTTTCGTATTTTTCTATATCCTTTGGTAAACAACTAATGTGAATTAAAAACTCTATTCTCAAACAACTGAAAATTATTATCATGTAAATTATTTGAGTGATCCATATAATAATATTAAAAAGGGAAAAATCATATGTCTATAACAACAGTTACGGTATCTAAAGTGACAAACAATGAAAAGACAGGTGAAAAGCTCCAAAAGGCCAACAGGATTATGTAGCCCAACTAAAAGGCCTTGGCCCACCATATTACTGATCACGTGACATGCCTTTTCCACGATTGCAATATAAGAGCCATTTTCCACCGTCCGATGTATTAACCCGAACCGATTTAAACCGTCCAATCAAAGTCTCTTATCTCCTCCTCCTCCTTCCCGTCGTAGTCGCGCAAGCACTGTCGCAGGCGAGTAAAAGGCGTAATACACAACAACAACAACAAAAAAGCGCATATGTAAAGGATCTTTCTTTTCAGACTTCTTTCAATCTCTAATAGTCACCAGGTTAGATTCTTTTCGCCTCCTCTCCTTTGTAGCTATCGTCAATAGATTCGTCTTGTATCTTTTGAATTCTCATGAGCAAAATATATACCTGCGATTTTTGGTTATTTTCTTCACTCTGCTCCCATTGAATTTGTAAGTAACGAGGATTTTAGGATTTGTGGCGGTAATACTGAGCTAGAGCAATTTTAATTCTTTTCTCTCTTGCTCTATTTTTGCTGTTACAGTTTATTGAGAGTTTTTATAAAGTCGTAAGCCTATTTTATTTGGTTTGGTGCAGTGATTCGTGATTTTGGTTTGGGTGGATTTTGTAACTGCGGTGATCTCAGAAATGGGCGATGGGGAAGAGATGAAGCTTGCTGATGGTGATAGAACTAGTGATGGGGAAGTAGAGAAAAGGGAGTTGGTGGGATCTGATCAAGTGATGGATATTGAAGAAGAGGTCTTCGAGGAAGCAATTGGTTCGCAGGAGGGACTAAAACCTGAACCTTTCGGAGCCGATGAGGATTTGCCATTAGAGGCAGCATGTAGTAGCAATGAGAGAGGAGTACAAGATTTAGAGGTTAGTTATACGGTGGTGGGAGAGAGCCATAGCGAGGTTGACGTGCAACATCTAATTACGAAGGATGCTGAATCTGATTTGGTGACTTCCAAAATGAATGATGATCAGGGGGGGACAGGTGCAGAAATTTCTTTTGGTAAAATCGAATCAAGCTTGGATGTGGTTGAGAAGAGTGATGAAGCTACTTCCAATGTTTCCAGTTTAGCGGCTGAGGCTGTAACTTTACAAAACGGGAACATACATTCTTTTTCGGAAAACACAATTGTGGTTCCTGATAATAAAGAACTGGTGGCTGAAGTTATCTCAGTAAATTCCTGCTCCGAGGAAACAGGGGATGATGGTATTAAAAAATATGGCATGGGAACAGAACAAGAGATTGAGGAAGGTGAAGGAACACATAAGAATTGCTTTCAGAAGGGTTTCGTATGTATAGAAAATGATGAGACTGGTGCCGACTACAATGGTGTTAAAAAGACTTCAGGTGACGAATCCTTGAATGATTGTATTGAAGTAGCAACTGCGATCCTATCTCCTTTGGAAAAATCTAGCTCCGAGGAAAAGATAAAGACTGAAGATCACAGCAGTAGTGGCTTCCCTGGGGAAACTTTTAGAGAACAGGAGACTTTTCACAATATGAATGGAGTACATGATGTTCAGCAGAGTACTCAATCTAAGGAAATTGAAAAGCAGCAAGACAGCAGAGTAAATGTAGGTCCAGAGATGAAGGAAAGCCAACATGTGGATAGAGAATCTGAGGTATTAAGTTCTGTTTCACCAGCAGAGGCTAGAAGTAATACTGCAGCATTACCACCGGCTCGCCCAGCAGGTCTTGGTCATGCTGCTCCTCTTTTGGAACCGGCACCACGTGTTCCACAACAGCCTCGTGTCAACGGAAATGTGTATCAGAATCAGCCTCAGCAAGCTGAAGACTCTACCACTGCAGAGACAGATGAGCATGATGAGACGCGTGAGAAGCTCCAGTTGATCAGGGTCAAATTTTTGAGGCTTGCACATAGATTAGGGCAAACTCCACATAATGTTATTGTTGCTCAGGTTTTGTACAGGCTTGGATTGGCTGAACAGTTGAGGGGAAGAAACGGAAGCCGTGTTGGTGCCTTTAGTTTTGATCGTGCCAGTGCCATGGCAGAACAGCTCGAAGTAGCTGGACAGGATCCCCTTGATTTCTCTTGTACGATTATGGTGCTCGGTAAAAGTGGGGTTGGTAAAAGTGCAACTATCAATTCTATTTTCGATGAACTGAAAATTAGTACTGATGCATTCCAGATGGGGACAAAGAGGGTTCAGAATGTTGAGGGTTTTGTTCAGGGAATTAAGGTACGGGTAATTGACACCCCTGGTCTCTTACCATCCTGGTCAGATCAACACAAGAATGAGAAGATCCTGAAGTCTGTCAGGGCATTCATCAAGAAAAACCCGCCTGACATTGTATTATATCTTGATAGATTGGATATGCAAAGCAGAGATTCTGGTGACATGCCTCTCTTGCGCACCATCACTGATGTTTTTGGACCATCAATATGGTTTAATGCCATTGTGGGTTTGACTCATGCCGCTTCGGCTCCACCAGATGGCCCAAATGGTACTGCTTCTAGCTATGAAATGTTTGTTACACAACGTTCTCATGTCATCCAGCAGGCCATTCGCCAAGCAGCTGGAGATATGAGGCTCATGAATCCTGTTTCTTTAGTTGAGAACCACTCTGCTTGCAGGACCAATCGGGCAGGCCAGAGAGTATTACCTAATGGCCAAGTGTGGAAACCTCATTTGCTATTACTCTCATTTGCCTCCAAGATTCTAGCCGAAGCAAATGCTCTTCTGAAATTACAAGATAATATTCCAGGGGGACAATTTGCAGCTCGGTCCAAGGCTCCTCCATTACCAGTTCTCCTCTCATCGCTTCTGCAATCAAGACCACAAGCTAAGCTTCCTGAGGAGCAGTACGATGATGAAGAAGATGAAGATGATTTGGACGAATCAACAGATTCTGACGAAGAACCAGAGTATGATGACCTTCCTCCATTTAAGTGGTTGACTAAAGCCGAGATGGCTAAACTTAGCAAATCCCAGAAGAAGGAATATCTCGATGAGATGGATTACCGGGAGAAATTATTTATGAAGAGGCAGATGAAAGAGGAAAGAAAGAGACGTAAGTTGTTAAAGAAATTTGCTGCTGAGATTAAAGATATGCCTAACAGGTATAGTGAAAATGTGGAAGAGGAGAGAAGTGAACCTGCATCTGTTCCAGTTCCCATGCCAGATATATCTCTACCTGCATCGTTTGACTCTGACAATCCTACTCACCGGTACCGGTACCTTGATTCCTCCAATCAATGGCTTGTTAGGCCAGTCCTGGAAACTCATGGGTGGGATCATGATATTGGTTATGAAGGTGTGAATGCGGAACGACTTTTTGTTGTTAAAGAAAAAATACCGATATCTTTCTCTGGTCAAGTGACAAAGGACAAGAAGGATGCAAATGTGCAGGTGGAATTGGCCAGCTCGGTTAAACATGGAGAGGGTAGATCAACTTCCTTAAGTTTGGACATGCAAAATGCAGGGAAGGACTTGGCGTACACTGTTCGAAGTGAAACTAGATTTAACAATTTTAGGAAAAACAAAGCGGCAGCTGGTCTCTCTGTAACGCTCTTGGGTGATTCGGTGTCTGCAGGGCTGAAAGTAGAAGATAAGTTGATTGCTAATAAACGGTTCAGAATGGTTATGTCTGGTGGGGCAATGACTAGTCGAGGAGATGTTGCCTATGGTGGTAGTTTAGAAGCTCAGTTTAGAGATAAAGATTATCCGCTTGGTCGGTTTTTGTCAACTCTTGGACTTTCTGTGATGGATTGGCATGGCGATCTTGCTATCGGAGGGAATGTACAGTCCCAAGTGCCCATCGGACGTTCCTCTAATTTAATTGCTCGTGCTAATTTGAATAACAGAGGGGCAGGGCAAGTAAGCGTCCGCGTAAACAGCTCTGAGCAGCTCCAACTTGCTATGGTAGCACTTGTTCCTCTGTTCAAGAAGCTTCTTAGTTATTATTCCCCAGAGAAAATGCAATATTGACAATGATTAATAACATTTAAGGTTTTGATTGAAAAGGTACTAATCTATCTGCTTTTGATTGCTGATCTCGATATTTTTCATTTGCTGCTAAACTCTATACTAACTGACCGAGTCTTTGGATTGCTGATGTTGATGTGGCTTTTGGTTTTGGTGCAGGAGGAACATGGTGTGTCCTTGGGTTGAAAGTTGAAGATCAAATTGCTGTTTCTTGAAATAGCAAGAACGCATTCATTCCATGTCTCCGGTATAATAGTTCAGTAGTGGTTTCTTTTATTTCTCAAACCTTGTCTATGGTAGAATAAAACATACCTATTTTTGTTCATGTACTAATTAGTAATAAAGCTTTGTTGAAAGTATGCAAATTTAAGAAGATGGTAATTAACAAATTTTTCTTGAAACATGTTAATGAGGAGATTAGAGTTCAGAATTTTGAGTTTAAGATTTAGTTTTGGCTGGGCGTTGTCGCGTCACAAAATGTAACAAGATAAACATCATTGACCATTGTATGTAAACTTTCCAGGTTTTCCCATAGAAAAAATATTATGCTACAGCCTATAAGCCTACAACTCTTTATTACTAAATGATATGAGTTTATTAGTTTAACTCTATCAACACATTATAATCATTAAATTTTATAACTAAGAACAAGAAAAAAAAAAGAAAAAAAAAAAAAAGAGTTTAAGAAACACAAAAACAAAATTAAGAAACATTACTTTTTAATATTCCAATATGTGTACATACTCCTACGTTTTTGGGAATTCAGAATGCTTTATAAGAGTCAACGGAGTTCTGAACTTATGACTTTGATGTTTGGTTTGTACTTTGTAGCATGTTTTGGGTTACTTTGACTGAAACTTGAAATCCATTATAATCCCAATGTTTCTGAGACTTCTTGAATCCTGTATTCGATCAAGGAATCTAACATTGGGTCAGATCATTCATCAGCACCTTCTTAAACGCTCCCTTACAATGAGTTCATCTACCCTGCTCGTCAATTTAACGCGTCTTTACGTATCATGCAACAAAGTGGAATTTGCACGCCATGTGTTCGATGAAATTCCTCATCCAAGGACGAATCCTATTGCGTGGGACGTGATGATCAGAGCCTACGCGTCGAATGGTTTCTCGGAAGAAGCTTTGGATTTGTACTACAAGATGCTCAATTCTGGTGTTCGACCCACGAAATATACCTACCCATTTGTGTTGAAAGCATGTGCTGGTCTGCGAGCCATGGAAGATGGTAAGCTGATACATAGCCATGTGACATGTAGCAACTTTGCAACTGATATGTATGTCTGTACTGCTCTGGTTGATTTTTATGCTAAATGCGGGGAACTAGATATGGCATTACAAGTGTTCGACCAAATGCCTAAAAGAGATATTGTGGCATGGAACGCTATGATTTCTGGGTTTTCTTTACATTGCTGTTTAACTGATGTCATTGGATTGTTTTTGAATATGCGTAGAATCGATGGACTCAGGCCTAATTTATCCACAATCGTTGGGATGTTTCCTGCTCTAGGAAGAGCTGGTGCTTTGAGGGAAGGGAAAGCTGTTCATGGGTATTGCACACGGATTGGTTTTAGCAATGATTTAGTTTTTGAGACGGGGATCTTGGATGTATATGCCAAAAGCAAGTGCCTTATCTATGCGAGGAGAGTTTTCGATTCAGTCTCTTTAAAGAATGAGGTAACCTGGAGTGCTATGATTGGAGGCTACATAGAAAATGAAAAGGTCACGGAAGCTGGAGAAGTGTTTGTGCAGATGCTGGTTAATGCAGATGTGGCGATGGTGACACCAGTGGCCATTGGGCTTATTCTTATGGGTTGTGCGAGATTTGGAGATCTGAATGGAGGGCAATGCGTACATTGTTACGCGGTGAAAGCAGGCTTCATCTTAGACTTAACTGTTGGAAACACCATTATTTCATTTTACGCCAAGTATGGAAGCTTATCTGATGCTTTTAAACAGTTTGGTGAGATTGGCTTGAAAGACGTTGTTTCATATAATTCTCTAATCTCTGGGTGTGTGGAGAACTGTCGCTCAGAAGAGAGTTTATGTCTATTTCATGATATGAAATCCTCTGGAATGAAGCCAGATATAACAACGCTGCTTGGTGTCTTAACCGCTTGCTCTCACTTGGCTGCTTTGGGACACGCTTCTAGTTGTCACGGGTATTGTGTTGTTCATGGCTATGCAGCTAATACAAGGATTTGTAATGCACTGATGGATGTGTACACAAAGTGTGGAAAACTTGATTTAGCCAAGAGAGTTTTCGACACAATGCAGAACCGGGATATAGTTTCCTGGAACACAGTGCTGTTTGGATTTGGAATTCATGGGCTTGGCAAAGAAGCTCTTTCTCTGTTCAACAGTATGCATGACACAGGTGTGTACCCAGACGAGGTGACTTTTCTTGCTATTTTGTCTGCTTGTGGCCATTCAGGGCTTGTGGATGAAGGGAAACAACTGTTCAACTCCATGTCTTCAGGAGATTACAACGTCATCCCAAGAATAGACCATTACATTTGCATGACTGACCTTCTAACTCGTGCCGGATACTTGGATGAAGCTTATGATTTTGTCAACAAGATGCCATTTGAGCCAGACATTCATGTTTTGGGTACACTTCTCTCTGCTTGTTGGACCTACAATAATGTGGAACTTGGGGAAAAAGTGTCGAAAAAGATGCAGAGTCTTGGTGGAACAACAGAAAGCCTAGTAGTTCTATCCAACACCTACTCAGCTGCTGAGAGATGGGAAGATGCAGCAAATACTAGAATGACACAAAAGAAAAGAGGGCTTCATAAGTCCCCAGGTTTCAGCTGGGTCGATGTTTGATTATGGAGAGGATCTTAAGCAGCCACTTGAGTGTTCATGGAAGTCTGGCATTATCACCATTTGGCTGAAAAGAGATATCGTTGCAGGTGAGATGAACAAATGGAAACTCGAAAAGATGAGATCTTAGGGAGAGAAACAATTGTGAACCAGGTAGACAGACTTCAACACGTTACAAGACATGGAGAAGTGTCATGAGTGTTATGAAGCTCGCTCACACATTACAAAGCTACTAGCTTGGGAAGGTAGACTCATTTTAAAGAGGAAGACAAGGGAGAGGAAGTAACCGAGAGGCAAAGAGCTTACTCTGTGTGCATATATATACATGTGACGTGGTATGTGTGTAAAATATATATACGAAATCTTATTGGGCCAACCGACTTACTAAGAAAGCCCTTTGTTGGTTTTATAGAGAAATCTTTTGTTTGTTTACTCTCTTAAAAATTTGTTCCGTGCGATTGTCTCTTTCTCCGTCCAAGCCGCAACCCTAACCAACAACAACAACAACAACAACAGTGCGATTCTTTGCTCTCACAAACTCGTTTCATCTTTATACTTTAATCACGTCACCAACTTTTTCCAGTTATCTCCGATTCGTCCTCTGTTCTTGTTCTGCCCTATTCTTACTTTTCACCTCGTCGTGATCAATAAGGTTTTTTTAATAAATCATAAAACATTGATAAAATTGGTAATGTGTGATCGTTAATTTTTTAAGAATGCATAAGATACTCATTCTGACGCTAGTCATAATGAATGTTACTTAATCTACGAGGATTTTAATTTCCAATTATGGCTGTCTAGCTACATCAAATATGCTAATATACTCTTCTTCCAACAAAATTTACAGTAATGCATGGCTTTGTCTGGCAGGGCTGAGTTCTTGACTCTTAACAGCAAAGGGACGTTTTAAGATGGATTCTGCTATGGACAACAATAGTTCAGGTAGTGATGAAGAAGCAAAAGAAGAGGAGACCACCGTCAACGAGAGTGTGATCTACCAGGCTGCATTACAAGTATATATATCCATCTTTACCTCTTAACACTTTTTCGTTGCACTTCAAACACTACTTTTAAGTAGCTCATCTTATTGTGATTTTGCATTTTAAACTCATGTCTGTGTAACTGTGTTGTTCTATTAATCCACTTGATGTTAATTATTATGGCTTAGTTTATTACAGGATCTGAAACAACCCAAGACCGAAAAGGATCTACCTTTTGGTGTTCTTTCAGTTCCACTTATGAGGCATCAGGTAATTAATTATCATGATTTGACTTAAAACTTTTTGCTGTCCTTAATTTGGACTTTGGTCCTATTGTAGATATACTAAAATCTCTATATGTTTGTCAGAAAATTGCATTGGAATGGATGCGTAAGAAAGAAAAAAGAAGCAGGCATTGTTTGGGAGGGATATTAGCAGATGATCAGGTCACAATTTAATTATGTTGTACACATTTTCTTAACTACATTTGATGATATGTTAAATTTCTCACAAATTATATACCTGTGTGCTATATGGTAATGCAGGGACTTGGTAAAACAATCTCGACGATCTCGCTTATCTTATTGCATAAGTTGAAGTTACAATCAAAGCTGAAAATTAAGCGAAATGGTCGAAAATCTGGCGGTACATTGATTGTTTGTCCAGCTAGTGTTGTAAAGCAATGGGCAAGAGAAGTTAAAGAAAAGGTTTCTGATGAACACAAGCTCTCTGTTTTAGTCTACCATGGATCTTGCAGAACCAAAGATCCTATTGAATTAGCAAAACATGATGTCGTTGTGACAACCTATGCCATTGTTACAAATGAAGTTCCCCAAAACCGTCTGGTGGATTTGTATGATACAATGAGTAAGAAGAGAGGCAGAGAAAGCTTTGAAGGACCTAAAATTCAGCCTCGCGTTGGTGCACTAGGAAGAGTTAGGTGGTTGAGAGTAGTGTTAGACGAAGCTCATACAATTAAAAACCATAGAACGCTAGTTGCAAAAGCTTGTTTTAGCCTTAGAGCCAAAAGGAGATGGTGTTTGACAGGAACACCAATACAGAACAAGATTGAAGATCTTTATAGCTATTTCAGGTTTCTTAGATATCATCCGTATGCCATGTGCGATTCATTTCGCCAAAGAATCAAGTCTCCAATTTCCAGAAACCCTCTTCATGGTTACAAGAAGCTTCAAGCTGTTCTAAGAGGAATAATGCTTCGCCGCACCAAAGGTATTACGTTCGCTCCCACTATCTATATATGTCCTTTTATAGTTGTGGTAATCATCTTCTAATTATCTTTATGTTGTCCTGTTTAGGAACATTACTTGATGGACAACCTATAATTAATCTACCTCCAAAGCAAGTTAATTTGAGCAAAGTGGACTTTTCTGTAGTAGAATGGTCTTTCTACAGGAAGCTTGAATTGTATTCGCGTTTGCGGTTCGAGGTGATTCTCCAGTGATTGTCATCTATGTATAAAGCATAAACAAATGGTTGAATTTGTACTATGTAATATGACATTTTTATATGTTGTCTTATCAATAGGAATATGCTGAGGAAGGGACTTTGCATGAACACATGACTCATCTTTTGCTGATGCTTTTGCGGCTACGCCAAGCTTGTAACCATCCACAACTTGTTAATGGATATAGTCATTCAGACGCTATTGAAGAAATGTCAGATGGGGTTCAAGTAGCACAGAGAGATTACCTAATCATCCTCTTCAATCTCTTAAAATCATCTTCTACCGTCTGCAATCTCTGCAGCGTAAGTGCATTGTAATATTTGAGCATTGAGGTTCTTCTCCAGGGTCTCGCTATGTTTCTAATAGTCTTTATTACTCTTAAAATCCTCTGCAGGATCCACCAAAAGACCCTGTTGTTACTTTGTGTGGCCATGTGTTTTGCTATGAGTGTGTGTCTGAAAACATTAATGGGGATAACAAAACGTGCCCTGCACTTAATTGCAGTAGAGAGCTTAAACATGATATTGTTTTCACTGAATCTGCAATTAGAAGTTGCATCAACGATTATGATGATCCTCAAGATAAGAAAGCTCTAGCATTGCTAGAAAACGAGTTTATTTCATCGAAAATTAAAGCTGTTATAGAGATTCTCCAGTCGCTTGCAAAGCAAGGCACTGATCCAGACTCTCCACCAATAAAGACAATACTGTTCTCTCAGTGGACTGGTATGCTTGACTTGGTTGAGCATTCTTTTATCAAAAACCATATAAAGTTCAGGCGACTAGATGGTTCGATGTCTCTATTAACAAGAGATTTAGCTGTAAGAGAATTCAACAATGATCCAGACGTAAGTGATGTTACATTAATTATATGTTTTGCTTTTAAAAAATTCACATTTCTCTGAAGAGAATATGCAATGTTTTAATATCAAACAGGTACAAGTGATGTTGATGTCTCTTAAAGCTGGAAACCTTGGATTGAACATGGTAGCTGCATGTCATGTTATTCTCTTGGATCTTTGGTGGAATCCAACAACTGAAGATCAAGCTATCGATCGAGCTCATCGTATCGGACAAACTCGGACTGTTACAGTAACTCGTATTGCCATCAAAAACACTGTCGAGGATCGTATTTTGGCTCTTCAGGTACTTAAACTATTTCTTTGTTCCAAACAATATCAGGATCATTTTATTTGTACGTAGTATGTAACATTACTCAACTCAATTGTGATTTTTGTGTCTTTTAACTTTTTTTTGTTCTTTCCACAGGAACGTAAAAGAGACATTGTTGCATCTGCATTGGGTGAAAAACATGGTAAAAGTTCTGCGATTCAACTAACATTAGAAGATCTCGAATACCTATTTTTTGGTGTGTAGAGTACACCGGAGATTGTGTGCCTATTCCAGAGGTTTGCTAAGGAATAAAATCTCTAGCTTTAAAAAGTCACAAGTGTGAATGTAAAGATATATTTTAATTTCACATGTTGATCAGATGTTTTAGTAATGCAAAAATGGTCACCAAATAAATAAATATAAAAAATCAGACAAAGTTAAAGATAAAGAGAACAATTATTTCTAAGAATACAAAAGGTTGTGTAATTATTTTTGGGCTTGGTCATCCATAAGAGTGAAACCTCACATAATGATATAGATATATTTTGGACCCAATGTGATAAAAACTGTGTAATAACTTAAGTTAACTTTTATATATCGAATATTATAGATAAATGGACTAGTCAATATCGAGAAATTAGGGTTTCATTGTCTTTCGAAAAGAAAGTAACGATGGCGAGGAAGCTTCCAGCGGAGTTAGAGGATGAGATACTTTATCGTGTTCCACCTCTGTCTCTCGCTCGATTCAGAAGCGTTTGCAAACAATGGAACACACTCTACATCGACAAGAGATTCATCAACAATCACTTGGCTAGTGTCCGTCCTCAGTTCATCATACGGGCCGTGAACGATTCCAAGCTTTATTCAATAGGCATCAATCCCGATGACTCCTTGGAGGTGCGTGAGCTAAACCTAGAACCTCAGAGTCCTAAGAAAGTTAAGTTGTATCGAAACCTCTTTTATTGCGACGGGTTTTTGTTATGTCCTGGTTTGCCTGACGAGGTTGCGGTCTGGAATCCATGGTTGAGACAACAAACTAAATGGATCGAGCCGACGAGGAATAGGTTCAATTTATATGGACTAGGATATGATCATGGTAGACCGGATAAGGGTTACAAGATATTAGGGTTTAGTTATGGTTACCGTGGGGAGACTATTCACCCGAGAGTTTCAATCTACGAGTTTGCAACCAATGCGTGGAAAGATTGTAAGTTTGGTTTACTTGACTGGCACTTAAGATCTCCTCGGACTGTTTTATCTTTGAATGGAACTTTGTATTGGATTGCTAAGAGGCTTGAGACTGCTGAATGTTTTATCCAAAGCTTCGATTTCTCGAGGGAGAGGTTCAATCCCTTTTGTCTCTTGCCATGTGAGGATAACTTTGGCGATACTCAAATCCTTGAGATTTTTAGGGGAGATCGGTTTTCTCTGTTGGAACAATGCGAGAAAACAAAGAAGGTCAAGATTTGGGTGACTCAGGACATGATTAGTGGAGATCGTGGGATGGAGCTTGTGTCGTGGAGACTGTTAATGAAAGTGTCGATACCAAACTTCCCGAGATTACAAGACCATATATACTCTAGTTCTCAGCCGAGTTACTTCATCGATAACAATGATGACAAGAGGCTCATTGTGTGTACTTGTGATGAAACTGGAAAGCCTTGCATCTATGTTGTGAAGGGAGACACGTTCAAGAAGATTCAAATGGGTTTTGAGGTTGATCTCTGGCCTTATCACCTTGTCTACGTTCCTAGTTTGGTTCCCATTCCTTTGGCTCAAGAGAACGAGAATGAGTAGTTTTGTTTCTATTACATTCTAACTTAATGCTTGGGTTTATTATTGCAAACTATTTATAGCATTGTTCAAAATTTTATAATAATGTTTATGATACATTGATAAGTGGTGAGTCTCTTAATACAACAGTCCAATCTAACTTTTCATTGGAGCTATTGAAAACTATGGTTTAGTGATTCTTCATTTGATCTACCTCTCATTTTGTGGCCGGCTGACGAAACCTTTTCGAAGATCTGACTGCCCTGATGAATCCAAGTTGGTTGGCTGTAGTTACATATGCCAGCTTTACTTCAGATACTTTTTAATTTTTTTCCAAGGATTCTTTTATGTAAAAGAAAAAATGAAAGGTAAAAACTTAAAATGAAAAACTAAAAACAAAAGATGTACGTAATAGTATATATCCAAATATTGAATTTTTTTATATATGAGTTGATATAATATACTTCACGAAAAATCGGCTAGAAACCCTAATTGTGATAAGTTAATATAAGTAGCGTAGTCAATCCAAAAGTTTCGACAAAAAAACCCCTGATGGCGCATGAGGAGAAGCTTCCATTTGAGTTGACTGAAGAAATACTCTCTCGTGTCCCACAAAACTCTCTTGTTCGCTTCCGATCCGTATCAAAACAATGGAACGCTCTCTTCGACGATAGGACCTTCATCAACAACCACAAGAAGACGTTTCGATTCATTTTAACAACCAAATACAAAATCTATTCAGTAAGCATCGATCCCAAGATAGAGGTGCGTGACTTAACCTTGGATATTCCCGGTTTAGAATCTCAGATACCTAAAAACTTGGTTGATTGCGATAAATTATTGCTATGTGACATGGAGAAAGGAGCTGCCGTTTGGAACCCGTGGCTGAGACAGGCTAGATTGATCAACCAGGATTTAGACCAAACTCAAATTCAATCTTATGGCATAGGATACAACAACAAAGGGAGTTACAAGGTCGTTGCTTCTTGTGGTCGGAAGTAAGACCCTACTAAGAGCTTGGTGACTATCCATGACTTTGCCTTAGATGCGTGGAAAGATCGTAGGGAGTCAGTGCCTGGACTAAGATCTGCTACATTACACACCACAAGGGGTGTCTCGTTGAATGGAAATTTGTATTGGGTTTGTTACTATGACAAGACTGATCCTGTTTATCACCTAACTAAATTCAACTCTTGCAGCGAAAGATTCTTCCGGTTTTGTTATCTAAATTGTGGGACGACAAATTTTCTTAAGGATGTTCTTGTCCTCAGGGTTTTTAATGGAGATCGGTTTTCGTTGTTAAAGCAATGCCATGCAACAAAGAAGATTGAGATTTGGGTGAACAAGTACAAGATTAATAGTGAACTTGATAATGAAGAAAATATGGAGTGGATAAAGTTCATGGAAATGTCAAGTCCTAACTTGCCGGATTTGGTAGAAACCAGATTCAACTCTCCGCCAAGTTACTTCATTGAAGATAAAAGGCTTGTTGTGTGCTCATGCGACGAAACTGGTCGGGCTTGGATCTATGTTTTGGGGCAAAATAAGTTGATCAGTAAAACTCAAATACATTCTCTGACGGATCTTTGGCCTTCGCATTGTACCTTTATTCCCAGTTTGGTACCGGTTCCTCGAGGTGGACGTGAAGAAGTAGCGGAATTACAAGTTTGATTTTATTAATTTTTTGGCTTTACGTTAGGTTTGTTGAGGAAGTTAAAATTTATTTGGATTTTGGTGTTTTCTACTCACAATACATCTTCTTTATTTTGCTAATTTCTCTTTCTTTGTTTGCTGTTTTGGCAAAATAAATTCTTAATGTTAGTTTTTTCTTAGACCAAGCTATGGAGAGAATGTTTAAGGACTCAGTAACTCTCGTGGTCCTGGCTTTGATGCGCAAGTAATATTCTTTCTAAAAAAATTGTTAGCTTTGTCGTTTAATTTGGTCAAATAATATTTACGTACTAAGCTGGTTTTGTTCAGATTTGCATATATTTTATTAGCTTTGAGGGTTTTCTAGTCGGGGTTTAATTTCGTGGTTTGTTTTGCATAACGCTAGTATTGTTGCATGTATGATCGTTAACAAATTAACATAATGACACTGTTATAAATGATATTTTCTTCTTCCCTTCTTTTTGTTTCAATCGATTATCAATTACGTACCTCTTGGATGTTCTCATTTACATAATGACACTGTTAGATTCTTATTTTTATTTTTTCTTCTAAATATGTAGAATAACATATTGTGCCTCTTATTCAGGTTTAAAACGGGTTACACAGCTGATTATTATCAAGCTTAATTAGCAGCATTTTTCCCAAGAAAAACACTTTGAAGTTCTTTGGAGACATGAATTTATGATATTTGGTTAATTTAAGGATTAAGTTTGTACTTAGTAGACCAATCGTAAGAGTAAGAGACTAATGAATGGTTAAATTAGAACGGGTGATGTATGTATTAAAAGCAATGGCCAGGGGTTGGGTCGCGGTCTGACTCTATCGCTAGAGATAGCTCAGAGAAGTCTAGTGGTCCTCCAAAGAGTCGTTTGCTTGATCTATACTCAGCATTAGAATCCCAATCTCGTCTAAATGTTGACATATATATGAATAGGTGGTAGGTAATAGAACTCGTCCAAAATATATAAATATGTTCGCTGATCCCAAAAGAGAAAAAGAAAAAAAAGAAGAGTCACTGCCAGCTGCAAAAATCTGATGTGATGGCCATTTAAATCAGCCAAAAGAAATATTTGTTTTTGAACGAAGCTATTTTGCAAAGAGAGAATTTGTTACAAGGATATGGCCATATGGGAAAGCTAAGTCCGCGTGAGAATGGTGAGGAAGATGTCCTTGTCGTTTCTTGTTCGTATGCACACGATATAGAGACATCGGAACTTCCATTATGCATATAAATTATACAAGTATACTGTATACAACTATGAGAGATGCATTATTGCATCAAATATTTACAATATAACGATCGGGTGATGAGATTGTTTGCTTGTTGGCTGTCCCATGAGGGATGGGATGGGATGGGATGGGATGAGATGTGGTCCAAACATTGTGTTACTTTCTAAAACATATTGTATCTTTTTTTTGTTTATATGTTAAAGATGTGACAAGAGGAAGTATAAGGCCCATTCGATTAAATCAGCAATAAATTGAACTGTTGCTGCGATATTTATTAAATTGTTTCTCATATGGGTCCTAAAGTCCTAACATAATGTAAGTATGTAACGTTTCACCCTTTTTATATATATTTAAGTAATATTGGTCAATTTCGTTAATCACGAAGAGCTTATGTGTTTGGCTTTATAGGTGAAGTGAAGGAGTCCCCGTGACAACAAATTTCATATATATAGTGTGTGTGCAAAAGAAAATGTATATCATCACCAAATTAAAAAAAATATATATATAAAATATGATTACAGATTGATACTATTAAGTATTATCCTATATGGGGCTACACGTGTGGGTTAGCTCTGCCGAAAGGGGTGCGTGAAAAAGAGCTGGCTTTTAGTTGGCTCCCAACCATATCCTATCATCATCATCATCGAGCCTCTTTTATTTCTTCCCATATCAATAACAAATATTATTATTTTTTATTTTGCTATAGCGATAGTATATACTTCCCCATATGAAAACTTTCTTTTTTATATATTTTTTCTAGCATCTTTGTATTTTTTTTCCCTACGGGCACATGCATGCACCCATGAATACGATCCATATATTATTATACGAATTACCTGGCTATCAATATTCCATTTAAATATAAAAAATTACTTCCACATACTGATAACTATCAATTATTCCATATAATGTACTTATTCCATAATATTTTTCTGGTTTATGTATGTAACAAACTTACATTAACAACATAGATATATATTCTCAGAAACATTTACATAGTATATAAATTTTTATGTGTAACGTAACTCTAATGGCATAATGAACGAACTTAGATATAATAAATAAACCGGCAAAAAAAAAAGAGAAGAAGAAGAGAAGTTTCTGAAAAATTATATATCTCAGAAGAAAAGAAAAAAGAATTTTATAGAAAAGAAAAAAAGAAGAAGAAGAAAGAGTTACAAGAAGATTCAGCGCCGGCAGCGAGTGATGACGCTGCAGCCACGACGGTAAGGGTTGGCCTGAGCTCCACGTCTGCAATTGTAGTAAGATGCGCCGCGACGCGAGCAAGGAACAGTGTTTCTCCTCAGCGCACCGTAGCTTATGTACCTCCTCGTTGCTAATATCCGCCTGTTGATCTCCGAGTCCATCTCGAACTCCGCTCCCATTCCTCCTCCTCCGCTGAATAGATCTCCCTCGGCGGAAACAGAGCACTCTGCTATAGAACCGCGGCACTCTGTCTCGAACGGAGGGAAATCTCCGGACAGTTCGACGGACTGAGAAGAAACCGCGACGGACCAGTACTGGACGGTGAGAATGACTAGAATCGCGAATATCGCCGCCGTGGTTACGGAGAGTCCTCTCATTTTTAGTTTTTTTTACTTTGTAGCCACAAACAGAGTTTGAAGAAAGAGAAGAGAAGAGAGAGATAAAGTAAAGGTTTTTAAAAAGAGAAGAAGCTTTCATAAACACCACTGGAAGATGAGAATAATTACGGATTATACCACTTGACTTTTTTTATCTATTATAAGGATGGATGGTGTCGTAAATAAGACAGCTTTTTACAAGTGGGGCTTTGGTTAGCTTCAGATCTAAGTATGGTTTTAATGCCCTTAAGTTTGTCTGATGGCGACACCATCCACTAATTTATCATCATCTTCTTCGTCACATTTTACAGTTCTTAATTTTCTTATGCAGCAGCATATAGTTAATACTCAAATCAAATCATGCAAATTTTGAAGAAATATTATCGATTTTTCTTATGTAGTTATGCCATTATGCTATATTACTTTTTGCATATTTTTCAACGCTTCAAGATACTAGCAAAGTTTTTTTTTTTTGGAAAAATAGTAGTACAAAGGTAGATATAAATATAGGGGAATTTTGTCTTCTATGCCAGTTTTGAAACTCAATCTTCTCTAAATGCCATTTTTGAAAGCTTCTTTCAAATCCTGCCACAAAGATTTTAGTATGGACGATTTTGCCCTCAGGCAAATGTTTTGAAAAAAACAAAATCAAAATAAAAAAGAAATCTTATCCACAAGATCTGGTCCACTAGATCTGGTCTACGAGATCTGATCCGACATAACTATTTCGAGTCTAGTCCACCAAAATTGGTTCGTCTAATGTTTTCCATCTATAGAGAAATGAATCTTGTCCACCATAAACGCATCACTTGTTTTATCATGTGGTCCGTCGAATCAGATCCAATTGAACTGTCAGTCGAAACAAGTCTATCATAACTAGTTTTTGTCTGCCGGGAATGGTTTGCCACAACTTGTCCATCGTAACTGGTCTATTTGGTCCGCCGGAACTGGTTATAGTTCGTCGGAACTGTCTATGGTCCACTTGAAATGGTCTGCAAAATCTGGTCTATCGGAACTCGTTTATTTGGTCTGTCAGAACTGGTCCGTCGAATCTGGTCTGCGAGAACTCGTTATAGTTCACCAGACTATGGTCTGCCGGAACTCGTCCGCCGGAGTTCTGGTCGAAACTCGTCCGCCGGAGTTCTAGTCGAAACTCGTCCACCGGAGTTTTGGTCAATTGGAACTGGTCCGCCGGAATTAGTCCGATGGATCTGGTCTGCCAGAATTAGTTCGCTGGATCTGGTCCGTCAGAATTAATCCACTGGATCTGGTCCGCCGAATTTCATCTGCTGGATCTGGTCCGCCGGAATTCGTCTGCTAGATCTGGTCCGCCGGAATAGCTTGTTATTGGAAGAAGAAAAAGAAGATGAAGAAAAAGAAAGAGATAATTATTGAAAAAGAGAAAAATTAGGTTTTAGAAATTTCATTGATGAGAGGGCACCGGAAGTGGCTATGCTCCGCCGGAGTTTGTCCGCCGGATTTGTCTACCGGATTTGTCCGCCGGGGTTCGTCCGTCGGATCTGTTCTACTAAAACTATTTGTTGTTGGAAGAAGAAAAAGAAGATGAAGAAAAAAGAGATAATGAAAGAAAAGGAAAAGGGTAACATGGTCTTTTTACATTGGATATATGGCATGTTTTGAAAAGAGTTATGAAAAATGACATTTTATAGAAGATTTGGCACTGTACATGGCATTCCCCAGAATTTTCTCTAAATATAGAACGGATTTACTTCCATGATTTGAGATTATTTCAAAGGAAAAAAGAAAGGTTTTTATACTACTGAAATGCCAACATATACTAATGTAACATCTATCATGTATGGCTCATATTTGTGATTTGTTTACTTCATCAAAATGGACGGTATAACCAATTTTAGTTTTTATTTCTTTTAAAAAATATGGACATTATTAAAACGATATTAGGCGCAGCGCCACGCCGCCACAAAGCAAAATTTCATGAAAATGGAAAAATTACTAGTTTTCAAGAAGGATTGGATTTGGACCCATCACCCACCGGGACTTGAGCTATATATTTTGGATTTGTTTAAGTTATAATAATCCAAAATTTTTATGTTTTTATTCAGTCGTTCGCACCAATTTACGCGTTTTCCCTAATTAGGATATGATTCAAACAATACCTATGATTTTTCAGTATGAATTTGAATGACTCTTCAAAATAAGAGAAATATCCTTAGATACTATAATTTTATTTTTCCTCTGAATCTATTATAATTCCTTTTTTCTAAAAATACTATTAAATTTTTATTTTTCTAACACTACTATAAATATAAAAAGTTGAATTTGTGTAAATTTTTTTTTATGTATGGGTTAACTATTTATATTTAGGGTATAGTTTCGGAGGTAGAAAGATTTGGGATTTAGGATTTATAAATTAGTTTAAAATGTTAAAATGTTAAATTTTAGTTTTATAGTATTTTTAGAAAAATTGTATTTTAGTAGTAATATATATGACTCTTTTCTTTTTGTGCAAATATATATATATATATATATATATATATATATATATATATATATATATATATATATATATATATATATATATCTTATGTATTATCATTTGCAAGAAATTGCAAACACAGTGTAGCAGTAAAAAGGCCCAAATAATGAAGGCCCAACCATAAATATCTGAAAATGTGGCAAATATACGCAGGAAATATCAAAGTTTTTGAATAGTTTGCTATTTTTTACTTTTCTTCGTTGACTGTTGACCGGAGTCGTCCAGAGGTTCTTCAATTTCAGTATATGTACTTTTCCGGTCACTCGCTCGTTCACCACCGTGATGAAACCGTCGGAATCCACCATGGATTTTCCTCCGACGAAGCTTAATTATCATGTAGACATGTTCAATCTTCAATCTCAATCCAGATTCCTCTCCTTGTACAAGGTCCGTTCTCTAGATAAGTAGATAGTAACCATTCTTTCGAGCTCTTCGACGTCGGCTTCAATGCTGAATCCTTCATATTTTTTCTATGTTATCGTATATGATCTCAGGCGCAAGATGGACGCACAGCTCTGATATTGGATTCGACGGTGTTTCATCCGCAAGGTGGCGGCCAGCCGTCAGACACCGGTTTCATCGAATTCTCCGGTTTGGATTTCAAGTTTTCCGTTCAAGATGTTCGATCGAAAGACGGAATTGTAAGTTTTAATTTGATTAATTGCTTAGTGTAAATGATGGTTTTCTCGTTTGTCCGGAATTTTTATATAATGTTTGTGTGTTCCCTTTTTACAAAAAATCGTAGGTTCTCCATTACGGGGTTTTCGAAGGTTTATCAAATCCTGGAAGTACAATGGATATTGAGAAAGGGAAAGAAGTTAATTGTTGTTGATGAATCAAGGCGCAAACTCAATTCCAGGCAAGTAAATCAATGTTGATTGAATTTGATTAGAGAAGGCTAGCTTAGTGTAGTTCTACAGGAAGAGGAATAGTTTAATGCTTGGTTGCAGTTTTGGCAGTCATCACCAGATAAGTTGATGCAGTTTCGTAACCTGCTTGTTGAAATCTCAGAAAACTTTAAACATAGGCTTGTCTAAGACTGTTCCCAGTGTTATGCGTGATGATGACATGATAGGAACGACGTTTCTGAAATATTGATTTTGAGTTGTGCAGGTTTTAGCTCTTGCATTTTTCATTGTCGTTTGTTCCTGGAATTTATCTTTGAAGTTAATATTTGTTCATGATCAGGTTGCACTCGGCTGGACACTTGCTAGATATGTGTATGCAGAAAGTTGGGTTAGGACATTTGGAGCCTGGAAAAGGTTATCACTTTCCAGACGGGTAAGAATTCTCATTATAGGATTTGTCATCCTTGCAAATTTTGTTAAACATAGTGAAAAATAATACGGTTATCTAACTACATTGCCATCAGTCCTTTTGTGGAATACAAAGGGAGCGTTTCACAGGATAAATTACTGGTGAAGCAGAAAGAGTTGGAGGCAGAAGCTAACGAACTGATAACCAAAGGAGGAAAGGTTAGTCCTTAGAGTCAGTTTATCATAGGTTGATTCCTCTGATTTTGTGTTAGACTTCTTAATTATGATTCTTTTGCCCTGTATAAGGTTGATGCTGCTATATTACCCTATGAAGAGGCATCTGTGCTTTGTGGTGGCAGTCTTCCTGATTATATTCCTAAGGTATATGCCAATATAGATCTTATTCCTAAATCCTTATTATTTTCCTTCCATTGCAAATAAACCTCGGGCGTCCAGCTTACAGAGTTATTTTTTTCCTCTTAGACATACTTATTATGACGTGAGTTCTTATAGGAGTAACAATGTGTATCTTTAGGCTTTAGCTACATCAAATTTTGCAATAAGTCATATATAGAGATTTTTAGAAAAGTGATATACATATATTTGGATTTGTAAAATAAATTGTAGCCATGGATAGATGAACCAATTGCTGTATCAATTCTTTGCTATTTGCGTGTTTTTTAGCCATCAATTTGGTATGTGTTAGTGAAAGGGAGCACTTTAGAGAAGAACCCTATTTCTGGAGTAAGCTAGTCAGATGACACTAACAGAATGTCTCGATGTATTTGCTTTCAAACTAAATTCCTTGAAAGATGATTTTGTGCTTGAAGCAGTCAGTATCACCACCAGTTTAGTTTTGTATTTGATTTCTGAATTGGAATTCTTAACATGGAGAAATATTTCGAACTCAAACTTCTGTATTTGCTTACCTTGCAGGGCAGCACTCCCCGGATCATAAAATTAGGTGACAACCCCGGGTGTCCTTGTGGTGGGACACATGTCTCCGATATATCTGATATCATAAACATGAAGGTACACATCCTATATACTCTACCAGTAGATATCTTTTCTTTTTGTGGTTTCCTTCTTTTGCCTTGTGTTTTCCAAAACTACATGGTTCCGCGTGTTTCCTTTGTTGTATTTTAAGATCACACAGATGAGAACAAAGAAAGGAATGACGAAAGTTTTCTACACCATTGCATCTTGATACTTCACTTATTGGTTCCAACATCCATGCTAATATGTAGACAATAAGCCAAGGTAATCCTCAGCACCCATTTCTTGTTGATTTTGTGATTTCATCAACGAAAAACATAAGTAGTCCAATTACTTCTAAGCCTAAGCTGAATTTGTTTTTACTGTTAGTCCCTGAACAAGCCTAGGTTATTAAATTCTCAGTCTATACATACATAGTATTGTCTCGATAAGATATAAGCAAAGAAAAAAATCCCAGGTTATGTGGTTTTTAAGAGACGTATTAGGAGGAGCTTGCACTAGATGCACATAAGACAACAGCTAATATATTGTCGAAAAAAAAAATAGCGGTGATAAAAAGACAAACAGAGATGTATCATATTCATTGTAAACTGCCGAGAAACGGGTACGTTAGCTAAATGGAATTATCATTGAATGTCATTTTCAGGAAGGGGAATTAAAGTGACGACTACTGTTTTGATCAGTTGGCTTCAACAGCAAGCAGCCTCTCCTGTGGTTCAACAGCCACAAATCAGTATTATTTTTTTGTGGGTATTTATCAATCTATTAAAATGACTCTCTCTATCATTGATAAGTCGTATATGATATCTTGATGATGTGATATGATCTTCCCACTCAACCTCTTTCTATACTGACTCTTTTAATTGGTATTGTAGAATCATACATTACCGGACATTTTTATAATATAACCTAACTCGTGCATCGATTTGGTTTGCCTGTTTGGTATTTTACTATTTACCTTAGATAAGCCACAAGTTACTTTTGGTTTTGACGGTGAGTTTTGACCAAAACCGAAACAGTATCGTTGAGTTTTGACGTTTGGTCATTATCGGTTAAAGGTTTGTACCTGTCTGCGGTTTGTGTGACTTTTTTGAATATGTAAAAAATCGAAACTGATTTTTCCAGGTGACGGCATAGGCTAAATTTAACCAAGTCAAATATTCGATAAAAGTAATGAATACTTTTTATGTGTTGCTTCTCGATAGGATTTCACAACTTTGGATTAAACTGTATATAATATGGTCAGAGGTACAAACAAAAATTGTTAGATCTGCTCCCTTAATTTGCGTCATGCCGTCACCTAACTCATTAATAACATTCTCGATCTTTTTTTGCCTACCGCTTCTTAATAAATTAAATACTCATTGTAATTGTAATTGTATTGTAATCTAAATGATAATTATTTGATTACTTCCTCTACGTCTCTGTTCGCGGCAACTATGATATTACGCTACGTCGACGTCTAGAATTGTATGTAGCATAGTACCCCCAAACAATCAGATTTTCTTGAACGTCACTATTTTTAAGTTATTTAATTAAGTTATCCATAAAAACTAAATTGCAATATTTTAAAGAGAAATAAATTACTAGTCTGACTTTGATATGAACAAATTACGAAATAAGCGCTGTGTTCCAAACAAAATCCGCGATCCTATTATCTCTGAGAGAAAAAAATAAAAAAATCTATAGTTAATATTTCTGAATTATCACATTCTAATTTTAAAAATTTGCTATAGACTCTATTAGTGAAGATGTGGGTAAAATTGCATAGGATGATAGGATAATATTAATTAGTGATATTATGTTATACCCTTACCTCTTGCAATATAAAATCGAATTATATATTGGTTCTTTGAGTAATCCAAGAAAAATAATAGAAGGATAAATTGAATAAAAATATAACTCAAATACAGGTAGGGATCTGAGGATGACATCATCAGATAAAATGTCAACTAACTCACTTATTATTATTGCCCTCAATTTCATATATATATTTTTTTTTTTGAGAATTTACATCGTTCACGCCTAAAATATCTCTTTGATATATTCTTTCTGATAAAGTTTTGAATTTCGTTTTTTTTTTCGGTAAAGAAGTTATAAATTTCGCGTAATTTATTTGGTGAAGAATTATTGATACTAAAAGTAATTTAGTTATGCAACATCACCAACAAAAAAATTATAATTAATCAAAAAAATTCTGAAAGGATCAAACAAAGAAAACTTCCAAAACATACTAAAATAGACCTCTATATACTTTCAACCAAGATACTAATGAAAACTTAGCATTATTATTGCTTCTGGTAAAGAAAAAAATAAATTAAACTTTCAAAGGAAATTAAAAAAAAAAAAAAAAAAGCAACGAATCAAAAACGAAAAAGGCGGAGAAAAACAAAAAGTGTGAAACAATAAAACAATATAAAGGGGGGAGAGATTATAGAGATATTTTTCAATACCCCAAAATTAGCAAAAACAAAAACATTCACTCTCTGTTAAACTCTTTGTCCTCCATCCATTTCCTTCTCTCTTTTCACTTCTCTCACTCGTTTTTTTTGTTCTTTATTCTCTTGCTGCCTGCGCCTTCCTTCTCCCCCGATTTGTTTCTTCCGACGACTCTGAGAGAGAGAGTTCTCTCCTCTTCTCTCTGATCCTTTCTGTTTTCTCCATCCGCGTGACTTTACGTTTAAGGTAAATATATATATATATCTCATCGTCAATGTCTGCTTCTTCTCGATTTCGTTTTTGTTCCGATTCATCTCGATTTAATTTTTTTCTTTTTTTATGTGTTCTGTCAATGGAATCCTTAATGTTTATGAAGATTTTTGGTTAATACAATCCACTTGTTAGATATATATATGATGATGAACACGGTGAATACTTTCAAAATTTTCTGATGAAACTAAATCTATATGTTGTGTCCTTTCCTCTGTTTCTGTGTTTTTTCTTTTTTTTTGAGATAGCTCTTGTCTGCAAAAACCAGTTTTTTTTATCTGAAACAACTTTTGTGGTCTGCATTTAATGGCGTCTTATGAAAAATGACCTTGTTTTTTTAAACTCTCACTTTTTAACTTATGTTAACTGTTCGTTATCTTGGCCCCATCTATCTTCACTTTCGATATGTGCTTAGACTCTCACCACGTATCTTTGTCTCTAAGGTCATAAAACCATCTAAATTTTGAAGTGGGTGTGTATAACTCTTAAGATTTAGTTCGGACTGTTGATGATAATTACAAAAAGTACAAAACTTGATTTGTTTTTTTGGATCCAAGACTTATAAGAACTCAAGTCTTGGTATGCCTGTTAGGTGTATAACTCTTAAGAGTATAGTTAGGACTTTTGATGATGATAACAAAATTACTAAACTTGATGGTTCTTTTGGATGGATCCAAGTCTTGGTATGACTGTTACTGTTTTTCCTGGTTAGTGGATCGTCTTTCTTATCTAGATTAATAAGAAAAGTGGTGTATTGATTCGTATTTGAAGCTTTTTATGAATCTGATTGAGTAAATGGATCTTTGTTGCTTCAGAACATATCAAGAAAGTGAAAGAAGAAGAAAAAAAATGCAGGAAGAGACAGATCCTTATGGTGAGATTGAGATAAGCTTTGGTTATCAGTGCAATAACAATAAGGTAGCGATTCCTGAAGATAGTGTTCCTGATGGCCGTGAGGTTCTTGCTGGGTTTAGGCTTCAAAAGACTAGCAGTTTCTCTTGTTTATCAGGAGCTGCTTTAAGCGGCAACCCGACCTTAGCCAATACGAATATCTGCAATGGAGTGATTGGTTCTGAGATCTTGCCTTCTCTGGATTCTCCTAAATCTTTCAGGAAAGTTCCATCTTCGCCTGCGCTTTCTAAGCTTGACATACTCTCTCCTTCTCTTCATGGGAGCATGGTGAGTCTAAGCTGCAGCTCGTCTACTAGCCCGAGTCCTCCTGATCCAGAATCTTGTTACTTGACATCATTGAGTTCTCCTTCTTCTGTGAATGAAGGGTTTCTTCTCTCTGCCATGGAACTTCAAGTTGCAGGAGGTGCTGCAGGTGAAGATAGGGTTCAGGCTGTCTGCTCTGAGGAGAATGGCTGGCTCTTTTGCGCTATCTATGATGGATTCAATGGAAGAGATGCTGCCGATTTCTTGGCTTGTACTTTGTATGAGTCCATTGTGTTCCATCTCCAGTTACTTGATCGCCAAATGAAGCAAAGCCTTACAAAGTCCGATGATGATGTCGAAAAGTTGGAATTGTTATCAAATATGAGTAAAATAGATTACTCTTCCTCTGATTTATTCAGACAAGGAGTGCTAGATTGCTTAAACCGTGCGCTTTTCCAGGCGGAAAACGATTTCTTAAGGATGGTTGAGCAAGAAATGGAAGAAAGACCGGACTTAGTATCTGTGGGATCCTGCGTTTTGGTCACTCTCCTTGTCGGGAAGGATCTCTACATCCTTAATCTAGGTGATAGCAGAGCTGTTCTAGCGACCTACAATGGAAATAAGAAGCTGGAAGCTGTTCAGCTCACAGAGGATCATACAGTTGATAACGAAGTCGAAGAAGCTAGACTCTTAAGTGAGCATCTTGATGATCCCAAAATCGTTATTGGTGGAAAAATCAAAGGAAAGCTTAAAGTTACTCGTGCTCTAGGAGTTGGTTACTTGAAGAAGGTATTAGTATTCTTATTATTATTAAGTTGATGGTTTTATTATACTTAGAAGAAAAAATAGCAAATAGATCGTCTCCATTAAATTGCAGGAGAAATTAAACGATGCACTCATGGGAATTCTCCGCGTTCGTAACCTTTTGAGCCCGCCTTACGTCTCAGTGGAACCATCGATGAGAGTTCATAAGATAACGGAGTCAGATCACTTTGTTATAGTTGCAAGTGATGGTTTGTTCGATTTCTTCAGCAACGAGGAAGCCATTGCACTTGTACATTCCTTCATTTCTAGTAATCCGTCTGGTGATCCAGCTAAGTTTCTACTTGAACGTCTTGTAGCTAAAGCTGCTGATCGCGCTGGTAACAAGCTTTTTGTCATGTTTTACTTCAGTGAATCTGCAAATTTCATTAACTAAATAACTAAACTTTGATACAGGCTTCACGTTGGAAGAGTTGATGAGTGTTCCTGCTGGTCGGAGACGGAGGTATCATGATGACGTGACTATAATGGTCATCACTCTCGGTACCGATCAACGTACTTCAAAGGCTTCTACGTTCGTGTGATTTTGATGATGATGGCGAGAAAATGTTAAATTGTATAATTAGTCTTATTGATCTTATTTAAGACTCTGGGAACTGGCTGGTATTATTATTTCAATTCAATGTATATATTATTGTAGTTCTTGGGATTTTCAATGGCTATAGAGAGAGCCTAAAATTCATCAGGTTGTATCGTGTCGGCCTTAGTCATGTGTTCTGTTTTGGGTTTTTAGTCGGTTTGGTTTGTTTACCAAGGATGTTGTAGGAGATGTTCTTAACTAGGATTTTTTTTTTTTTTTTTTTTTTTTGGTCATTACAGATGTTCTTAACTAGCTCTGTTCTATGGATTCCTGTAATTTATCAATCTCCACGAAACGACGTCGTCGAAGCTTGACTTGCCATTTACATCACCGGTCTGTATTATTTGTACATCGGTTACTTTGTGTTTTTATGTAGGATTTGCAGTATCAGAGAGGAGGATTCTTACTCTGTTGTCCATGTTAAGAATTCCAATTCAGAAATCAAATACAAAACTAAACTGGTGGTGATACTGACTGCTTCAAGCACAAAATCATCTTTCACGGAATTTAGTTTGACAAAGAAATGATTTGTCGTTGCTTTGTGATTTAGTACAATCAATGACAAAGAAAAATTTGTCACTTGTGTGATTCCATGGACTTCTTTGTTGTGGACTTAGCCTTTTCTTTGCATTACCGGATTCATATTCTTAATTAAACATTATATAATTCTTTGAAACTGTATTATCCTCACAAAATTCACCTAATATTCTTTGAAACTACATGATCCACCTAATATTACATAAAAGTATTTTAGAGTTTAGCATTATATTTTTCGAATTTTGTAAAAGGATAGGTTATTAATCTAAAATTTATTAAATTGCATCATAATATATATACAAGCATTTAAGGAAGAGTAAACAGATATTATAAAGTTTTGAGCAAAACCAAACTACTGAATAAGGAAAGCAAATACCGAGTGGAATTAGAGGCACAATACAATGTATAATAAACTCATGATTCTGGAAGCAGCAAATCTGAATTAGGTGGGATACGAGGATCATCAATCAATGAAGAACATGTTTACTTAAAACTGTTGTTTGTCAAATGTTGATTCGTCCATCTATGTCTATGAAGGCTCGCCTTTACAATTGATTGGTCCATCTTGGTTTGTTTTTTCGTCCAAGGAATAATTTAATAATGACAATGACAAATATACTTTGTACTCAAAAGAGCCGTATGTGATTTATAAACCGTCCCTTATCATCATTTTCCACTTTATAACATTCTTGGGGACAAAGTTCACTCACACCAACAACTAAAGAGTAACCATGGAAAAACAAAATGCTATAGTTTTGTATCCATCACCGCCTATAGGTCACTTAGTGTCCATGGTTGAGTTAGGCAAGCTCATCCTCTCCAAAAACCCATCTCTCTCCATCCATATCATCTTAGTTCCACCACCTTATCAGCCGGAATCAACCGCCACCTACATATCCTCCGTCTCCTCCTCCTTCCCTTCAATCACCTTCCACCACATCCCCACTATCACATCACACTCCTCCAAAACCTCACCAAAACATCACGAGTCACTCGTCCTAGGAATCCTCCGTTCCAGCAACCAAAACGTCCATAATACTCTGCTATCCATCTCCCTTGCATTCAACCTCCGTGCCATGATTATTGACTTCTTCTGCACGGCCGTGCTTGAAGTCACCGCCGATTTCGCGTTCCCGGTCTACTATTTCTTTACCTCCGGAGCCGCTTGTCTCGCCTCTTTCTTCCATCTCCCGACTCTCGACGAAACTACAGCCGGACAAAACCTCAAAGACGTCCACACGCTCCTCAACATACCCGGCGTTCCTCCCATCAAAGGCTCCGATATGCCTAAACCGGTGCTTGAACGCGGCTATGATGTGTACGATGCTTTCATATTGTTCTCTAAAGAGCTCTCAAAGTCTTCAGGGGTCATTATCAACACATTTGACGCATTAGAGAACAGAGCCATCAAGACCATAACAGAGGAGCTCTGTTTTCGAAATATCCATCCAATAGGACCGATCATTGTAAACAGAAGAACCGAAGACAAGAACAATAACAAGGAAGTCTCTTGTCTGAGTTGGCTCGATTCGCAGCCGGAAAAGAGTGTCTTGTTCCTATGTTTCGGGAGCTTAGGTTTGTTCTCAGGAGAACAGCTAAAAGAGATTGCTCTTGGATTAGAAAAGAGTGGACATAGATTCTTGTGGGTGGTGCGTAATCCACCCGAGCTACAAAACCAGACAGAACCGGATTTAAAATCCCTCTTACCGGAAGGATTCTTAAACCGAACCGGAAACAGAGGAATGGTCGTCAAATCATGGGCTCCGCAAGTTCCGGTTTTGAATCATAAGGCCGTTGGCGGATTCGTCACTCATTGTGGTTGGAACTCAATTCTTGAATCTGTTTGCGCCGGTACATATTTCAATTATATAGTTATTATTTTACGTGTGTGTATTATGATTCAGTTTGGTTAATTACTTAATTCAATTGGTTTGCCATGATAATAGGTGTACCGATGGTTGCATGGCCTTTGTACGCCGAGCAGAGGTTTAACAGAGTAGTGATTGTGGATGAAATAAAGATTGCGATTCCGATGAATGAATCGGAGACGGGTTTCGTGAGCTCGACGGAGGTGGAGAAACGCGTCCAAGAGATAATGCAGGATGGTCCGGTTAGGAAGAAAACCAACGAAATGAAGAACGCAGCCGAATCAGCCTTGACTGAAACCGGTTCGTCTCATGCCGCGTTGACTACGCTACTCCAGTCGTGGTGCCCATAATAATGAATCTCTCAAGTCCTTCTTCTAATATCAATTAATGGTTCAAGTTAAGTCTTGTAGTCTAGTATCGAATTATATCAAAAAACATTCCGCATTCATGAAAATTTGGGTTCATTACGGGAAAAAAAAACAACAACTGGTGCAATGCAAAATAAGACCAAACACTGAGATAACACGTGTCAAAAAACTGTTGAAAATAAACGGCTAAGATTGATTGTGTATATAGCTAAGGAATCTTCTACTGTCCACGAGATATACACATCTGTGGTTTTTGCTAAGCTTCAGTTACATAAATATTAATATTACGCGTTACAACAAAATATTAATACATTTCCAATTTAGACGGAAACAACAATTATCTATCTATCTATCTCCTTCTTCTTCTGTTCTGTTGTTCAATCTCTCTTTCTCTGTCTTAGCAATGGCGAATCTGACCTTAGAACTCAACATTTACTCTGCAAAAGATCTTGAAAATGTCAACCTTATCACCAAAATGGACGTATACGCCGTCGTTTCGATCAACGGCGATGATCCTCAGAAGAATCTTAAGGAGAAAACTCCGATCGATCGAACCGGTGATTCTGAGCCTACATGGAACCACGCCGTTAAATTCTCCGTCGATCAGAGGCTAGCTTATGAAGGGCGTTTGATCCTCGTCGTGAAACTGGTCTGCGATCGGATCTTCGGCGACAAAGATCTCGGAGAAGTCAAAGTCCCGGTGCTCGAGCTTCTCCATGGCTCTGCGCCTCCGTCGTTTAACGGTAACGGTCAGGGGATGATGAGATTTGTTACGTATCAGGTGAGAACTCCCTGTGGGAAAGGTCAAGGCTCGCTGACTTTTTCGTACCGGTTCGATTCACCGACGTTTAAACCGGATTCACCGGTTTCTTCATCGTCACCGGTTTACTCGAATCCGATTCAGACAACTCCTGATTTGCCAGCGACGACGATTTATCCTCCTCCGCCATCGTCTGAATCTAGTTTCTATCCACCACTGTCGTCAATCGAACATCCGCCACCGTCGTCTCAGCCGCAAGGATACTCAGCACCGCCGTACCCGTACCCGAACCCGTACCAATACGATTCTCATTATTCGGAACAGCCAAACACCATTTACCCGCCGCCTCCGTCACCCTCCGCCTCGAGTTTATATCCTCCGCCGTATTACAGTATTTCACCGCCGCGGCATCAATTATATCCGCCGCCTCCCGGTCATTCGTACCACCAAATGCAACCGACACAGTCATTTCACGGGTATGCGCCGTCGTCTACGCAGAATCAGCACGGTTATATATATCCTCCGCCGCCACAGACATCAGGATATGGATACGGTAGTCCGACAACGCAAGCGCCGCCGAAGAATAATAATAATAAAACAGGGCTTGGGATTGGTATGGGAGCTGGGCTTTTGGGAGGAGCATTGGGTGGGCTCGTACTCGGCGATTTAGTGTCTGACATTGGCTTTGATTTTTAATACTTAAAAAAATAAATTCTTGCTTAAAAAACAGAAAAAATAAATAAATAAATGTTTACAATTTTGATTACAAATAATAACGCTGGATCATATCATTCTGTTTGAACAAAAAAAAAAAAACTGAAAAATTTGTGCTATAGCTTGGGAAAAAATAAAATTGTGCTATAGCGTGAAAAAAAAAAACTGAAAAAAATTACGGGGTTAGTTAATTAGTACTCATGTGTTTTTGATTGTGTTGTGTTTTTGGTGCATGTATGCGTGTCTAGGCATCAAAGCTATTAGGGCAACTAATCACTTGTGCCTAACATCAAATTCATCGTTAGTGAAGATTAAACGGAATACCAACAAATGAGATAACACAAGAAGACTATTACTCTATTAGTATTTATCGACTGATTACTTACTTAATACTTTTTTCATCAAAATAAGATTATATTAGATAATTATGAAAATCGTAATACAACTGATCTCTTAGCGGTGGATTCAAAAATTCAGAATAAAAAGAGATCAAATTACAACCATTGACACGATTGTGTTTTATTTTTATGCTATGGTCATGTTGACTATCAAAATTTCTGTCGTTATATGTTTTTTTTATATATGTTCGTAAAGATTTATTTATTAAAATAAAGAAAAAATAACTACAAAAGTGAACTTATTACCCAGCTTCTGAAGATTTTAGATATGTTGTATGTTTCCAAGCTTAAATTTTAATTGGGGTACATAATAGAGACCTAATATATAACAAAGGTCAGTGAGGTGTACGCCAATATATGATTCGCATTTGTTTTTCCTTTTTTTTTTTCTTTTTTTTGCCTAGTTTTTCCTTTTTTTTTTCTTTTTAATGAAAAATCTTTAAAGATTCTTATTTTAACATAGATGTTTAATTTGTTTTCTTTTATCCCTTGTGAGGTAGTTACTCTTACTTTGCCTTTTTCTTCATTTTTTTAGCTAAACTGATAAAATATTTGGTAAAAACATTTTGGAGTGCCAATGACCAAATTTGTATAAAGATGATACTATACGCATTACATCAATATATAGATACACATATACAGTGTCTACTATAGTTAAATATCTTGATTAAAAAAAAACCAAAGAAATAAGGAAAGATGTATTATTGATTGCAAATACATCAAAACTAACCCTTTTGACGATAGCAAATTAGATATGGATAAACTTTTTTTGCTAGCTACTGCTGGATGCTTTAAATTATAAAGTCAGTTTGTATAATTTAATTAAGTAAACTCTAATACGTGTTCAATAGCAAAATACTAAAGTGTTTATGTAACACAATTTAAAATTTATTTTTAAGATCTCATATTCATAGAAAAGTAAAGTTTATTTTTAAACTCCATAATTAAGTAATTTATAAAATTAAGAATATAAATGTATTGGAAATCAATATATTAATTTCATTACATTTTGAAATAGATCAATTTGTGAGAGCTATTTTGGATTCATGACTTTTTTGTGTTTTAGTTCTATGTAATTAATTAAATACCTTAAAAGGAGAATTTAAGTGATGTGGTAAAATTTACATATCATATGTTATTCAATTATGAATTTTAATAAGTCAATGTAATCTAGTAGTGATGAGATCCATTATATGTTGATAGATACATATCTATTGAAAAATATATTGTTAAAAGTATTATACATGAAATTGTTAATTTAGTTATCAAATCATGTCACATTTATAGTATTAAGTGTCTTGGTACAACTAAATTATTGTAAACGATAAGAAAATAAGGGAATTATTAAAATGATCATTTTTGTGTTTAATATCTTAGAATCCACTTTGTCCAAAAAACACAGAAATATATCTTAGTATCCACAATTTTTTAATAGTTCTAGGGAAAACAATATTAAATATTATTAGAGTTATAAACAACACCTTTCATAACTAATTTTACACATCTTCTTAAAGTTATAAGAAATGAGAACCATTCTTAGACTTTTTATTAATAATAAATATACTTAGACTTCTCAAAGAACCATTCGTGTGTTTCAAAAAAAAAAGGAAAAACAAAAAGACTTTTTTTAGTAGTACTGGTATTATTAAAATGTTAATATCTTAAGATAGAGATATTGGAAGATGTATTTGACTACCATAATGTTAATTGAGGTGGTTAGCTAATCGTTTATGTCCCTTGCACTATCGACAAGAAACCATATACGAAGTAGTAGTAGTAAGTATTTCAAAATTAATAGTCTGACTCTGATCGTTGCGACCTCCGAGAGTGAAGTTCATTGTTATGAACCGGGAGAAGGCAAGCGATGTATAGCTTTCGAAACTATAAACATATGTCCTTCAAGGCATGACTTACGTAGACCCGTTTAATGCGTAGGCTTCATGGGCCATTTATAGTAGAAGGATTAGTCCAGGCCTTATCGATATTTTTTATTCTTCTTTTTTTTTGTTTGTGTTCCTCTCTTTTTTGTTGTTGTTACAAGTACTAGACTGACAAAGAGTGTACAAACGATAACACCCTACAAGATAGCTAGCTAAGCTTAGTGGATAAAATAATTCATTTCTTGGTGAATATTTTTCTGGGAAGAGCATCATTGACACCACACCACTATTCTTATTTTTTATATTTTTCCCCTGATATGACATTCAATTCACGAGTTGTTTTTGTTCCTTTTTCTCCTGAGTCGGCTACTTTTAATTGGATGCTTTTGTACTCTTCAAATCACAACCGTCGCGTTTGCTCTGTATCTTTCTCTATTCAGCTCCTACGGCCACGATTTAAAAGCCGGAATTTAAACCTTATCGTACCATCTCAGAAAAAATCTTGTGCAAGTGTTGTTAACATGTGTCCACTGTCTTGTTTGTCTGCGCGGATCTAGTTTTCTTTTAACCATTTGACCGGTGAATGGTGATGATGATGAGATCAATTGTATATGAAGTGCGGTTAGGTTTTAACCATGGTTAGTTAAGGTTTTTTTTTTTTGGTCTGACAGTGAGGGAAGAAAAGTCACGGAGTTGGGTAAAACGGAGACAAGATATGACTAGAGACACACTCCTTTGGATTCGATATTTTCCCAAACCACCCTTCCTTACTTGACCGGAACTCTTCACTCTCGGTTTTTCTATGTTCGGCTTTATCGTAATATCGCTGTCACCCTTAGTCACACGTACGTGGGAGAGTCATGTTCATTCTTTCCCCCTCCTCTCTCCTGATAAACCAAACAAACAGTAGTAGTAGCTTCAAAGCTTTATTTGGTTTCAAATATGTTTCTTGATTTACGCAGCAAGATTTGTAATAGTTTCTGTTTTTATCAAATATGTTTTAGTTTTGTAGATTTGGTGTTTCTTTACTTTGTTTTGAGAAAACCAAAAAAACAAAATTAGCTTAGATTAGGAGAATCTACAAACAAGTTGACTATTTTACTTGGTTGGGGAAACCAAATAGTAAAATATACCATCGTAATCCACACGTACACATTGTTTTTTTTTTTTTTACTTTTGACAAAATAATTGATTAGCTACCTAACAAATTGACATTTTTGTTTCTCTTTATTATTGTGAGAGAGGCAAGTTCAAAATAAAATAAATTACATACATAGACTTCACTGAGACGCCATGCAGATTCGTATGTTTACACAATGCTCACCCATCTCTCGAGTTCTCTCAATTGAATTTTCCCATGCGGTTCATTTATGTAGTATAACTTTGTTGTAGATTGGTAATATATTAAAGTTTTCATATTACAAAAATGTCTTTTAAAAAAGCATAGGGATATGTGTCTTATGGACAGTGGATAAGGAGAGTGGTCCTTAAAACAGACCATGAATTATGGGATCTTCTTCTTCCCTTTAGTTCCTTTTATTGTTTTCTTTTTTAGGTATTCTTATTTTATTCGTAATGGTCGTCAAGTTGTTTTTTGGATTTATACACTTGAATTATTAATTTTCTAATAAATAATCCGTGTTAACAAGTTTGAAACAGAACAGGGACGCTTTGCTTCTTTCACTAGACAAACCCTTAATTAGCGATTTTTGAGGCAGAAAAAAAGACAAGGTTGCGTGTCTTTTACTCCAACAAAATCAAAAATCCCCTAAAAGCCTAAAATCCCTTTTCTATTACTAGTATTTTTTGTTTTTTTACTGTTTCTTTATTTTTACTTTCATGGTCGAGAACAATAACAGTATTTCCTTGGTATGATAAGTAAATTTTGTAGTTGTTTTCAATTATAAACTTTTGGGGTTAGGAGTAAAAGTGGAGTCACTCTACTCTGCTTTTACCTTTTTCTTGGGGTTCTATTTTTTTTCTTCATACAAATCCAAATTTTCTTTTCTATGTATCCATATACTTTTTCTCTTCTCGTCCCTTTCAGAATCTTTAGTAAGAGAGAGAGAAAGAACAAATTGAAAAGGAAAAAAAAAAGAGAGAGAGGAAGGCTGTGTGAGAGAGAGAACCCACCAAAGCGTGCACGATTGAAAAAAAAAAAAGCTTTGATTTGTATAAAATCCCACCACTTCTCTCTTACCATACCTTCATTACACATCTCTCTCTCTCTTTCTAGCTCTCTCTCTCAGTTTTGTGGGATTGTTTCTTTTTTAGGGTTTTCTCAGGTCTTTTGTCTTTTAAAGTGTTTGGTGAATTCGCAAAGGTTTCTTTATTTTGTATCTCTATCTCTCTCTCTATCTGTCGTACGTCTCCCCTTGTAAAAAGAAGCTAGAAGATTTCAATTTTTCATCCCTAGTTAAACCTGAGACAAGGAATCTTGTGTTGATTCAATGGAAGGTTGTCCAAGAAACAGAGAGATCGGTCCAAAACTTCTTGATTTGATTCCCCAAGGAAGAAAATGGTACCAAGAAGACAAGAACAACGTAGATCAGGAGAAGAAACTTGAGCTAAGGCTTGGACCACCCGGTGGTGATGAAGAAGATCATCATCATTCAGCCATGAAGAAGAAGAACAACACAGAGACAAGAAACATCAAGGTGGAATCAGAAGACAAATCTTTCCACGGTTTCAACGGCAATCACTTCTCTTCTTCCAACAAAACCTCTCAGAAAAGGTATCTTCTCCTTTCACTGTTAAATATTTTCTTACCGCTTTGACAGAGGATACTCTCTTTTGAACATTAGGGACCCATCCTTCTGCAATCTCTGTTGTTTCTTTTCACCCTCACATGTTATTAAACTTTTACTCTGTTTTGCTCTGTTTTTGTCTTTTGGGGTATTAACATACAAGTCTTTTGTTTCTTTTGATGTCTGGTTTTAAAGAACCGCTCCTGGTCCTGTAGTGGGTTGGCCTCCGGTTCGTTCGTTCAGAAAGAATCTAGCGAGCACAAGCTCTTCAAAGTTCGGAAATGAATCCTCACATGGTGGTCAAATCAACAACAAGAGTGATGATGGTGAAAAGCAAGTTGAACTTAAGAAAGAAGGAATGTTTGTGAAGATAAACATGGATGGTGTTCCTATTGGTCGTAAAGTTGATCTCAGTGCTTACAAGAGCTACGAACAGCTCTCTTTTGCCGTTGACAAACTCTTCAGAGGTCTACTCGCAGGTTAAAATCTTGGTTTCAAGTTCTGTCTTTTAGTTCTTAAAAGATTGTTTCTTGTGTTTATACTAAATATGTTATCATCATTGGTTATTAGCTCAAAGAGACACCTCTGGTGGTGAAGGAGAAGAGAAACCTATAATTGGATTATTAGATGGGAAAGGAGAATTTACTTTAACCTATGAAGACAATGAAGGGGACAAGATGCTTGTTGGGGATGTTCCTTGGCAGTAAGAATCTTTTTCACCTTTTCTTCTCTGAATCTGATTCAGTGTTTTGCAGAATTAGATTCTTGATCACATAACAACAAAAAAACATCTCAGCTTTTTTATTACTAGTAGTACTCAAATTGATTATTCTTTATAGAAAGAATAGAATTTTTGTTTGGAGCTTTGTCTATACCTCTGCATACTAACTAATCTTTTTAATCATTTGTCTCTAAACCTAGAATGTTCGTTTCATCTGTGAAGAGACTGCGTGTGATTAAAAGCTCTGAGATTTCATCTGCCTTGACATGTAAGCTTATGTTCTTATGTGTTTAGATGATTTATTAAAAGCTATATGACTAAAAGGGTTCCTCTGTGTATATGCAGTTGGATGCAGCAAGCATGAGAAGATGAGGCACTGAAGAGTGTTTTAGAAACTACTATTTCAGGCAGAGAGTCTCTCCTCACAGCTTATAAAATGTACATCTGGATTTTGTTATATATAAGAAGAGATAATCATTGGTTTTGTCCAAAGAGACATTGATCTGATCTATTCACATGTCTTCAGAGACACTTGGACGATGAGATAACAGAATCGATCTGTGTTTCAAAAGCAGTTTTTAATTAATTAAGAAAGATAAGTAGAACGTAGTAGTAATAATTATGTCATGTCTTGCCAGATTCTTTTGGCAAACAAAAAAGTAATGAAATTTAATATTCTCTGTAACTTTTGTTCTTTCCAACTTTGGCTAATACCTTTAATCATGTAAAAAGCTGAGAATGAAAGGCCATTATTGTTATGTGTGTGTGTGTGTTGTTTTTACTATTGAACCTGAGTGAGTGTATGTACATAAAGAAGATAAGATTAGAAGTTGAAAACTCAACGAAAGACTTTATCAGAATGATCAGTCCATATCGATCATTTTGGTGGCTATCATCTCTTTTGCTGTAGATGCAGAATTTTAGCAGCTTTTTATCCCAACCTCCTTATAAAATCATACTACTACGTATTACATACATTGTATCGTATGTGTAAACACATCGCAATATATCCACATATTGGACCGTGTCTTGGTGGGCCGACTGAAAGAAACATCACCACCATTCACAAAGAAATAGAACAACAGTTTGATTTAGCACATTGTTTTCGTGTTCAAACATTTCACAATGTTAAATTATATATTTAAAGTTTGCCGACTTAGATTCATCGAAAGGTTTATCTGAAGTTGTCCATCTCCGGCTATTAAAATAAGTGTATCTTTTTAGATATCAATTATTAGCTAAGCTTTGATGTTCTTTATAGACTTTGTTATTAAAGAAGTTGTATATGGATTAAGATTGTGTGTAGTTATCACTAATTTTAAGTGGTCTGAGACTAAGACCATCAAGGGGTTGTTGGTGACATTGAAGATTCATCCATGATCAGACTCATCAACTCTCGTCCACAACCACAATGTAGAAAGACAAATTTTTTTCAAACAAAAACAAAAACATTTTCTGAAACACCATTTAAAGCGATAGCCGCAATTTTACTGTGCTCGAAATTTTAAATGTTAATAACTGCATGAGTTAGATAGAATTTGTGGTGTGGTTGGGGGTTTGGGGAGAAAATACTGAATGAGACATGAAAAATAAATATTGATAGAAACATTGCATTTTCAGATTAGTCTCTTTCGTTGAGACATGCCTAACTCATATAGCAAAATGTGAGACTTATTTTTTTTATTTTATTCTGTGTGTACATGATTGTGATGGTTATTGTCCACCACTGCAGCAAAGAAATTGAACTTTGATACCTATGTTTTGCTAACAAATTAAAAAAAAAACTTATATGCACATTAACACATGTCGATATATATAAAGTTTAGTTTCATCAGTCCATTGTGTGGCGAGGCTGAACAGAGACGAATACACTGCGTACCGTTTCGGGTATTTTTGTTAAGACTGTGTGTCGTTTTTACTCATATATGGGCCTTACATAAGATAAAAGTTCGGTCCATGCTGTGTCCGACGTTACACGCTCTCCAAAATACTGTATAACCAAATATTTTATAAAGTTGGTTTTAAGTTACAGTATTGGACCTTGTATAATTTAAACGAATAGTACTTCTCAATAATTCTTTTAGTCAAAATTTAAATGCTATAAGGTAAGACTTGAACCACTAGATAATTTGGTAGCACCTAAAAAAATGTTATTTATATAAATATAACCCTACATAATAATGCTTCTCCTATTGGCTATTGGTAACACCTAAAAACGCTGTATACAATGGGAAAATAATTCTCCGACATACTCTTTAAACGTAGAGAACACTAACGACTTTATCTTGTAAAACAGTAGGTTATATTTTGGCCCACATCGAGAAAAACACAGTAAAAAGGTTTCTTCAATATGATTCGTCTCTGTTACACTAGAGTCATGTCTTCCTTACGTACAATTATGAATATATACACTGTACACCACAGACCACACATAATATTGTAGCTACTGATGATAAAGAGTTTGGTGCTTATTGTAGTGGAGTTGCTGGTGTGACTAAGGCCTTGAACGGGGAGACAGGAGAAGTGCAGTTGACCCATGCATGTAATTCTCCTGTTATCGAGACACCATTCACCATTTTTAATTTTTTTTAAACAAAACCAAAAAAGCTGAAGGCAGTTCATTAATTTTTTGTCTTTTTGTGAAAAAGACAGGACATCTGCGGGGGAAGTTGTGCACGCCTCTTTTGATGTGTTTTAACTGTCTTTTGTATTTTTCTATTTTTTTAATAAAATAATAATTCAAAAAAATCTTTTCTTTTTTTTTATATAACTACACTACACTTCACAACCCATACACCACTCACTTCTTCTTTCTCTCCCTCTCTCGTGTTCTAACCATTTTTGTTTGCAAAGGTATTTTTTTTTTCTTAAATTACATGCAATTTAATTTTTCTATAGACTAACATATATATTTTATTTTTTACAGAATTCAAAATACAATCCAAACTTCAACACTACACCTTTTGTTTCTATAATTTCCTGCTGAAAGGTATATATATTTATCCTATTAAATAAAGGTAGTTACATTATATAGTATATTAGTAGTTATAAAATTATAGTATTTAAATTTTTATTTAAAACATGCTTTTTCTACCAATGATGTAATATGTATGTTAATTTTATATTTGTATATATATAGTTTTTGGAGACAAATATTATGTGGTTGATTCTGGTTATCCAAATAAACAAGGTTTTTTGGCTCCTTATAGATCTTCACGGAATGGGATTGTTCGGTATCATATGTCGCAATTCTACAATGGTCCTCCTCCTAGGAACAAACAAGAACTATTTAATCGTTGTCATGCATCACTACGTTCTGTTATTGAAAGAACATTTGGAGTTTGGAAGAAGAAATGGAGGATTCTTTCTGAGTTTCCTAGATATAACACACATGTTCAAAAAAGAGTGGTGATGGCTACAATGGGACTACATAATTTTATCAGAATTTCAAATTATTTTGATGAAGATTTTGCTGAAGTAATGCAGCATACAGATACTAGCAACACAAATTCAGAGAATGACGAAGGTGACATGGAAACTACTGCTATAGCTGATGGAGATCAAATGGCAAATATTAGAGAAAATATTGCTGATATGTTATGGGAAAATCAAAATACTCCTTATTAATATATTCTTAGTTTAATTTTTGTTGTATTTGGATATTTGTTTTTAATGTTTTAAGACCTCCAAATATTTAGAAAAAAAATCAACACTAAATACATTGATTATTTTTAAAAATAATTTTATTGAATTTTATGTGTTTTTTATATTATTTACTGTTTAATATTTAATATGCATATATAATCTGCACTGTTTGATCTGCTTTTACCATTCAAAGCCATAAATATATACTGCACAATCAGCATGATCTGCACTTGTTCTGCATGATCTGCATGATCTGCCTGATCTGCATTTGTTCCATATGATCTGCATGATCTGCATGATCTGCAACGCTTGATCTGCTTTTACCATTCGAAGTCTAAACATTTGTTGTGGACGTTAGGGTTTAGGTCGAAATTTATGTCGTTGATCCGGCCTTAATTATATACATTTATAATCTTTTCCATCTGTGTATTTTGAGAATCATTTATCAATTTTAGTTTACATGTATCATCAATCATGTATGTGTTTAGTCTTTTTTAAAAAAATGAAATAAATGGGTTTTGAGAAAGAGAGCTCAAAGGCAGTGATTATGGGTTTTTTTTGACTAGAGACAAGATTCTCCAATATAAAGAACTCATCTAGTGGAGGCGCCCATAACTGTTGAATTTGTATATATATATATATACAATTTTGTTTCTAAAGAATAATGAAATTGAGGGTTGAAACCATTCTCCAATGTCCATCCATGATCCATCCCACTTAGTTCTCTCCCACATGATGACCCTTTGAAAGCTTTACAAAAACGTGTGTGTCAACAAAAATAAAACTTAAACGCTGCAAAATAATGCAAGTTTGTAGAAGAAAAAACAAAAAAAAAAACTCGACAAATGCGCCGATTTCTTTGAATGATAAACAATCAAAATTTAAAAACCTTAAAGATTTAATGAAAATGGAAAAACAAATGTTAGTTTTATGATATTTTTGTTATATCTTAGGAAAAATAAATAAGACTATATGATACAAACAGCAAAAAGCCAAAACAAAAGAACACAGATACGGAGATCAGTCTTTCCACCAAGTAAGTTTATACAGTAGTTCATGATTTTACTATTTCAAAGATCTTTTATTAAAATGTGTGTAACGTACCACAGCTAATAAGACAATGATGAGTGTTGCTTCTACACTACACTCACGAGACCGAAGTGCACAAATCATATCAGTATATTCTTCTCTTCATACTTTTACTTCAAAAAAAAAAAATGAATGTATGCAAAATCAATAGTTCCCTTATTAGCCTAATGTATACAAAAACTGCAAGATATCATAAGCAGAAAGAACGAAAAAAATTAAAGAAGAAACTTATAAGTATTTTTTTTTTCAAGTTGTGATGGACCTATCGAATTACTTGTGTGCTCGTATTGTAAACGTGTAATCATTGAGTTATATGAATAAAATGTTTATGTAAGTTAAGGGTCCGTAAGCAATCGAGTGCTTCTAGAAACATCATTTTGACATATAACAGCTTAATAAGACTTGTTCGTTTCATCGTTTAAACTTTTATTCAAAAGTTTTATATTGCTCCTTTTTTTTTTGGTTGTAAGTAGAACTATGGTTTGGGGAGGGTAGTTTTTTTTAATTTAAGCGAACAACAGGGAGATTTTTTAAAAAGAGACAAAACTTATGTCTTCTTATTGGTGTATCTACTTCTTGAGAACGAAGCAAGAGACAAAGTGAGTCTATCGGTTTTGGTAAAGGAAGAGGAAGAGCCAGAAGAAGCAGAGGTTCTTGAGAGATGGCCTGAAGAAGATAACTTCAAGAGTGCCAATGTCGTAAAAGAGGTATTATGGCACACAGGGTGAAGTCAGGCAAAAGATAGAAAGAAAAGGTAATATATTAGTTTAACGTTGATTAAGGATATTGATGTGGATATACCATATACGTTCTTGTAATGTGTGTTAATTAATTAGCATATACTTTAATGGAGATCTTGAAGCTCATTATGATTATGTTCTTAAATGTATACATTATTTTCTCGATATATACGAATTTGTAATATTCTTCATGATTTGCATTCCAAAAAAAAAGAAAAAAAATTGTTCATGATAATCAATTCAACCCGTATTGTTTACCTTTGTTGGGTTGATTAATCGAGCTATCGTGTTCGACATTGTTTTTTTCGTTTTCAAGCTTGCAAGAGAAAATCAAACCTTGTAGCCTTCTATTTATATAAAGAAATTTGAAGCATTTTTGCCAAATCGGATTACAAAATAACTAAAGTCGAGACATGGAGAAACTGTATGGAGTTTGGTTTGAACATGCTAGAAAGTAAAACTTATGTTCTTTGAAGCTTTAATTTTGCCGTAGAGAAGAGAAACATGAACATATTATTACCACCATGGCATACAGATATACAAATAATAGCTAAGGAAAGAAACATAATTAATAGTGAAGAGACCACGTAGGAATTACTAATAATAAAACGCATTAAGCCAATAAGATAATTTGCCGTCTGTGACCACAAATTAAAAAAAAAAACTTCTTTATAATGTAAGCCCGTGCGCTCCATTAGAACGGACTCATATCCCATACTGCATTTTGTTGGGCTGTTACTGAACTCAAACTATAATCTAAGGAATGAAAAACACTTACAAATGATTATAACTCGTGGCTCTCGTCTTGTGTAATTATCATATTGATTTGGAAAAATTCGCATGCTACACCATCTTAATAATTATACTCGGTTTCTGCTCCTTATATCAATCCTAACACTCTTGCCAACACAAATAAATTTTATTTTTTGAGGCTATATAACTTACGTCTCATGTAATATAATTCAGATCGAACCAAAGGAAATAGTCTTGTCACAAATCTAGGTATATTCCTGATAAATAAGAAAGGTACAAATACAATTGTCACTGTGATCGAAGTTGGTGATCAATATTTACTGGATATGTATATCTATCTATATACTTTGCAACAAAGGAATTTTCCCATAACGACTCTAGGAATCTAAAATTAGTATGACTTTGTACCAAAAAACCAAATAAACCACACCCAAAAAAGTAGAACAAAGAAAAAAACGTTAAAAAAGGTACATTGTTTCACAAAGTTGATTTCATTTCTCGAGGCAGAGAGACAAACCCCGATGATACATACATACTACTACTACCTTCTTTGATTGGTAACAGAAACTCATCATTAATACATAAAGTTTTCAACTTTTTATTATAGTTTCCCAGATTCACATATTTGTTCCTCACCAAGCCCACACACACACACACACTTCGACGTCATGAGCTTTAACCTTAGCTGTAATGATGGAAATAGCTTAGACAAGTCAACGTTCGTTAACCACGACCATAAATACGTAGTTTGGTTTTGCACTATGTAATATCTTCATCATTAATGTCCCATGAACTCATGCCATTTGTAAACTGAACCAGACTTGATTTTAGAAACATGTCAATTAGATCATCTCAATGTCATTAGCGTAATGTACGCTTCAATACCAAATCAAACGGATTAAAATTAGTGATTACATTCCGAAATCCAATAGATCTCTTACCTTAAGAAAAAAGTTTCTATTTTAGTTAGCATTTAAATTTATATAGTAAGTAATTAGAGATGGGTTGAGGAAGGGAAATGGGATAATTTAAGTTAAGTAATAGTCGGGAATTACGAGGAAGGTATCTCTAAAACCGAGTAATGAACACAATGCTCCATAAAGACATACACTCTATTTTGTTTATTACTCAAATATACGACTCACCACACCACTTTTGAATCTTTTGAAGGTGCGTTTGGTTTATACTTTTTAATCTGTATGATCTGAGTAATTATTAAAGAAAAAAGAAGTTATAATATAGTTTTACTCTGTTCGTCTTCATTGTTTGTCTGCAGATCCGTGTTCCGTTGTGCTTGAATTTATAAATTATTTTCTCTTGCATATTTTTTTTAAAAACCTTGTTAAAAAAGAAAAAAATAAAAAATTAGAGAGCGCTCCATCTTTTGTCTCTCCATGACATCATTTTGTCTTGTAATTCAGTTCTTCACGAGGTTGTGTCAGATCTATTTTTATTTTTCTTTAAAATATTTATCTTATTTATTTTCTCTTCCTATCCTTTTCAAAACAATAATTATTCACAGCCCTAAAATCTAGACACTGTGTTACACTTCTGTAAATCCGTATTATTGTTATTTTCTCTTAACATTTTTTTCGTTTTTAAAATTTTTTCAGAGTAATGATTCCTACTTTTCGCGTTTCAAAAAGGATGATTACAACTGTTGTCAGTTCATTGAAATTGAATTCAAGTGGTATTTTTCAAATGAAGAACTCACTGTTTGTCTTACAGGACTAGAATATTTTTATATGTCTTGAGCAACAAATAAAAACCTTAAAATACTCTTATTAAAGTTTTTATTTTGCTAAGGTAAAGCAAGTTACCTTAAACCTGACGCTTAAGCTTTATACTAATTGTTAATTAGTTTTTGAATTATTAAATAATACGTTGCCTTATATTTGAAGCTATTATCGTATACTCAAAAGTTTTTAGGCCTCTTTTACCAAACGGTGCACTTAAAAACAAAAATTCTCCATAACAAATGTACATAAACTTAGTTTTTGTTTATAATCAAACGTATTTGTCCTTTGCTCAAGTTTAAATTCAAATAATACTTTATATATAAATGGGGGTGGAATGATACTGATATAATATAGTATTTTCAAGAACCTATCCCTCACTCTCTCTCTCTTTCTTGAACTTCTTCTTATCTTTCTTTCTTTTTTTACAGTTCTCCTTTCACAAAACATCACACTGTGTCTTCAGTTTCAGTGCCGTAAATTTTGTTTTCCTCTTCATTTCTTTCTTTTTTCTTGCATACGAAAAGTTCTTCTAGGTGTTTGTGATTTGTCGTCATCTCTGAGTCCTTTCAATCTCTTTTAAATCGTTCAAGAAAACAACTTTGACCGTGTTCTTTTGAAAAGTTGGGAGAGTTGGAAGAAGAAGAAGAAGAAGATGGGCAGAGCTGCGAGATGGTTCAAGGGTATTTTTGGTATGAAGAAGAGCAAAGAGAAAGAGAGCCGTGTTTCCCGTGACGGTGAAGCTGGTGGAGGGTCAGACATTCACCGGAAAGTTCTCCAAGCAGACTCTGTTTGGCTCAGAACTTACCTTGCGGAAACAGACAAAGAACAGAACAAACACGCGATTGCGGTTGCTGCAGCCACAGCCGCAGCAGCAGACGCAGCGGTTGCAGCGGCTCAGGCTGCCGTAGCGGTTGTGAGGCTAACAAGTAACGGAAGAACCGGAGGATATTCCGGCGGGAATGGGGTTTCCGGGACCACAATGGAGCGGTGGGCCGCCGTGAAAATACAGTCAGTCTTCAAGGGTTACTTGGTAAATTCTTATAACTTGTTCTTTCTTTTTTTCGTTATTTTGGACACAAAAGATCGAATTTTGCCATGTGGGTGTCGTTTAGATTCGACAACACTTAAGAAAGTATGTCTGTACTTTACTTGCTCCTTACACATCTTCGTTAATGAAACAGTACAACTCATTACCTTATTTTTTTTTTTTTTGCTAATTTCAAGAAAATTTTGTAATTCTTTTCATTAATCTAAATTTGTTTATTTGGGTCTAAACCAAAATTTATTTTTTGGTGTATACTATAGGCGAGAAAAGCGTTAAGAGCTTTGAAAGGTCTAGTGAAGCTACAAGCTTTGGTGAGAGGATACTTAGTCCGCAAACGCGCCGCCGAAACGCTTCATAGCATGCAAGCTCTCATTAGAGCTCAAACTAGCGTTCGTTCTCAACGCATCAACCGCTCTATCACCAGAGACAACAACAACAACAACAACATGTTTCATCCTCGACACTCACTTGTAATAATTATTCTTTTCTATAATCATTTTATTTTTTTAACTTAATCTCTGTAGTCAAATTTATGTTTTTAAATTGATTGATTATATAACAGGAGAGGTTTGACGATTCAAGAAGTGAAGTCCATAGCAAGAGGATATCAATCTCTGTTGAGAAACAGAGTAATTACAACAATGCGTATGATGAGACCAGTCCCAAGATTGTGGAGATTGATACTTACAAGACGAAATCAAGATCCAAGAGAATGAACGTGGCTGTATCTGAATGTGGAGATGATTTCATCTATCACGGCAAAGATTTCGAATGGAGTTTCCCGGGAGACAAATGCAAGTTTCCCACTGCCCAAAACACGCCAAGATTCTCAAATAACCATCATTACTACGCACCGCCTTCGCCAGCCAAGAGCGTTTCCAGAGAGGCTTGTTTTAGGCCGAGTTATCCTGGTTTGATGACACCGAGCTATATGGCTAATACGCAGTCGTTTAAGGCTAAGGTGCGTTCGCATAGTGCACCGAGACAACGTCCTGATCGGAAGAGATTGTCACTCGATGAGATTATGGCGGCTAGGAGTAGTGTTAGCGGCGTGAGGATGGTACAACCACAACTGCAAACGCAACCACAGCAACGCTCTCCTTGTTCGTACGATCATCAGTTTCTTCAGGACGCTACGAATTTTAGATTCTATAATTAGTAAGAAACGTTATTTTCGTCCTTAAAGGAAATTTCATCATAGCTTTTGACTTTTCATTGAGGACTTTAATTTTTCTTTTTCTTTTGGTTTCTGTTTTATTTTCTTTTCTCCCCCTTTTTTCGGGTTCTTATTTTTGTAAATGTTTGCTTTTGGGAAAAAAAAATGTTTAAATTCGTTTCTACTCATATACGACCTATTCTCACGTGGCATTGCTCAATGCTCATGCATTAGAGAAGTAAGAAAGTAAACTACAGTCTACACAGAACAAAATTTTCATGTATTAAGGTTATAATGTTAAAAGTGAAGTGAAATTAGATATTGGTATTGAAGAATTTGAAATTTCAAAGATGTGTCACATGTGTGTGTAATCGAGAGAAGAAGATATAATTATTAACAACTAAAACTATGATGACGAAATGAGGTTGAAATTTGCAATAAATTTGGAATCCATGTAGCGTCAGAACAAGTACGACATGACGTTATCATTATCGTGAATTTTTCAAAAGTCTTTTGTTATGTTTTTTCTCTTCCAATATCTAATCATTATTTAAAACCAACCACGGGATATGATTGGTTCATCCCGATACGTGTTTACGTCATCATATTCGTTCTTCTGAACACCAAACTTAAAAAAAATAACATAAACTAAACACATCAACGGCTTTTGATAAGCTTGTAAAATAATTTACCTCGTAATGTGCTATAAAGATTCCTCCTCATATAGCCTTTTTGCTTAAGGTTTTCTGTAATTACGCACCTTAATCATAGTTTAGTAAAGTACTAATGTATTAAGGTTAAAGACAGGAGCCGAAAAGAGAGACTAATGTATTCATAATGTTAATTAATAATAATTTGAATTGTATGTATTATGTTTGTAGTACACTGTGCCTATCTTTAATGGCCTATGTTACCTAACATTGTTTAACAAGAAAGAAAATAGAAATTGGAATTGAAGCTGATAAAAGTTGGTAAACGTATCAATCCACATATTATTATTCACGAGTTGAAGAGAAAAAAATATGGAAAAAAAAAAAGAGATTGGAGACGAAAACTTTTGAGATATCTCCAAAAAGAAAAGAAAAGAAAAGGCTTTCTTTATTTTACAGGTCCCAAACTCTATCTTCTGATGCCAAAAGATCTTTTTGCTTCTTTAAGCTTCAATGAAATCTTTTGCTTACGGACTCATAGCTTGGAACATTCAACACTGTCATCAAATCAAACACAAGATTACATAGTAAGTACATTGGATTAAGTTTGCAATCTTGTTTATTTGTTTTTATAAAGGATGTAAAAGTGAGATGATTTTGTTTTGTTCATTACCTTCTCCGAAAGATGCCATCGTCAAAGGCTTTGCAATAACCTTGCTAGTGAAATCTGCAATGTCCTTTAAGTTGAGTTGGTCTATTGTCTTCAAGAATTCATCAACTGGTTTCCTGCGAATGTGTTAGGAACAACAACCAACACATGCTAAATTAGAGAAAAGTTTGGTTCTTATAGCCAGTTTAAGAGGTTAGTACATGTGTATGTACCTCTCTCCATATGTAAGTATCTGTCTACCTATGTCTTCTGCTGCAATCATCTGCAAATCACACAAACAAACAATGAAAGAAATTCCATTATGAAATCGCAACACTCGTGGCTTAAAAAACAGAGGTGGAAGCTATGAGTGACCTACCCGAGATTCCAGATTCATCAGAATCGCAGATTTCGTTGCTGCCTTGGCGCGATCAAGATGTTTCTGATTAACTGCCAAATAAAAAACCCAAAGTAAATAGTATGTTTTATATGTAGGTTAATATCAGAAAGAGAGGGGGTAATCTTTGATAAAATTAACCTCGTCCTTCAGCAACAGCTTTCATTTCATCAGCTACTAATGCAATTCCTGTTGAAGCAAAGTCAGGACTCTGCAACCCAAAAATTTGTAAGCAAACTCACATATCATAGATACCGTGCTTAAAGCCCATAATAATTAACAGCTTGAAATCAGATCTAACTCACCGTGCAACCATAGATTCCAAATAATCCGGTATTGTTAAAGACGCTAGTGAATGCAGTGCATGACTGAACCTCCGGATGTTCGTTCAAAATGCGAAGATCTGCATCCAGACAATAAGGAAATCATTTTCATCATCAGCATGACTAACTAATGAAGTTATGATAAAAACATGAGAGTTCAGAACTAGAGGGAGCCGCTAGTAGACATCCAGAGGCTTACAGAGCCAAGAGTGCATCCCCTTTCCAGGGCCTCCCGCAGAGAATGAGCCACCTCCTCCCATAAGCATCTAATAAAAATTAGTTCTTCCACTATTATTTTTTTGCATGAGAAAGATCGAGTAATATATTTGAGTGAGGCACCTGAAGAACAGTTGCAACAATAGCTTCCTTCTCGTTATCCCATCCTGGCACTTCAAAAGCAAGCGCAAAATGTGTAGCCTGAGAATGAGACAATAAGAAGAACGAAATGAGGAATAATAAATCTTTCTTACTCAAAGAAGCCCAAAAGTACACAACATATAAAATCATGTTAGTACATCTCCACCAGTATGTTGACGGAAATCTCCACCGACATATTGAGACTTTGGCTCCGCTGGTCGGGTTACATTAGGAAGGTCAGAAAGTAATGGCTCAACCACTTTAAGAAGTTCTTCATGATCAACTCCACTAGCTGCTAGTACCATTCGTGCAGCAGTGTAATTCTCCTGAAATTTCAGTACTGAGTGAGAAGAAAGCCACATACACGAAATAACTAACAAATAGCTAATATTCCTAATTCCAGGGAAGAATGCAATAATCTCTTGTCTTACAGAAACAAACTCCTCCAAGACGTCCCCAGTCAATGCAACAGATTCAGGTGCATACAACGGATTTGCCAAAGCGCCAGAGTAACCAGCAGAATGAACCGCCTCCAAGAGAAAGCCCATAGGATTCTTTGCAAGTTCTCCAATCTCCACATTCACTTTTCGAAGCTGCCAGATAACAGAATGTAAAAATAAAAAAAAATAAAAAAAAAAAGCTTTTCTTTGGTTTTTGTGAGACTGATGCAACATGACATTATTACCTCTTCATTCACTTCCCAATCCAAGAAAGCAGGGTTCCTCACACTATCGATAAGCACTTCAACCATTTCAGGAACATAGGTTTTGAGAGCATCGATTGTGTAACCCATCTGCTCTCGGGATGCAGAGGCTGAAGTATTACCTCCCATAGCCTCAATTTCCCTTACAAGGCGAAAATGGCTTCTGTTCAACGTACTCTTGAAAGCCATCCTTTCAAGCAAGTGTGTAGCTCCACGGCAATAAGGCATCTCATAAATCGAACCACAATCAACGTATAAACCAATGGAGGCCGCAGGATTCTGACAAATTCAACAAACATTAATGAAATATCAAAAATCACTTGGAAATTTCAATAGTTTCAACGAGGAGTTGATTGATGTAGGGATTCTAAAAGAAGAACTCACCGAAGACATCTCAGTGGCTATTTTGAGACCATTGGAAAGAGTAGTGATCTTAAGTTTTTCAGGCGCAACATGATCGGCGAGTGGTGGTGGAAGTGAGACACCAGCCAAGGGAATGTCCATCGGAGGAAGCGAACCAGAGGAGCCTCCAGTTAGCCAGCTGAAAAGACCCGGTGACGAAGAAGAGCCCGTTGCAACAGCACTAGAGCTTGCATACCGAGAAGCCGGCAAATTGCGGGTAAGAATGCCCTATAAACACACACACAAGTCCTATGCATTGTTAAGCTCTTGTCTGATCAATTGGGACCAAAACAAGTGATTGCAAGATAGATACTTTCATTAAAATGTAAGAAAATCTAAAACTAGAGATTGACAATTAACATTATAAAAACAAGAACTTTCGAAACAGATATCATTTAGCATGGCATGTGTCCAAACATACACTGAATCATACAAATTGTTCACTGCTCAAAGCGTTTTCCTTAAAATAAAAAATTAATGGAAAAATTGGAGTAAGAAATTGACCTTAAGGGACTTAGCTCGTGAAGCTGCCGTGCGGTACATGGCGACAGCGAAACCCTAGATCGGTCGGATGAGTACCGGCGTTGGTTGCTGACGACGGAAGGAGACGGACAGAGAGAGAGAGGCCGAGTCAGAGCTGAATAGAGAGAGAAGCCAACGATAAAGGCTTTCTAATTACGTTGACTGGATCTTACTATTATAGGCCCAATCATTCTAGCCCAAATAAAAACCCATAAAAACCGTAATGTTGTGATGATGATATATTTTCTCTCAGTATGAATATTTTTTTTATGTTCATGCACCATTGTGTAAATTTTTAAAAGGTAATAATTGTGCTGGAAAAAAGTAATATTTACTTGCAGTGAAAAATGAAACTAACTTACTTACCAATTTTAATTGTGTGTAAAGCAGTAAAAAGATAAACCAAGAAAACCCATAGTTTCAATAGAATTGTATTTATATGACTACGTTACACATTTTTGCAAAATACAGTAGTATGGTGGAGAGTGGGTGCATACGTTACACATTTTTTACTTGTTTTCATAATTTCATGTCATCCATCATATGACAAAATCATCATACCATTCAGACTATTCAGTAATAACTCAAGCAAAAGTTAAAAAAAAAAATAAAAATTGAGTCTCACAATAGTTTAACTTTATATGATGATAATGTCCTGTTAATCTAGTTATACAGTCCTTTCAAAGTCCTCTCCCTAATCAATCCTTAAAGTGAATTATTGGGAGCGAACCTTTTGATATGTAATAACTCACGTGAATAACGAGTTGTAACGGTTTCGTGGTTATAATTGGGGGATTAGAGACATATAGGTCATGTGAGTTTCAATACAATGTGATGAACGGAGCCATGAGTCATCGTGTCATGAGGTGCTTCTATAACTCAAATGCCACGACCTATACCCATCTCTATAACGGAGTTTTTTTTTTTTTTGCTAACTTGTAAATATCATAGATATGAAATCTATAACGGAGTTATGAACTATATATATTTAGGTTTTTTAGAAAAAAAAATATGTTATGTTTTTGTCATCGTGCAAAGACCATATATATCTTCACTGTTCAGTGTTGTTTGGTGAACATTTCTAACTAATCAAAGCATACATCCCTCGTGAAACACGAGTTGGTTAACTATGAAACTTTTCTGGAAAAAAAAAAGTAGTTAACAATAGTGAATGACTATTAAAACATTATTGAAAATCAGTGTCCATATATATTATATATATACACAAAATCCCAAACATTAATCTTCATTTCTCACTGTTAAAGGTTATATTTCTCTCTTCTTTTTTATTCCTTTTTTTTTGTCTAACTAAAAATCATTATATTTTTACTAATTTTCAGTTTACTTTAAGGAATTTCTTTATAGGAATTAAAATGAATCTACGAGAACATGATAATATTGTTTAATGAGATGTACTAGCTAGTGGGATGTTTATAGTCCTCTTCCTCCACTTATCTTAGTTTCATCATCATGAAAGTGGATGAATTAGTGTCTATTCATGGCTCTTCTTTGGTTTTCCGATTACAGTTTCTAAAATGGGTATGAAAACTATAGGTTAAGAAGGAAAAATGGTGACAAAGTTGGAAGCTCAAGGTGGTCGTGGAGGAGAAGTTTGGGACGATGGTGGTGCTTACGAAAACGTCAAGAAAGTGTATGTTGGTCAAGGTGATTCTGGTGTGGTTTACGTCAAGTTTGATTACGTGAAAGACGGCAAGATCGTATCACACGAACATGGGAAGATGACACTACTTGGAACAGAGGAGGTAGCAAACATTTTCTTCTTATTGTTATTAAAGAGTGTTAATTCTTGTTATTTCCTTGATGTTTTTTTTTTTTGTTTTGGCTAGTTTGTGCTTGATCCAGAAGATTTCATAACATCAGTGAAAGTTTACTACGAGAAGCTCTTTGGATCACCGGTAGAGATAGTAACGGCTCTAATCTTTAAGACATTAAAAGGCAAAACTTCTCAGCCTTTTGGATTAGTCTCTGGACAAGAAGCTGAGCTAGGAGGTGGCAAAATCGTTGGATTTCATGGAAGTTCAAGCGATTTGATCCATTCTCTAGGAGCTTATATCATTCCGTCAACCACGCCGGTATCAGCTGGTCCGACCAAATTGGAAGCTCAAGGTGGCCGTGGGGGAGATGTATGGGACGACGGTGGTGCTTACGACAATGTAAAGAAAGTTTATGTTGGACAAGGTGACTCTGGTGTGGTTTATGTCAAGTTTGATTACGAGAAAGATGGTAACATTGTATCACTTGAACATGGGAAGAAGACACTACTTGGAACAGAGGAGGTACATAGATATTTCTATTCTTGAAATTGGTAAGTGTATATTTTTGTCTTCTAATAATGTTGATGGGTTTCTGCAGTTTGAGATTGATCCGGAAGACTACATCACATATGTGAAAGTTTACTACGAGAAACTTCTCGGGTCACCAACAGAGATCATCACAGCTCTTGTATTCAAGACGTTCAAGGGAAAAACTTCTCAGCCGTTTGGACTAACCTCTGGAGAAGAAGCTGAGTTAGGAGGCGGCAAGATCGTTGGATTCCATGGAAGTTCAAGCGATATGATCCACTCTTTAGGAGTTTATATTGTTCCTTCGTCCACACTATTGACTCCTTCCAATACTGTTCCAGCACAAGGCGGAAATGGTGGAGTTGCTTGGGATGATGGTGTTCACGATGGTGTCAAGAAGATATATGTTGGACAAGGTGACTCTTGTGTGACCTATTTCAAGGCTGACTATGAAAAGGCATCAAAGCCTGTCCTTGGAAGTGATCACGGGAAGAAGTCATTGCTTGGGGCAGAGGAGGTGTTTTCTTTTCTTGGCTTCATCTTCTTGTCTTTCTTTAAAGTTATTTTACAAGCTAGCTTAAGTCTTGAATTTTGAATTTGGTTGCAAAATGTGCAGTTTGCGCTTGGACCAGATGAATATATCATAGCTGTGTCGGGGTACTATGACAAGATTTATGGTGTAGAAGCGCCGGTAATCATCTCGCTTAAGTTCAAGACAAACAAGAGAACATCTTTCCCGTATGGAATGGAGGGAGGAACTGAATTCGTGCTGGAGAAGAAAGACCACAAAATTGTTGGTTTCTATGGACAAGCTGGTGACTATCTTTACAAACTTGGAGTCAATGTTGCGCCCATAGCCAACTGATGCCGAGCGGCCAACCTGATATTCCGGGAATTCGAATAAGATTAAGTTGTGAGTTTATGGAGTTGTGTTGTTGTCTAATGTTGTATTTGGTTTGTTTCAAGAGCAATGTATGTTTGTGTTGCTCTGACTCTACTCTAAATAAAAGTTATTTCTTCATTGTGATTTATAAAACCTTTTCGTTTCTATGAAATTAGGCTAAGTAAATCATTCAAGGAATTTAGCTAGGTTAATACTTTAAACAAACTTGTTTTATTAAATTGGATCACAAAAAATCCATCAAAGACAGAACAACAAACACAAAGACAAGACTTCAAATATTGAATCAGTAAACAAACAGAAACATGTAAAGTAGAATCAGCTTATTCAAAGTTTGTAAAACCATCAGCAAAAGATAATTAAGATCTCCATGCATGATCAGTTTGAAATGGGAAGGACATGGACTCCAAATTTGTGAAGCAGATCACTGGCTCTTCCATGGAAACCAACAATCTTGTGGCCTTCCTCTTTGAGTACAAAGGATGTGCCAGCTTCCATTCCAAAGGGAGAAGAGGTTCGCTTATTAGTCTTGAACCTAAGCATAGTTACAACTGGACTATCACTCCCAAAGACTGTATCGTAGGTGCCTTCAACTGCCGTAATGTATTCACTTGGATAGTCAAGCTCCAACTGCAATTTAAGGAACACAAAACATAAACAAAATTAAAATTAGTTGAAGATGAAAAAAAAGAGAAGAAGAAAAAGCTAATTCAGTGTACCTCTTCAAATCCAAGCAATGTGGTTTTTCCATGTTCGTTTCCTACTACAACTTGAGATGCTTTGTCATACACAAACTGGACAGCTCCTATACCATCTTGTGCTTGTCCTACAGACACTTTCCTAACACCGTCAAAAGCACCATCATCCCATAAAGTTCCTCCCTCACTACCAAATCCTGGTAGCTTTTGTGTAGCAGGAGTCAAAGGGATGGTGCCTAATGGAGCTAAATAAACTCCAATAGCATTAACAGAATCACCAGCTCTTCCATGGAACCCAGCAATCTTGAAACCTTCCTGCTTGAATTCAAAACGTGTGCTACCTTCAAGCCCAAACGGTCCAGCTGTTTTGTTTTTGCTAGTCTTGAAAATAAGCATTGTCACTACAGCACTATCAGTCCCGAAGATTTTGTCGTAGGTTCCTTCCACGGATGTTATGTATTCACCTGATTCAAGCTCCAACTGCACAAGAGGAAAATGTATAATGAATACTGAAACTTCTTGTAAGAATACAAAACCCAATAAATATGTATTCTTAACAAGTGTACCTCTTCGAATCCAAGCATTGTGCTTTTCCCATGTTCAATTCCAATAACTACCACAGAACCATTCATGTATTCAAACTTGACAGCTGCTACACCATCTTGGCCTTGTCCTACATAAACCTTTTTAACATCGTCGTGATGACCATCGTCCCATACAGCTCCAGTCTCACCACCCTTGGCTTCCAGCTTCTTCACAGGGACTGAAGGAGTGGTGCCGGGGGTTGGTACGGGAGCATAGTGAACATCGATGGAGTTGAGGACATTGCCACTGGTGCCAAGGAACCCAGAGATCTGCTTGCCGGTGGCCTCCGGAGCAGAAATCTGGAAACCGGTTTTGTTACCGTAAGGTCCAAGAGTTCTCTTGTTTGTTGTGAAAGTCAACGCCGTTATGACTTCTTGCGTACTCAACGTTTTGCCGTAAGCAGAGAGGGCTGTTACGTACTCGTCCGCATCCAAAGTGAACTGATTATGTATATGAAATTAAAGTTAACAGAAGATTACACATTAAAAAATAGTTAGATTTGTTTGTTTTTTTACTAACCTCGGCAGATTTGGGTCCAACGGAGCCGCGAAGCTGGGATTGAAGAGCTCCTTCGTATGTGACCTGGATTGAGTGTATGATGTCATCAAACGTAAGCTGCACTTTCTTCACCTTTGCGTGCGATCCATCGTCCCAAGACATCGTTCCTGTTCGTATATAGCCAAAAATTAGTTTTATTTTTCTTGACTATTAATTTTTATGGTTAGTATTACGGAATTAATAAACACTCACTATAAAAGCAAAGTTAATACCAAACCGGTTATAGTTCTAACTCTTGTGATTGTGTTTTAACTTCGGTCAATACCAAATTCGACTTGTTGGTCAACTATCTATATACATGCATTGTGCGATCAAAAGATAAATTGATTATCAAACAATCGAATAGAAAAAGATCAATTGATTGATTCTTTTTAAAAAATATATATATATATTGGTAACATATATGAAAGAGAGAGATAGAGAGGAAAAAACCTGTTTGTAGAGACTAAATGATACTGTCACGATGAAGATGAAGATGAAGATCAGGTGTGAAGAAGAGGCTAATGATGGGATCTATATATCGAGTTTAAGTTATAATAACATATAAATATGCACCACATGGGCAATATAAAATTTAAAACTAATCATGTTGGTCCTACTAGTATGTAATAATCGCTCGTATCCGTCAACCAAATCAGCGATTGCTTTCTTGTAACTTTTTTTCCTGCCCATGAAATATGTAATAAGTTGACTAAAACAAAGCTCGTTTATCTAAAACTGTAATAGTTGCATAGTCGTTATGATAATATATATGTCATTTTTTAAATAACTTTTTCACGTCGAACTTATTTATTGTTGTGTATATAGTATCTTTGTAACAATTAGTAGCAAATTATATACTATATAAACCATATCAAAGGATATTTCTAATATTGAGAGATCGAGAACATGAGTAACTAGTGAAGATGGTGACAGGATGGAATTGGATTTCAGTGATCTATCATTCATTCCCTTAATTATTTCATAAATTGATCGTGCATCGCATGGCTAAATATAAAATATAGAGTTCGCTGTCACATGTTATTATTATTATTTTTTTTCCAATCGACCCTTATCGTAGATTGTATTCACTGATATATACAATACTTTTGAAGTTTCCCTTTTTGCACAGTCTTTAACTTTTTGGACTTCGGAAGCATAGTAATGCCTTGTACTGATCAAATATGATATTGTAACGTATAAATTATTATTTTCACTGATCTACTTTCTAGTATGGAGATTGGAACTTTGATATAAGTAAGGCTAGCTCTAATATAGAGCATGATTTCTCTTCCATCTATTGTTCTATTTTGTATTCTAAAATAGGTAGGGTTGGAGCAAATAATAATCTGTAAATGTACGTCGATGTTTTCTTTTTTAAAAAAATTGTATGTGAATAATCAAAGAAATCGATTAACAGTTTAAGTGGTCTAAATCTAATGTATTCAAAATAATAAACTGTTAGTCTTTAGATTAACACAACCTCAGACGACTATTTTTAATCATTCATGTTCATGATGTTTAAAAATATACTTAGTTGGGAATCTACTTAATTAATTTCCAAGGATATATATATTTAAAGCAATCACTCTTTTTCAATTAGCTTGATCTTTTAGCAAGGCATGAAATATATATTGGAAAAATGCGACTCGTGGGTCTCGTGGCCTATATTTAAAAATACATTATCAGTTTATTACACTTTGGGCACGTCGAGTCTAAGTAAACTCGTGGGAGTGGGGGCGCATATGGATCAGGTCTCCCACTTACGCGGCTGATCCGAACAATATGGTAAACTCAATTAGAAAATGGAAAAAAAAAAAAAAAAATTCCAAAAATAATATTGTAAACTCAACTAAAAATGGGAAAACCCCAAATTACATGGGCCGGATTGTAAGGCCTACATGCCAAAAGTTGGATGGAAATATGGAATCTATCTCATGTTGCTGGACAGGAGATAAGGCGTGAGCTCGTTATTTATGATGGGTTCGACTCCGAATAGTAAGTATATGAGAAACCGTATTTGGTCCTATGTGTTGCTCTGGCTGGTTGTGTTGTTTGATTTTACAAACCAAACTGAACTTTGTTTCTCTAGTGGACCAAGTTTTATGTGGTTAGGCTGGCTCACTTTTGAAATTGTAGTCGGTGAACATAGGTCGATTGGTAACACCAAGTTCATGTATGTCTAATACTTATTCAGTTATTTGAAGAAATTAAACGACAATAAGACCGAGAAAAGTAAATGTAATTTACCAAAAGAATAATACCAAGAAAAGTAAATGTAAATTTTATCCCAAAAGGACACACCAATATTATTCAAAGTTCAAATGACATACATTGACAAAAAGACAGTGTAAGCATCTATATTATTTGTATTTGTCATTTATAAATACATGATGTCTAATAATTTGAAGAAATTAAACGACAAATACATCTATATGTCAAAACAAAAGTATATAAAGACAAGATTGAACTTATGCATATATATATACGAAAACTTAAATTTGTAAGACGTTTATACGTTAAATAGACTTGGATTGACTTTAATTATATGCACCGTTTTTCCCAATTTCAATTAATGTGCAATTAGTATGGATCGAACCAACTACCTTTATTAAAATCGATACTTGATTACATTATGGCATGAACAATATCACAATTTAAAGACAATGCTTGAATACATTTAAACACAAACAAACAGAACCACTGTGGGTACGTAAATCAACTTATTCAAGAGCCCACAATTAACAAATTCAATGGAATCGCAAGAGAATGATGTCATGTGATCAGTTGGTGATTGGCATGACATGGACTCCAAACTGATGAAGCAAGTCACTGACTTTTCCATGGAACCCGACGATCTTGTGGCCTTCCTCTTTGAGTGCGAAGGCTGTGCCGGCTTCAAGTCCAAAGGGAGATGAGGTTTGCTTATTAGTCTTGAACTTAAGCATTGTTATGACTACGTCATCACTCCCAAATATTTTATCGTAGGTGCCTTCAACTGCGGTGATGTATTCACTTGGATAATCAATCTCAAACTGCAATTTAAGGAAGCCAAATGATATAAACCAATATGTTCATTGCTAATTTTTAATATATTTTGATAGAAAATAAAACTTAAGTACCTCCTCGAATCCAAGTAAAGTACTCTTTCCATGTTCACCCCCTACAATATCCTGAGCGCCTTTGTCGTAGACAAACTTAACGACTGATATACCATCTTGAGCTTGTCCTACGTACACTTTCTTAACACCATCGTAAGCACCATCGTCCCATGCAGTTCCTTTTTCACCACCAATTCCCAATAGTTTCTTGGGAGACGTGGTCGAAGGAATCGTGGTTGTTGCAGCAAAATATGCTCCAAGAGCATGTAGAGCTTCACCAGCGCGTCCATGGAACCCTACAAGCTTTCCACCGTTTTTGTCCTTGAGTAAAAACTTCTTCTCGGTTTCCATTCCATAGGGTGGAGAGGTTTTCCCCTTGAATGTATAGAAGGTAAGAGACGTAATGATGTCAGAGTCTTGGCCATATACTTTGTCGTGGGTCACCTGGACTGCTATGATGTAGTCGTTTGCATCAACCTCAAACTACAACAATATATAGAAAGATACCTATTGTGAGTAAAGATGTTGTAAGGAGTTAACTGAATCTAAACTGCATAAGGCGTGAATTGGTCTAGTTTTAGTTGGTGCTCATTTTTTCAAAGCTTAAAAACTGATCACACCCAAAATTTAACAAGGCTAAAATGGGTTAGTCCGGGAGCTAGCCAAGCATAACATCAGTATTCAGTAGTTTGAAGACTCTATAATGCACTGTTACGTAAACTGATTATACTACATACCGTTTCGAATCCAAGAAGTGTTTTCTTTCCATGTTCACCTCCTTCAACCTCCTGAGAACCCTTCTTGTAGACAATGTTGATAGACGACACACCATCTTGACCTTGCCCTACATGCACCTTACTAACGCCATCATGTACACCATCATCCCATGAGGCTCCTCCGGTACCTCCTCCTGCTTCTTGCTTAACAGCAGGGGTCAAAGGAGTACTAGAGGTTATTAGTGGAGCAAAGTAAGCTCCGAGAGATTGGACATAATCTGTGGCAAACCCATGAAAGCCGATGATCTTTTTGTCTTGAACTTGGAGTGTAAATGGAGTACCATCTTCGTATCCAATGACATCAGATGTCTTTTTGTTGGATTTGAACTTAAGCCCTTGAATCATGAGACCTTCAGGGTGATACCAACCTTCTACAGAAACCAAGTACTCCTCTGGATGGTTAATCACAAACTGTAGAGGTCAAGATAAATATATCAGTACTTCAAAAGTAAAACTATATATCTATATTAAGAGAAGAAGACCAATGGACAAGAAGAAGTATAACAACCGGATCAGATGCGATACTACGGCCCTTAACACCGCGAAGAGGTGCTTCTTCGGTTTTTCCGTTCTTAACATAATCGAACTTAACATAATGCATACCGTTAGCGCCTGCTGCGGCCTGAATCTTGGTCACAGCATCGTGTTCGGATCCATCGTCCCATTGGTTGCCTCCTTTTCCTCCTTGTGCTTCCACTTTTTGGGCCATCTTTACTTATATTACCTGTAGTTATCAGACGAGAGAGTGAGAGTTTACCTGAAAAGAGAGGGAATGAGTAGTGATGCATGCATCATTTCGAAGAACTGCGTGAGGATTTATTGATCTCATTGAGTATGGGCCAGTAATTAATTCCTTAGGAGTTGATATATTTTATTATATAATCTCGTGATCCACGAGTCTTGAAAAAAACTATATTGTTGTGAATATGGAGCAAATTAGTTGAATTTGAGTGGTTGATATTAATGATCTGATAGTATAGTACACGAAAGTCTAACCAAAAATTCTACGTAATTTTCTCCGCAATTATATATGAACGGATATTACAAATTACCACTTTCAGTAGGATAATAAGTAAAAAAATTTATAAGGTTTGTTGTTTCAAGTATATTTTAATAATTCAAAATGGCTTTATCAGTGAAAATGCAAGTAACATAATTGAATCAAACACCTTTATTAAAGCCAATCAAATCACATATAACATCAAATACATAACAGCTTCACAAAAGAGACCATGCGTAAAAACACTAATTATAACATAAACAAACATAAGCAGAATTAAAAGAAACTTTAATCAAGATGTGTCACAAGTGACGAATTTGGTCGAATATAAGAATGATCACTTGGTGACTGGAAGGACATGGACTCCAAACTGATGAAGCAACTCATTGACTTTTCCATGGAATCCGACGATCTTGTAACCTTCCTCTTTGAGCTCGAAGGCTGTGCCAGCTTCCATTCCAAAGGGCGTGGAAGTTCGCTTATTAGTCTTGAACCTAAGCATGTTTATGACTTCGGCCTTACTACCAAAGATTTTATCGTATGTGCCTTCAACTGCGATGATGTATTCACTTGGATAGTCAAGTCTGAACTGCAATGAATGAAAACCAGATAAACAAAATTAAACAAGTAAAACTTTTCTATATTCATATTTGTTTTGGTAAAATCTTTTCACAATTGACCAAAAGAGAAATTAAGCAAGCAAGCTTACCTCTTCAAATCCAAGTAGAGTATCATTTCCATGTTCATCTCCTACAATATCCTTAGCACCCTTGTCGTACACAAACTTTACGGCTGATATACCATCTTGGGCTTGCCCTATATACACTTTCTTAACACCATCGTAAGCACCATCATCCCATGCAATTCCCTCGTCACCACCAACAGCCGGTAGTTTCTTGGCTGGTGTCAAAGGAGTTGTGGTTGTAGTGAAATACGCTCCAAGAGCATATATGATTTCGCCAGCACGTCCATGGAACCCAACAAGTTTGCCACCATTTTTACCCTTGAGTACAAACTTCTTGCCACCTTTTTTGTCCTCGAGTACAAACTTGTTTTCGGTAACCAATCCATAGGGTGGTGAGGTTTTTCCCTTGAATGTAATGAAGGTAATAGATGTGATTACGTCTGAGTCATAGCCAAATATTTTGTCGTAGGTCACCTTCACTGCTACGATGTAGTCGTCCGCATCGACCTCAAACTGCAACAACAGAAAGATACCTCTTTTGAGTAGGGACGTTGTAATGGATTAACTAAGTCTAAACTGTATTGGGCGTAATTTTAGTCTAGTCCTAATTGGTTTTATTTTTAAGGTTAGGTTTTTGCTTGCTCTTTGTTGTTTTTGTTAATCATTCGACATTTATTTTATTTTGAAAAGGATAGGACCAGTTTGATCAGTTTGGTCCTAAATTGACCGGACCAGACCAGACCAATCCCTAAATAAACAGAATTGATCCGAACCAAATTTGAGCAAATAAATTTGCCCGCGAACTTTATCCCGTCATAGCGTAATCCCTTGAATTGAGTATTAAGTTTTTTTTATTTTTAATGCATCCTAAATGGTTTACAAATAAAAAATAAAATAAAAATGCACCTTAAATATTTTTATTGAGTATTAAGTTTTTTTTCCATGCACCCTACCTAAATATGTTTATTGGGTATTAAGTTTAGTTTGAAGAACACACAATGAAAATTTAAGCAAAATAAAGACAAGAAGAGACCGATGCAAACATTTTTACATACCGTTTCGATTCCAATTAGTGACTTCTTTCCATGTTCACCTCCAACAACCTCCTGTGAATCCTTCTCGTACACAGCGTTGATAAACGACACACCATCTTGGCCTTGCCCTACATGCACCTTTCTGACACCGTCGTAAACACCATCATCCCATACAGCTCCTCCCATACCTCCTTGTGCTTCCACCTTATGAGCCATCTTTTGCTTGCTTTTGATTAGTCCTTCGTATTACCTGCAGTATTTACGAACAAAAATGTGTAATTATAAATCTGAACTACAAAAGTATTTTTCAGATGAGAGAATGGGGAGTTGTAGACCTGATAAGAGATAGATAGAGAGAGTTTAGTGATTCATTAACGAAGAATTGCATGGGTATTTATTGACTCTCTCGACAATATAGGCTAGTAATTAATTAGTATAGAAGACAGTCGTATAATCTCATGATCCACGATTCAATAAAATATTAAATTGTTGTGTATATGAAGCAAAAGAGTTGAATTTTAGTATGCATGATATGAAACAAGTACTACACGTTTCTTCATAACTAATGATATGCCTTATGTTCTGTTGAACGAGCACAACTGTTAAGTTTCCATTTTTGGATTGGTTCTGTTTGAAATCGTAACATAAAAAGGAAAAGTGAATCTAATTGCAAACGTATCGGAGTTAAAAATGGTTTCGTAGAGAATTATATGAACTGCGGAAACTGAAACACGAAAAACTTTTATTGACTGGTTTATGTGAAATAAAAATGTGGTTCATATTTTCATTCGTTTAACCAATGAAATTTCAATATTGGCGATGTGTAAACTGTGTTTTAGGATTGTAGCATGCATTATTTACAAATGTATGCTTTTATTAACCAATTTATAATATTTAGAAAAATAAATTGTTCATATCTAAGGGTTTGAATGCAAAGGCAGATATAAAGTAGATATATAGTGGGACAGATTAATTGCATTTTGTTCACCATTCATAAAAATTAATAATTATCATTTATAAAGGCAATTCTCCTACTAAAAGTCTGTAGGTGGACAAAAAAAAGAAAAAATTATTTTATGGTCATGTTTTCTCAAAGCAGATCAAACACCTCTATTTTAAAGTGTTTTAATATTTGATCTGCATTTGAACTGCCAAATCTATTTGATCTGTTTTTTTTTTTGTTAGATCTGCCTAAAATACTTGATCTGCTCTGCTCTGTTTAACATGTTTTGCCATTCGAAGATATAATTATCTCAAAACACTTTTAAAAAGTTGATAGCGAAAACATAACACAGAAAGTTTGAAATTGGAGTCTGTCGTAAATCATTGCGTGCATGAATTTAGCAAACAAGGTTTTGGTCCTACGTATCTCGTTGTCTCGTGCTCGGGAATAGCGGTATATATTAATATTGAGCCATTGGGGTTATAAAAATGGATAACATTACTAATTCAATACTATACTTCTATGAAACTTTAAAGTTGACGTGTACGTCGATCCAAAACACGTTGACGTGCGCTGTGTTCCCAACGCGTGTTATTCAAGATCTAGATGATGAAGTTTTAGTTCTCCTTATAAAAACTGGCTAGAGGCAATTTAAAAATATAAATTCGCAAAAAAATAACAAAACCATCCCAACTGGGTAATGTTATTATTCGACACTACTATTCTAATTGGATGTTAAAGTTGACAGACAGGCTTACCATGCATAAGTAGTCCGCAGCGTGTTATTTCATTTTTGACAGAAAAAAAAAAACTTTTCAAATTGACATCTCTAGGAACAAACCTTCCTTTTTAGTTTTTTATTTTTATGAATTGGATTACAAACCAACCGAAAACAAAAATACATCACATTCACATCACTTGCGCAGTTTCAAACAAAAAAAAGCATCATAGGTAGAACAGCTTATTCAAAGGTCATAGCCCGAGACATAAAGAGACTCTAAATCACATACTAGGAAGACAGATTAAGATCTGATATTTATTAGATGGAATTCAAAAGAAAGATGACATGATCAGTTGGTGATGGGGATGACATGACCTCCAAGTTGATGAAGGACTTCATTGGCTTTTCCATGGAACCCAACAAACTTGTGGCCTTCCTCTTTGAGTATGAATGGTACGCCAGCTTCAAGCCCATAGGGATTAGATGTTTGCTTATTAGTCTTGAACCTAAGCATGGTAATAACCGCAGAGGTACTTCCAAAGATTTTATCGCAGGTGCCCTCCACCGCCATGATGTATTCACTTGGATGATCAATTTCAAACTACGAGGGCCAAAAAAAAAAAAAATTGTTATATTGGCTGATAGGAACCGATCTGACTTTATGACGATAGAGAATGTAACTACTATAAAAGAATACGTAAAGATAAGCTCGTACGTGTCCCGTCTAACAAAGTATACAACTAGTCAAGTAAATGGGTTTGAAATGTATTGGCCTGTTTAATGGGCTTAACGATCTGGTCGTTTATTCCATGAACTTTAATATATATATATATATGTGATGTATAAGTACCTCTTCGAATCCGAGCAGAGTCGTCTTTCCACGTTCATCTCCAACAACCACTTGAGTACCATTGACATACTCAAACTTAACCGCTGACACACCATCTTGGCCTTGACCTACATACACCTTCTTAACACCATGGTAAGCACCATCGTCCCATGCAGTTCCTTCATCACTACCAAGTGCAGGGAGCTTCTTAGCAGAAGTCAATGGGGTTGAAGCCAACGGAGAAAAGTAAGCCCCAAGAGAATGAAGATTGTCTCCAGCAAACCCATGAAACCCAATGATCTTCTTGTCTTGAACTTGGAGAGTGAATTGAGTACCATCATCGTATCCAATGACATCAGAAGTTTTCTTGTTGGATTTGAACTTAAGCCCTTGAATAATACCTTCAGGGCTATACCAACCTTCTACAGAAACCAAGTGCTCCTCTGGATGGTTGATCACAAACTATAGAGAACAAGATCAACATGTCAATAACTTAAATATAGATAAATTGAAAAAAAAAAAAAGTCAATGAGAAAGGAAAAAGGTATGGGAACCGGATCAGCGGGGATAACACGGCCTTTGACACCACGAAGAGGAGCTTCTTCAGTTTGTCCGTTCTTGACATAATTGAACTGAATGTATTGAATGCCAAGTCCACCTGCTCCGACCTGAATCTTGGTCACGGCATCATGTCCGGATCCATCGTCCCACTGATTGCCTCCTTTCCCTCCTAGTGCTTCCACCTTTTGAGCCATCTTTTTTGCTTTTTATTAATCTTACGAGTTACTGCAAAACAAAATTGTTAAATTTCAACTATTGTTTAGCCAAAAATTACAAAACTATATGATCACAAGATATAGAGAGGAAGAGAGAGCTGACCTTCAAAGAGAGAGTAGACGGTGATCAGTCATCTATTCAAGTGAATTGTAATGTCAATTTATTGACTTCTTGGAATAAGCCATGATATTTTACCAAAATAGAATTTAAATATTATCAATATATTAGATCCGCATATAGGCCATTAATTAATGAATTACCACAATGCTAAAAAATACTAATCTATAGTTTCGTGCTCCACGAGGAATATTAAAATATTTTTATCAAAAAACGCAATTAATTTTCATATATAACTTTACAGAGAGAGTATTATTTAACCAATTGTTACAAATAGAGAGGAAAAGAGAGATGCCCTTCGATACAGAGTGATCTAGTCGATATAATCTTTATAAATTTTATCGAAAATTCGCATGTTTAAAAGTATCCATATAGCTTCTCAACTAATTCGTCTAATCGTTTTAATGTTTGTGTTGGGTCATCAAACGATGGCAGCAAACTTTTAATAATTTAAAACCCAGTAATGATTATGCAAGAAATAATTATTAGTAAAGGGTTCAAGTTGCACTAAATAATTATTAGTAAAGGGTTCAACAAGGTCAATAATACTAATGGGAATATAATAACTGTAATATATTATCCATCCAAACTAAATTTATTTATGTAACTTGTTTTTTTTTTTATTTTGCCAAAATATGTAACCTTAAACTAAATATTTAAGAAATTAGAAGTAGATAAGGTGAAGGAATGAGGGCCCAATTTTATAATGTAGGCCTTGACACAATCATTATTTTGTAAAAGACTAAAATATGATGGGTCGGTCCAACTTTTGATTTATCTCCTCAACTGGCCTTGATTAGCTTTCGTACCAATTAATTTCTTTTATGAACTATGCATGGGACTAGAATAGTAAACACGTTTCAAAGTTTTCAACACACTTTATTGGATAAACACATGTAACATGAAACAAACAGTTCTTATCAGCAAACACATGAAACGAACATATAGAAAGAAAGGAAAAATAAAAAACGAAACGGACAAGCTGACGAAGGGTCGTATAGTATATAAGGGCATCCTCATTGCAAGGATCTTATGGGGTAAGATCCCCTAAAATTTGCAAAGGAAAAACCTTATATAAGATATTTCCTTTGCAAATCTTAGGGGATCTTACCCCATAAGATCCTTGCAACGAGGATGGTCTAAGTCCTGACCCTTTCTTATTGCAACACACACACACACACAATCACCAACAGTCATCATCAAGCAGCGTTAGCGTTTAATTAAGCATATTCAATTCCGAAAAAGAAGAGATCATCAAACCGGTCATTGTTTGGAGCTTTCCCTGCATGCATGATTATTCCTTTCTTACCATTAATGGTCCCAATTGTGGAGGCTGTCCATCCTCTGCTACTCGGAGTCTCCTCCTCATCACAAAACTTATCCACCCTCTCCCACTTTAACGTCTTTGTATTCAGCGCAAAAGTCCCATCGGTCAATTGACCCGGACCAACGTGACCTTGTGGGTCCATCGCAATCTCACCTCCAAACAACAAAATGTGTTTCCCAACAGCTGCGCTAGCGAACACACTCCTTTCCGAAGGCCTCTCACCGAATGTTTCCACTTGTGTCCACTTGTCGTGATCAGGATCATAGTAATGAACATCATCTACTTCACATCCGTTGAATCCGTACACAACCCATACCTTCCCTTTCACCACTTCGAGCCCTGCTCCTCCTCTAACGCTAAAGTTTTCTCCTGGAGTCGCACACTGCACCCACTTCTTATCAGCGATGTTGTAAGCATCTAGTGTCTTGAGCCGCTCCGTAGCACTCACTCCACCGAAAACGTAAACGTTGTTCTTATCCGCTGCCATCGAGTGGAAACTACGAGGAGTGGGTCCTTCTTCGACCGGAGTAACCAGTTTCCACTCGTTCTTTTTCGTATCAAATGAGTAGAAACCGTTATATTTTCGTGAAGCGTCTCGGCCTCCGAAGACATAGAGGGTTGATCCTACTGCAACCATACGAACACCTAAGCATGAAAGGTGTGGAACGTCTCCCGTAGCTGGACAAATTGACCAAGTATGGGTCTTGAGGTCATAGACGTAAAGGTGTTTGTCGATGGGCTGATTTGGTATGAGCTCCCCACCAAAGGCGTAGATCTTGTTACCTACCTGTGCTATGCCATGCGAGCACCTTAGCCCTGGACCTTCTCCTTTTTGTTCCACCTTATCCCATAATGATGAAATAAAAATTAATGAAAATATATAAATGTAAAACAGTCATGATGATTTAGCTTTTTTTTTTTCTCTTTGTTTTATCCTTCACTATATTTTCCGTCTTGATTAGATGAAATAAAATCCATTTTTTATGTTGGCCTAAGAGATTACTACCTTAGTCCATTTCCCACTCAATTTCGGAGTGCACGACAATGAAACATAGGCTCCGAGGGCATATAGGACGTCGCTAGAACGTCCATGAAAGCCAACGATTTTACCACCGTGAAGCACAAACTTAGTCCCAGGTCTGCTTTCGATAGGCTGAGAGGTTTTGCCTTTGAAAGTCTTGAATGAAAGAAATGTGATCATTTCTGAGGTCATATCATTAACTATCTGACGGTAACCTTCTACATATACAATGTAGTCATCAACATCAATCTCAAACTGCAAAGAGAAAACAATTCTAGTTCAATGCCGGAACTAATGAACAAAAGACCCACTTGACCAATCACAACATATGATTTAAGTACCTCATCAACTCCTAACAGAGTCTTCTTTCCATGTTCATCTCCAACAACGGCATGAGAACCATTGACATACTCGAACTTGACGAATGCTATACCATTTTGGGCTTTCCCTATATATACTTTTCTAACATCTTGGTGAGTACCATCATCCCATACATCTCCCATCTCACCACCGTGTGCTTCCAGCTTTTTGATAGCTGGAGTCAGCGGAGTAAAGTGAGCACCAAGAGAATGAAGAGTGTCTCCGGCAAAGTCAACGATCTTCTTGACTTCTGCTTCCACCTTCTGAGCCATCTCTTTTGCTTGCATTTTGAGTCTTACGAAATATTAACCTGTAATATTATGAACATATTATTTAGCAAGATGCTATGTAAACTACGATCATATGATGGAGAAGGGAAGGGAGATGATGAGAGAGCTGACCTCAGAGTAAAGTAACTTATGATTTGGTGAGTGATTCAGTTTGGGAATTTGCATGGGTATTTATGGGCACATGGAAGCACTGGTTGAAGTATTTCTTAAAATATACTATTATCTCGTGAACCGCGAGGGATTAAATGAAAAAATATAGTTTAGATGTACAATAGCGTACTAATTAATAGTTAACACGAAATATTTTTCACGATACACATCACACATGCTCAGGCCTGCACATGCTAGCTATGCCAACTCACGTATGATTTTTCTCTACTCGTTTTATTTTACATTTTTAATTTTCTCTCTTTTAGTCGTTTTTTCTTTCGATTTTTGGGTGTGTACTATGCAACAAATTGATATACGGTACTTGTATCATTTTACATCTCCACATGATTAATATATATTTGTTTATGTAGTCATGTTTAATCTATTCTTATGAACAATAATAAATTAGGTCTATGTACAATATATACATGGTTTTTTTGCTCTAGAAATAAATAAAATTCGACAAACTCAATAATTTTGTACGAAAGTAAATGATTATTCCCTTCTTTCTCTATTAATAAAATTCAATTGAAACTACGATTGGCTATATGTATATATATATATATACTCGTTCGTATATTTTTTATTTTTTGTATGCGAGTCAAGAAATGCGTTGCACTCAGCAATCCATATATATATAATATTTATTTCTTATCCTCGTGATTATATACAGAATTTTTTATTAAAAAAAATTATGCGTACCTCACGTTTTAAGCAACCCTTAGTTTTTTTACTTGTAGTACGGCATCATCTTTGGAACAATAATTAAGCAACCCTTTTAGTTTATTTTTAGTTATAGTTTACTTGTCCTACTTTTTTAATTTAATTTTGGAACGGTTGATTTGATAAGAAAAAACAAAATAGAACAAAGAGACCAAAAGAAAAAGAAAAGAATAAATAGACAAAGAACCTTAAAAAAAAAGTAACCTTAATAACTTCTTCTCGAGGGTTTTTAATAGTCATTTCTTTATTCTTTATAAACCATTTTTAATTGTTTTAATTAATTTTTAGTAGAATATTTCTCTTCTTCTTTTTTGAAAAAATTGCTACTGTAATTTTTTAATATTATTTTCTTTGTTGAAGTATGTTATAAGCTTAATTGAGGCATTTGGCTATTTTATCTATTGAAAATAATATAACCAGATGAAATTTTGATTTTGAATGTTATGAAAAGAAATTCTGTTTTATAAGCTTAATTAGTTGTTTACATTGTGTTTTGAGTTGTTGACTTTGAGAAGAAAAAAGACTTTTAAGAAAAAAAAAATCGAGCTTTTATTTTAAAACTTTAAATTTTGCGCTAATGGTTGTAATTCCCCCTCCCCCCCCCCCCCCCAATATTATAAATAAACTTATCTTCCTAATTATAATTGTTACCACACATCATATGAAATAACAGTTTAATCTTCATTCCATGCAAACGTTACAGTCAGGACGACTCACTTACACTTGATGAAATCATAATCTTATGTCCCAGTCCGCACGATTTCTTCTTTTGTTAGTTTTTTCTTTTCTTTCTTTTAACTGCTATTTCTTTCCTTTCAATATATATATTTTTAAAATATTGATTGAAAGCCTTTTAACAAAAAAAAATTCACATACGGAAACAAGAAAAATAACATATTGACAGACGTTAAATTAATCCGAAAATATTAGAAAACATTTTTTTAGATTATAAAACGTAAGGAAAAAATAATTAAATAATTTTACATATCTAACACTAATTTGTTCGAGAGTTTTATAATCGCATTAACAACAACAATGATACCAACAACACCCCAAAAAAACAACAATAACACCAACAAACAAGAAACAACCGAAAAACATTTTTAATCTTTTTTTTCAGTTTTATCTTTAGAATTATGATTTCAGTGGGTGTAATAAAATATTTAAAAGAAAAAATAAAAAATTGATGTCATCGGTAATGTAGACTTTTTTTTTTTCGAATGGTCTATACAATATCAGGCGCTTCTAACATCGTACTCCTGAAACTCAAGTTTTAATAACTTATACTGTAATCACAACTTTTTTATTGGGTAACTTGTTAATGTAGATGCAATTTACTCTTAATATGGCCTAATTTCATATTGATTAAAAAATTATTAACCAAAACTTACAAAATGAGTCGATAATTATATTAGGTGGTTGTCTAGTACTACTGTACACTGTGTAATTGTTATTAATCAGAACGATCTATAAAGGAGAAAGATATGACAATTATAAAGCGTCCCATTCTAAGAATCAATGATCGATTAGGGGGATAAAAAAAGAAAAAGAAAAAACAAACGAACTAGGTCGTGTGTAGATAGAAACAGATAAAGTTTGGACCAGACCACAAGATTTGTGTCTGCACTATATCTTCTTTATAATTTTGTTTTGTACACTACATATGCTTAGTAGATCGACATGTTTTTCAACATAAGTGACATTAGAGCATGATTATTGGTAAGCTTTTAGGTTTTAATCTTAGTATTAGTTTATTAGTAAAATTGAAAAAGTAAAAGAGAAGAGTTGTATTTTGGTTTTTAGTTTTGAGATGTGATTATTGGTAGACTCTTAATTTAGAATCCTTAAAAAAATATATATTTAAAAATTTGGTTCTGATTGTCTCTTCAGGGTTATACTTGTAGAATATGGAAGAAGGTGAATTGTATTTCTGAAAAAAAAAAAAACTTCTTATGTATGTATATTGGTTGAGAGATCGTTCTACCTAAGGGTTCAAGAGTAATACCATGATTAACGGGGATCCTTAAGGTCGCTCATACATAAGAAGATTATAACAGATATATAGTACATAATAAATAGAGAAAACAAAACAACAGATTTTTTTCAGAATTAGTCTGGCATCCTATAAAATTATTTCATTATTATAATCATCAATCATGATTTTGAGACATTTTTATAGAAAATGTGTAAGCAATAAGAGCATTTTATATGATTTGGGCCTCTACACAACCACCAAACTGGATTTGGATAGGTGGACTTATATAATTCAGTACTACGATAATTCTTTATTGTATCTTTAGATGGAGTGGAAGACATATTTAGAGTACAGCAAAAATTAATTAAAAAACTGTTCCACTAGAAGATACAAATTTGAGTTATGAAAATAATATTGGTTTGTCTTTTTCCTCTTAGGTTTACTAGTTGCATCTATCCTCAATTAGTTGTAATATATGAATCATATGCATGGGACTAATAATAAAAGCGTTTTTAGACTTTTCAACTCATCCAACGTTATTAATGATCTGGCGAACTTTTTCGACGTGTTTAATGTGTAATTTATACGTTAATATTTAATATTAAATTATAACAAATAGGATTAGCATCCGAACCAAATGGTGAAAATAAATGTTAGAACATATGGGAATATAAATGATAAATAGATGGAGCAAACTTGCTCTATTGAAATGGAGCAAACTTGCTCTATTGAAATGGAGCAACAAAAAGAGATAACACTTCTTAGTTCAAAAAAAAAAAAAGAGATAACACTTCAAAGACTGAATTATCCAAGTTATTAGGCATTGAGAGACCATAAATGAAAAGTTTAGAAGATTGATCGATCTGATAACTTATTGGGTGCATGCATGGGATCAATTGTAAAGATTTTCATGATCAGTTGGAGAGGGGAAGGACATGGACTCCAAATTTGTGAAGCAGATCACCGACTCTTCCATGGAAGCCAACGATCTTGTGGCCTTCCTCTTTGAGTGAGAAGGTTGTGCCAGCTTCAAGTCCAAAGGGAGTAGACGTTTGCTTATTAGTCTTAATCTTAAGCATAGTTATGACTGCGGCATCACTTCCAAAGATTGTATCATAGGTGCCTTCAATCTCCGTGATGTATTCACTTGGATAGCCAAGTTGGAACTGCAAACCAAATAAAACAATTAAATACATTGTTATGAGCGAAACACTGATGTTATTGTGTAATACGTACGGAAGAGAATTTGGATTCACATCTTGATATATTTCCAAATACTAATAAAAAGCATTAGTGTATACCTCTTCGAATCCGAGTAGAGTACTCTTTCCATGTACATCTCCTACGATCTCTTCAGAGCCTTTATCGTAAACAAACTTAACGGCTGATATACCATCTTGGGCTTGTCCTACGTACACCTAACACCGTCGTAAGCACCATCATCCCATAGACTCCCATTATCACTACCATGGGCCGGTAGCGTCTTGGAAGGAGTCAACTGATCAGACTCAATTCCGAAAAAGAAGAGATCATCAAACCGGTCATTAGTTGGAGCTTTCCCAGCATGCATCACAAGTCCTTTTTTACCATCAATGGTCCCTGTTGTGGAGGCTGTCCATCCTCTACTACTCGGAGTCTCCTTCTCATCACAAAATTTATCCACCCTCTCCCACTTTAACGTCTCCGTATTCAGGGCAAAAGTCCCATCAGCCAATTGACCCGGACCAACGTGACCTTGCGGGTCCATCGCAACCTCACCTCCAAACAACAGAATGTGTTTTCCAACAGCCGCACTTGCGAATACACTCCTTACGGAAGGCTTTTCACCGAATGTTTCCACTTGTGTCCACTTGTCGTGAGCAGGATCATAGTAATGAACATCATCTACTTCACATCCGTTGAAACCATACACAACCCATACCTTCCCTTTCACCACTTCGAGCCCTGCTCCTCCTCTAATGCTAAAGTGATCTCCTGGAGTCGCACATTGCACCCACTTTTTATCAGCGATGTTGTAAGCATCTAGTGTCTTGAGCCGCTCCGTAGCACTCACTCCACCGAAAACGTAAACGTTATTCTTATCGGCTGCCATCGAGTGGAAACTACGAGGAGTAGGTCCTTCTTCGACCGGAGTTACCAGTTTCCACTCGTTCTTGGTCGTGTCAAATGAGTAGAAACCATTATATTTCCGTGAGGCGTCTCGGCCTCCAAATACATAGAGGGTTGATCCTACTGACACCATACGGACACCTAAGCAAGAGAGGTGCGGGACGTCTCCCGTGACTGTACAAATGGACCAAGTATGGGTCTCGAGGTCAAAGACGTAAAGGTGTTTGTCGATGGGCTGATTTGGTGTGAACTCCCCACCAAAGGCGTAAATCTTGTTTCCTACCTGTGCTATGCCATGCGAACATCTTAGCCCTGGCCCTTCTCCTTTTTGCTCCACCTTAGAATTAATCAATATTGATATTTGTTAAAATTATATTAAATTGGTGAGATAAAATTAGTGAAAATATATATTAGCTTTCACTTTTTTTTTTCCTCATTCATTATTTTTCTCGTACGTGAGATTTATGATAAAAATTGTTGTGTGAGATGAAAAAGACACCAATATTTTATGCTACACTAGGAGATTAAGATTACTACCTTTTTCCATTTCCCACTCAATTTCGGAGTGCACGACAAAGAAACATAGGCTCCGAGGGCGTATAGGACGTCGCTCGAACGTCCGTGAAACCCAACGATTTTACCACCGTGAAGCACAAACTTAGTCCCAGGTCTGCTTTCGATAGGCTGAGAGGTTTTGCCTTTGAAAGTCTTGAATGAAAGAAATGTGATCATTTCTGTGGGCATATCATTAACTATCTGACGATAACCTTCTACATATACGATGTAGTCATCAACATCAATCTCAAACTGCAAAGAGAAAACAATCCATTTCAATGCCGGAACTAACAAGCGAGAGACCCTTTTGACCAAACACAAGATAGATAAATCTATTTAAGTACCTCATCAACTCCTAGCAGAGTCTTCTTTCCATGTTCATCTCCAACAACGGCATGAGAACCATTGACATACTCAAACTTGACGAATGCTATACCATTTTGGGCTTTCCCTATATATACTTTTCTAACACCTTCGTGAGCACCATCATCCCATGCACCTCCCATATTACCACCGTGTGCTTCCAGCTTTTTGATAGCTGGAGTCAACGGAGCAGAATGAGCACCAAGAGAATGAAGAGTGTCTCCGGCAAAGCCAACGATCTTCTTGACATGTGCTTCCATCTTGTGAGCCATCTCTTTTGCTAGCATTTTTAGTCTTACGAAATATTAACCTGTAATATTATGATCATATTATAAACAAAATGCTATGTAAACTACGATCATATGATGGAGAGGGGAAGGGAGATGATGAGAGAGCTGACCTGAGAGTAAAGTAATTAATGATTGGTGAGTGATCCAGTTTGGGAATTTGCATGGGTATTTATGGGCACATGGAAGCACTGGTTGAAGTATTTCTTGAAATATACTATTATCTCGTGAACCGCGAGGGATTAAATGAATAATCCAGTTTAGATGGAGACATATTAGTTAATACTACTAAGGAACACTTTTCATTAAACACGTATACATGTTATGCCAACTCATGTATGTTTTTTTCTCTCTTTTTGTCGTTATTGTAACAAATATATATTAATATTATATATAGTACGTTATCATTCAAACCTCCATGACTAATATATAATTATACCATTATAGATTTATAGTCATGTCTAATTCATTTGGTCTATAAACAAGTAAATGTCGACAAACCCAACAATGATTTTGTATACCCAATTATGCGGATGAATGAAATTGAGTGTACAGAAATTAAATGTTTGCCTTCTATATTTATCAATACAAGTCAATTCAAGTTATATGTTAAATCCCTTAAAGATATATTCCTTATTAGCTAAAATAAAAAGCTCACGGCTCGCTTCGCGTGGTTTTACTTTAATATAAATACAGTACAGCTATATTTAAATGCATGTGTGTGTCACGTTTTGAAAGATTATAAAAAAGCAAATATTTGTTTTTTTTTTGAAAAATATTATAACTAGTTGATTTTTTTTTTGTTGTTGCAAGGATTCGTTTTCATTAACATTTTTGTGTTTTTGTAATTAATAACTTGGTTGCTAGGTTAGTTTTTTTATACGTTACATTATATGACGATGGTGTTTTGTATTCTTCACTTTAAAAGAAAAAAGAAATTCCAGCTTTCCATTTTGTGTTTGCTAATGTCATCAGTAAACGTTGGCACGACTTTGAATCAGTATACAGTATATGGTCTCCCCTTGCATCGTGGCCTAATGATGTTGTTGCGGCCCTAGTTTAAGGCTAATGTACTAGTTAATTCTAAATAAAAGACCCTACCTTAGCCTGAATCGTAGCACTAATGGTATCTTCCGCAGAGAGTCAAACGATGATCGTGGATGCACTCTAGATATTGTTGAACCGTAACATGGAGTTGATAGAGAAATTTTAGAGGAAACGACGTGTGAACGGGTTGTGTGGCAACTGGCAAGTTGTATATTAATGTTCTACTTAATTTATTCTTTTTTCACTGATATTATGTTTATACTATAAAGAAACTTGTCTTCCTAATTATGTTTATACAATTGTTTACCACACGTCGTATGAATTAGCAGTTTAACACGAAGATGGAAACATAATCTTAATTGGTCCTAGTTCCCACCATGATCTCTGTCTTAATTAGTTTTTTTTTTTTTTTTTTTTTTTTTTTTTTTTTTTTTTTTTGTAAGTGTTACGTAATTAGTTCTCCTTCATTAACTGCTCTTTTATTTTCACATACGGAGACTAATTAAAGTTTGCACCAAAAGAAGTAACAGTTGACAAATGCTTAATATATAAAAAAAAAATCAGTGAGAAAATATTAGATACGTTTTTCAGAATATGTACATACTTATTTTTGAATTGAACCATCCACATCATATAAAATGCCATGATTCCTTACACATTATCTCTAAAATATGTCATTAAATCATAATTATTATAATTTATAAGACTTAATTCTGGAAAGTTTTAATAAAACTTATTTTTTTTAACCTAGTTGGTGTGGGACTCCACCACACAAACCACCGAATTGGATAGTAGTGGTGGACAAATACTAATATAGATTGTTCAGTTTTGGATCAGGCTAATAATATTTAGAGTTAAAAATTAAGTATGAAAATACAATTAAAACTAATCCAACCAGAAAAATAAAAAAAATAAAAAATAATATAAATAATACTAGTTTGTCTTTTTCATCTAATTTGACTAGCTGAATGTTTTTTTAATGTCACTAGCTAGTCGCACCTTTTATGATGAATTGGTAATTGAGTATTGATCCTTGTCCCTGGATTTTAATCATGCATATGGGACTAATCATTATAGAGGTTCATTATCTTGCGATTTTTTAATTTTGTTCTTTTCGATAAATGATCTGGCGATTTCTTTCAGGAAAATAAACAATTTCTTTACTTATTTTTTGTTAAACGAAAATAAATAGTTTATTACACACAAAACATGAAACAAACATGTAGAAAGAAGAAAACAGCAAACTGACAAAGGATCATATATGGGCATAGTCATTCATCACGAATTCACGACCCTTCCTTATTGCACACATACTTAAAATCACAAACGGTTATCATCAGACCGCGTTTTAATTAGTTAACCAGATTCAATTCCGTAAAAGAAGAGATCATCAAACCGGTCATTGGTTGGAGCTTTCCCAGCATGCATCACAAGCCCTTTCTTACCATCAATGGTTCCTGTTGTTGACGCGGTCCATCCTCTGCTACTTGGAGTCTCCTCCTCTTCACCAAACTTATCCAACCTCTCCCATTTCATCGTCTCTGTGTCCAAAGAAAAAGTTCCATCGGCCAGCTGACCCGGACCCGCGTGAGCTAGCGGGTCCATCGCAATCTCACCTCCAAACATAAGAATGTGTTTCCCAACAACCGCACTTGCGAACACACTCCTTTCTGAAGGCCTCTCACCGAATGTTTCCACTTGTGTCCACTTGTCTTGTACAGGATCATAGTAATGAACATCGTCAACTTCACATCCGTTGAAACCATACACAACCCATACCTTCCCTTGCACCACTTCGAGCCCTGCTCCTCCTCTAACGCTAAAGTTTTCTCCTGGAGTCGCACACTGCACCCACTTCTTATCAGCGATGTTGTAAGCGTCTAGTGTCTTGAGCCGGTCCGTAGCACCCACTCCACCGAAAACGTAAACGTTGTTCTCATCAGCTGCCATCGAGTGGAAACTACGAGGAGTGGGACCTTCTTCGAGCGGGGTTACAAGTTTCCACTCATTCGTGGTCGTGTCAAATGAGTAGAACCCGTTATATTGCCGTGACGCGTCTCGGCCTCCGAAGACATAGAGGGTTGATCCAACTGCAACCATACGGACACCTAAGCAAGAGAGGTGAGGAACCTCTCCGGTAGCTGGAGAAATGGACCAAGTACGGGTCTCGAGGTCAAAGACGTAAAGGTGTTTGTCGATGGGCTGATTTGGTGTGAGCTCCCCACCAAAAGCGTAAATCTTGTTTCCTACCTGTGCTATGCCATGCGAGCATCTAAACCCTGGACCTTCTCCTTTTTGCTCCACCTTATAATTAATTAAGGGTGGGTTGGATAAATAGTACATTTTTGAAACTTAATTATAATACTAGTACAATTACTATTTATAATTAGCAAACTAGTACATTCCCACTATTTGGTACTATTTCATTGACATTTAAGCACCCAGAAAAACAAAATATTTACGAGTATGCCACTGTACTAATTATATAGTATAATTCGTACAGCATATCTTATGTACAGATATGCAAAAAAATATTTTTGTACAATATTTAAAGTACTACATAATATCATCCGTACAGAATATTAGTGTACAAATGTACATAAATATGCATATTTCATTATACAATAATAGTTATACGAATAAAAATGTGTAATTTTTTATACATTCGTACATTTAGTAAACTGTACGGGTACATCTGTACATTTAATCAGCTGTACAAATACGTCTGTACGCATATTAAACTGTACGATAAAGTATGTAAACATACTAAACTGTACAAATAAATATGTATATATGAAAAATATTTATAATTTATAATGCAAAATGTATATCAAATTATAGAGAAAAACTTATAGATTTTTATGTGTCAAAAATATTTTAAAAAAGAATTTTACAAAACCTAGTATTTTAATTATAAGATATTTTGGGTGGTGATATTAAAAGAAAAAAAGAAAACAAAAATGAAAAAATAAATGAAAATCAGGAGAATAAAAAATTACCCTCCTATGTCATTTTTATTTCTTCTAATTTCCCCTATCTCACATATTTTCTATCTCTAAAGTAGGTCTCATGTATTATTTTACCAATTATAAATAGTATATGTATTAGTTTTCTAATTATATCTTGAAAATGTACTAAATTTCCTATTAATCCATTAATTAATAGTTTGTGTTCATTATTTATCAAAAATATTTTAGATTATGATTGTTGAACCACTACATCTCATAATGGAGATAAAAATATAAATGTAAATCTGTCATTATCTAGATGTGTCTTTTTGCCTCTTTTCGTTTTTTTTTTTAAATCCCGTCATTCTTTTTTCCGTACGTGATTTAGTGATTTTGAGATGGTAAAACAACGTTAAACATTGTTGTCTGATATATAATTTATATAAAAAATTAAAAAAAATTAAGCGTAAGAGATTACTTCTACCTTTATCCACTTTCCGACAACAGAAGAGGAGGGCGCCGAAGAAACATAGGCCCCGAGTGCGTATAGGACGTCGCTCGAACGTCCATGAAAGCCAACGATTTTTCCACCGTGAAGCACAAACTTAGTCCCAGGTCTTCTCTCAATAGGCTGATTGGTTTTGCCTTTGTAAGTCTTGAATGAAAGAAATGTGATCATTTCTGTGGGCATTTCATTAACTTTCTCACGGTAACCTTCTACATATACGATGTAGTCATCAGCATCAATCTCAAACTGTGGTTAAAAAAAACAGTAATCAGAAAAAGACCCTCTTAACCAATCTCTAAACAATCTCAACGTAACATAGATAAATGATAAATCTATTCGAGTACCTCATCAACTCCTAGTGGAGTTTTGTTTCCATGTTCATCTCCAACAACCGCATGACAACCATTGACATACTCAAACTTGACGAATGCTATACCATTTTGGGCTTTTCCTATATATACTTTTCTAACATCTTGATGAGCACCATCATCCCATACATCTCCCATCTCACCACCGTGTGCTTCCAGCTTTTTGATAGCTGGAGTCAACGGAGTAAACTGAGCACCAAGAGACTGAAGAGTGTCTCCGGCAAAGCCAACGATCTTCTTGACTTCTGCTTCCAGCAATTGGGCCATCTCTTTTGCTTACGTACGTTTGATTAATCTTAAGATTTATAGTACCTGTAATATTAAATTACGATAATATACCTTTAATTACCAATGTAACAAAATTCTCCAATACAAACTATATAATCATATAAGAGAGAGAGAGAGAGAGGGAGAGAGATGATGATGACCTGAGAAGAAAGTAGTAGGTGGTGCAGTGATCCACTTTGGGAATTGCATGGATATTTATTGACCAATACGGGACGTTTAATATTTTTTGTTTATATTTTATTGTCTCGTGGTACACGACCACGATTATCTCTTATTTAAAACGATGAATCAATAGGTGATGGAAATAATTACACGTCGACGAGGTCTGTTGTAGTTGATAGAAAATAATCAAATATTTTCATTTATAGACCACACGCATAATTTTGAGTGATAGAGTTATGGGTAGAGTTATTGCCAACTCATATTGTTTTTGTTTCTTCTATTACTGTAAAATCAGTTAAAGTCATTATAAAATACTTTCAACAACAATGGATATTAAAAAGAAGTTTTCAAAATTATCAGTTCAAGAACACCAATTTTAGAAAACTTATCAAAATTTTAATCTAATTCATCTTAAAATAGAGAATTGAATACATATACACTTCGAAAATATTCCTACAAAAAAAAAAAACTTCTAAAATATTAGATTGATAGTTTGAAAATTTCCCCCGACAAAATCTAAAATAATAGAGTGGCAAGGGCAAATCAAACTTTTCACCATATTATCAATCGACTGGTGACTGCATGCATGTGATCATTTCATCTTCAAAGAAATTCAAAAGCAACATATCTTTCCTTTAGTAGTAGTAAGCTAATAATACCAAAGGGATTATATTTATAGTAATTCATTTGGTAAATTTTAGATCGGTAGAGGTTTTAGTCGCTTTCTATTTTATGTGATGCCTCGATGATTTATAGGTTTTTAATAACAAAATAATATGAATTTATTGGTCATTTACTTGTTAATATTTCATTAGATTTTAGAGTGTTAAGTTGGGATTAACACTAAACAAACAAACAAATAAGAAAAAAAAAATGAGAATTCTATATTCTTATTGTGAATTATGAAACCTTTGCTTTTAAAACAAAAGATCTTCATACTTTTTTATTCTTATCTTTACATTTTACGTAAATGGATTAATCTGTTTTTATGATTTTTTTAAAACTAGATGATCACTAAAACTCCAAGTTTCATGTATGTATATTTTTTGTAAGCAGACTGTTTCTAGGCTAAGATAGTAAGACTATGATTACATTGATTTTAAAATACATAAATTTTCTTCTTTAACTTATTATAAAATTAAATCAAATATATATGATTTTTATAAGTCATTGATTGGACAAAAGAATGTAAAACTCTTCCAAAATACTTAGATCCAATACACCAAAAAAAGTATGCAATTATAAATGGGCCTTATAGAAAGTACATACAAACACAGCCATAAGGCCTTAAGCCCAAAATTATGTGACTCAAAAACATACTATTGTATGAATGAGTAAAACACTTGTGATATTTTAATTGGGTATAACGCGAGTTGTCGAGTTCGTTACTCGCGGCGCGTGTAGTTTCCGTACAAAATAATCGTACAACAGCCGTCTCTGCGAGTCTCTCTGTGACTCTGTGTGTGCAGCTCACTCGCTATCATCATTACGGTTATAACAGAACAATATATACATACACACATATATCGATATATACACTCACTCAACGACAAAATATAAAGATCTCTTTCTCTGCCTCACTCGTCTTCTCCATTTACTCTTTTCTTTTTGTTTGCTCTCTGCAGAGTCTCTTCATCACTTTGTAGGAAAAGCAAAAAAGTTTTGTTTCTTTTCTCATTTTGATTCTTGAGAGATTACGATACGAAACAACCATGGCGCTCGTGGAATCTGAAACGAAGGCGTTGGGGAATCAACAGCAGCATTCTGCAAAGTTTGCTTCGCTTTACGTCGGTGATCTTAGCCCAGACGTGACGGAGCAAGATCTCATCCAAAAATTCTCTTTTACTGTTCCTGTCTCCTCCGTTCATCTTTGCCGTAACTCCGTCACCGGAAAATCCTTGTGTTACGCTTACATCAACTTTGATTCACCTTACAGCGGTAAACCAGACTTCGTCTTTTTCTTTTCTTTTTTAATCATTTCGCTTCTCTTTCTTAAATCTCTGGTTGTGGTGGTTTCTACGTTTAGAGTTTTTGATTTCGGGCTCTCTTATGTAATCGTTTCTTCGTTCTCAAATCTCTGACTTTGGTTTCAACGTTTGGAGTTTTTGATTTCGGACTCTCTCATATAATCGTTTATTCGTTCTTAAATCTCTGGTTTTGGTTTCTACGTTTAGAGTTTTTGATTTCGGACTCTTTCATGTAATCGTTCTTCTTTCGTCTATAAACCCCTAAAATCTTGTTAAATCCTAGAAATTTCCCTTCGGCGATTTCGTTTCCGTTTTAAAACCCTAGAAAATTCCCTATTGTGTTTGATTAACAGATTTTTAGGTCTTGCGGTTGATGAATCGCTTCTGATTAACCTTTGATTTATGTTTTCTTGTTGATTCTTTGGGTTAGCATCGAATGCTATGGCGTGCTTAAACCATACTGATTTGAAGGAGAAGGCTATGCGAATAATGTGGTCTCAGAGGGATCTTCAATACCGTCGTCGTACTGGGTTTGGAAATCTATACGTCAAGAATCTTGACAGCTCGATCACTAGCATTTGCTTAGAGCGAATGTTTTGCCCCTTTGGAGTCGTACTCTCTTGCAAAGTCGCTGAAGAGAATGGACAAAGTAAAGGTTTTGGGTTTGTTCAGTTTGAAACAGAGCAATCTGCTGTAGCTGCTCGTACTGCCCTCCATGGCTCTGTGGTTGATGGCAAGAAACTGTAAGTCACTTGTATTTAATTGTGACTTTCAGCATGATTTCTTATTGACTGAAGATTAATGATGAATGCTTGTTTGTTTACTTGGATTGTGCATTTCTTTAGGTTTGTAGCCAAGTTCATCAACAAGAATGAAAGAGCAGCTATGGCAGGAAATCAAGAATTCACAAACGTTTATGTTAAAAACCTGATGGAAAATGTTACAGAGGATGATCTACATAGTCTGTTTTCTCAATATGGGACAGTCTCAAGTGTTGTGGTTATGAGGGATGGTATGGGAAGATCTAGAGGTTTCGGATTTGTCAACTTCTGCAATCCAGTAAATGCTAAGAAAGCTGTGGAATCTCTTGATAAACAAAAACTTGGTAACTCAACTTCTTCATCTGAACCCAATACTTAGTACATTTTCATTAGATCAGAGTTTCTGGTTTTTGAACTTTCCTTTTATGATTAGGATCAAAGAGTTTGTTTGTTGGATTGGCACTGAAATATGATGAAAGGAAGGAGATGCTGAAACAGAAATACAGGGGAAACTTTATTGCCAAGTCTAACATGGGGTGGTCCAATCTGTACGTGAAGAACTTGAGTGAATCAATGAATGAAACAAGACTGCGAGAAATATTTGGAAGCTATGGGCAGATAGTCTCAGCTAAAGTGATGCGTCATGAGAATGGTAAAAGTAAAGGATTCGGCTTTGTGTGTTTCTCTAACTGTGAAGCGTCCAAACAGGCTAAAAGAGAGCTCAATGGTATATTATAACTACTGTAGTCTAGTTAGCTTATCCTTTTTCTACTAGACCTAGCTGATATTTAATTACTGATTAAATCTGGACGACTCTTGCTGCTTACAGGGTTTTCGGCTGATGGACAACCATTTGTTGTTCGAGTTGCTGAGAGAAAAGAGGATCGACTCAAGAGGTTGCAGCAATACTTTCATGGACAACCACATCATTACACGCAAGTTCCTCCTGTCCCTTCACCAGCTCAACCAGTCTTTCCATCTGTGCCCAGCAGCTTTCATGGACAGCCACGTCACACACAAGTTCCTCCTGTCCCTTCACCAGCTCAGCCTGTCCCCCCATCTGTGCCCAGCAGCTTTCATGGACAGCCACGTCTTTACACGCAAGCTCCTCCTGTCTCTTCACCAGCTCAGCCTGTCCTCCCTTCTGTGCCCAGCAGCTCATATAGTTACTTGCAGCCATTCCATTACGGGACATCTTATTACTATATGGGCGCTCAGTTACCACAAATGTTTAGCCACCAAAACATCTCCACCTATGTAAGCATTTCTCTGCATCTTCAAACAAACCCAAAGCCTGTCTTCGAATTAAATACACTCACACTTACTATTATAACTCAGGTTCCCGCTGGCCAGGCTCCTCTGAAGGAGAAAAGATCAGTACACCTAGTCTACAAACACCCGGTATGCCCTCATTAACACCAACATGTGTTGAATCTTCCATTATCTCCATGGTTTTATCTTAAGTTCAGAATGTTTACTCAGTCGAGAGTTTTAATCTCTAAGTTGATACTTTTCTGCAGGCTTATTATCCCTCTGCCAAAAGTGGTGCCAAACAGAAACTGGTCTTTAAGGCTGAGGGTAACCAAACTTTAGAGGCTGCAAAAGCAACAAAATCTGCTGAGAAACATAGAGAAGCATCATCCGCTTTGAAAGCAATGTTGTCACCAAAAGTGAAGAAGGCAGAGAAATCAGGAAAACAAATTGCACTGATTGAAGCTGCTTAATCATTGGCCCTGCTGCTGTGGCTTGAGCTTTCTCACTGCTTAGAATTGCAGTCTTTTCATTTTAACCCTTCAATAGCTTTTGCTCACGGAAATGGTATAGATTTCAAGAGTTTCGATCTGTAGATCTACAACTCTTTAGCATTTTAATCATTTTGTTTTTGTAAGAAAGAACATGCAGAGGTTGGTTGTATATAGTTTCTGGTACTTTTCCCAACAACAAAAGGAATAAAAATCTGGTACTAAGTGTTCTCAACTTTTTGGTTTTCTTGTAGTAAGAAGTTTCAATACATTTTTAGTAAATAGTGGTGGTTTGATACATAATTCAAAGAGAAACAAATGTATGGCTCAAGGTTTTACAGAAACAGCGATTCGAAAAGGGAATATAAGACAAATACTCAGAGATCATCAACCGAGGAGAGAGAAGCCCTGTCCGATTAAAGCACTGGCAAGAATTTCATTGGCAGCTTCAGAGGGATGGACACTGTCCCAAAATACATACTGAGTAGCATTGGGGCATGTCCCCAACGATTTCGGATTGCACAAGAGTGAAGTTGTTTCGACTGTTCCTGTTCCACAACATCCTTTGGTTGCTTCCGTGAATCCTGTTAGCCCAAAAAAAGATGAATATGTGTCAAGGATTATCTAAAGCAGCAATAATACATTATACATGCAATAAGTAGATATATATATCAGTCAATGTTAGTGAGTTACCGGATTTGGAAGGGTTCTGAACAAGATCATAGAGTGGAGTGAAGATGTCGAAGACAACAATTTTAAGACCAGAATATTGCTTCTGAAGCTTTGAAGCAGCTGCGTTAAGCTTCTTGTTGAATTGCTGAGCATCTGTGTTGAGTCTTTGAACACAGCCTTTCTCATGGAAACCGAAAAGGGTTCTTGCCGCGGGAAGACATCCCGTTGGAGGCAGAGAAGTCACACCGATCTTCCTTGCTCCAACCCCATACACTTGCTGCAACATTTAACCAAAAAACTCGAAATGTCTCATCTTTCTCGTACTAGTCTTTGCAATTGAAAACAGAGGATGGATATTCCAAGGAAAATGTTTTACCTTGATAAATGTAGAGAAGTTATCGATAAGGTAAGATCCGTACTGATCAACAGTGTAGACTTTGTTAAGCAGAGGATTCACATAGTAGTTTTGAACAAAGTCACTGCTTCCTGCACTTAAGAGACAGATTGCTCCGCTTATGATAGAATCAGCTTTTTTGCTTCCTGCAATTTTTATGAGCTTGCTCTTGTATTCCTTGAAATACTCAACTTGCTGATACAACGGGATCGCGTGCTGTCCCAAAAAAAGAATAAAAAATCATAAAAGGAAAAAGACAGATCTAAAAAGAAATGTATGAGAAGAAAGAACAGTCACTTACATTGAGAAGAGCAGCTTTGTCATCATAACCTGAAGCTGCAGAGGCGAAATTAGCACCAATGAGAAGGTTCTTGCCTGAAGCTTCAGGACTTAGATAAGCTGGTGGGTACTTAGTGAAGCCTAGAGTCTCAGCTGTAACAGAGAAAGAAACCAAACAAAACACAAAAGACTTCAGTTCCAAAACAAGTTAAAAGAAGATTAGATAGCTTGGATTACAAGTATAAAAGCTCTAACCAGTAATATCAGTAGCTAGCTTTCCGTTGCAGAAACGGCCGGTGGGTTTGTGGTTAGCGAAATCACGGCCATAAGGAGGGTAATCAGCTCTGAAAATGGTCGGAAGGTAGTTGTTGTTTCCGACATCGACTACAGAGTCTCCGAATGTCATGATGGCAGGAACAAGTTGAGCAAAAGAGATTTGGAGTACAGAGAAGGAAGAGACCAATGCGAGAAGCAAAAACGACATCGTGCAACGATCCATGTTTCCTTTTGGCTTTGGTATGTGCGAATGAATGGTGAAAGATTATATGTACTTTGGTTTATATTTATATATACATAGCCACATAGACTAAGAGGTTAGGAGTTTACTTCACTTCAATGTTGTGCTGCGTCAACTCTGAAACACACAGTCTCACACACACACACACACACACTCTCTCTCTTATTCAATACATCTCCAACTAATTTTGATTCGTGGAAAACAAATTGAACCAGCCTGTTTTTTTTTTTTTTTTTTTTGCATAATTCAATTTTATAGGTAATTCTAGAAAATGTTACCTTTTAATGGAAAAAAGATGCACATGGATGCCATAAATAGGATTTGGTCTGTGTTTAAAGTGAAAGGAAGATGGAGGTTGTGAGAGATGTATAGCTAGGCTAATAAATGAGAGTGGTTTCACGTCGCTTTGAAATAATTGATTTAAACAGTTCATATGTATAACAAAGAACATATAGTTATGTTAAAATATCTCCTTGATTAATATTGTTAGGCTGTTCTGTTTTTTTCTTTCTTGTCTTTGGGGATTGAGAAATTTATTGCTCTATATCTACGTCTTACGAATCAGCATTACTCTGTATGTAGTTTACAACTTTATACGTGGAAGAATTTGAAATAGATTTTAATAGATGCTGGGCCTTTGCATTAAGGTTTTTTTTTTACATGCATAAGGTGTCTGAGTAAAGCTGAATATAGTAGTTTAGTTATCTCATCGTATAAAAAAAAAAGAAGGGCATGCATGTAATGTAAGATAAGAATCTATAATTACAAATTGTCTTACATGATGAGATACAAGTAGAATAGGTCAAAATATTTAGGTCGCGGACGACGCTGTCTATAGAACAAACCGAATAAGGTAATATGCATTCATTATAGAATCGATTAATGCATTTTTCTGCCCACACTTTTATGTATCCTGTTATCATTGGTTACCAAAATGCTACGAATACGAGGTTAATCGTAAATGTTGACAACAACAAAATAATGGAGGCATTCGTAACTACGATAAACTCTTTCTTTTTCAAGAAAAAACAAAAAAAAAAGCAAATGTGATTAAGGAAAGAATTTCCATATTTGGAAAAAGAATTATAGAGAAATTTGGACCGTTTATTTATAACATAATACAGTAGTATAAGAATCCAAGACCTTCTTTTATTAACGTACATTGTAATATATATTAAAAAAAAAAAGAGGAACAATTTTATTAGTACTTATTATTTTCTACAAAATTTGACGACGATTCCTCATTTATCTCTCGCTCTCTTTACTTGGGTCTACGTGCTGTCTCCTTAGGCCCCGCCTGCCTCGCCAACTGCTCATTACAAAACTTTTCATTAACTTCAGCAAATAGTCAAATACTACTACTTACTACTACTTCCCCTATAAGTCCTAAGCAAAGTGATTGATAAAGTGGCTTGCCTGGAAATAATGTTCAAGCTTCTTTCTCAACGTCGAGTGTTCTTTCTTCAGTTGCTGAAATGTCCTCAAGCATCTGTGATCGAAACACCAGTTAGAACTTATTAGGGCGTCGTATATAGCAAAAGCTCTTCACTTTTGTACTCCGTAGTTTTCATTTTGAACCCATTATTTTGTATTTTATCGAAAACTAGACGCATGAAAGTGGTCTAAGAGAGTTATAAGGACGAACGTACCCTTCAGCATTTCCAGCTCGGCAGTATTCCCTAAACTTAGTGCATTCAGCCTTCACCTTATTTGCCCCAATGCTACCAAAAAAATAAACAAAAACAATATGTAACATTGCGTCAGTAATAGCATTGAGAACTATACAATTAAAGTTTAAAAATGCTAAAATCTAATCATATTATAGCCAAGTAAGTTCTGTCATTGAAACATGAATGATAAATGTTAAAAATCTTAAGCACATTTTAACTACTCATGAATTCGTTGCATTTCTATCAGAATTAAGGTGGGAAATTACCTGGTGCTGCTTCCCTTAAACTGATGCATGTAACTATCTAGCCGATTGAAATCAAATGATCCTCTTTCCCTGCATTGTCAATATATTTAATTCGCATATATTAGACAACCGAAACATAAAGTTGTATAAAAATAGACAAACGTTTAGAAAAAGATACTCACAAAGCTTGGTCAATGTTATTGATCAGTCGAGCTGAATCTTTGAAGTATAATGTGGATACTTCTTCAACAAAATTAGGGTTCGCATCATCTTGGAGCTCTTCTAACTCCATAAATTGTTCGTCGAGATATCCCTGCATGCATGTTCCCATATTAGCTACTTTTGTATAATTCATTTTTCTATTTCTTATAAGAAATTTCATAACTAGTAAGAAACTCAGAATATATTAATTATACATAATAAAAAAACACAATGAAACAAAAAGAATATAGAAACCTGATCAAAGAGGGACTGCTTAATGAGTGCCACCTGCCTCTGCATTTTTGTTTAGATTTTGAGAAAACTTAATAATAAGTGAGAAAACTCAAACTAATATTTCGTTGTTTTTATCTTGGGTAAGCGTGTGGTAATGCAATAATGAAACGGTGGACATCTGAGATATATATAGGGAAAGATAGAATATAAAATAATTTCATATTACATCAAAAACAAACCAAAAAAGTAGAAAAGTTAAGAGAATATTTATAAAATGATGGGAACCTGCAACGTAAGGAACATGAATTCTGTATTCTCATAATTCAAAAAAAAAAAGGAAACGTGTATTGGATTTTATCAGCTTATTTCGATAACAAATATATGCGTTAATTCTCAATATATATATATATATATATATAAGTTATTATGTATAGTAATGTTTATGTTTAAGTTTTAAATAGGAGAATTCTAGAATTAATATAGATTGTAAATAGTAGCGTCCATCAATTACGAAAATAAACAAACTACACTGTGGATGATCGATATATCTATTGCCCAAAAACATGATTGAAATGCTTCTAAAATAATTTTAAATTAATCATAAGGATCTTATGAATGGCGAATAGCATAATATATCTTAATTTTACTATTATTTAAATACTTACATCATAGAAACAGGTAAATTTCGAATTAGAACCTAAAAGCTAAACGTTGTTTCTGTACGAAACACATATTTGGAAATAGTAGCACATTATATACTAATAAAATGTATTTGGACAAGAATTTTTCTGAAAGTGAAAAAGAAAAGTTCTAATTTTAAAAATGGTATACAGTTCAAGAGAAATATATTCTCAACAAATCAAATGACAGTTTCCGTCTTGATTAATTGCTGACTATTAAATAAATATTAATTTTTCTACTATATCATTAAAAAAATTGGGTATATTTTAAGGTTTTGATTTTCCATAGTACAATGTTTACTAATTAAAAATAGGTCGGGGGAGATAATTGTTTGTTGCTGAAAAAAGAAAGTGAAACTAGCATTGTAAAATCGATTATTATTTCCCGTATTTTATAGCTACAAAAAAATAAATTAGCGAACACATATGAGCAATATATATATATATATATTCACATATTTATTATTATCATATTTTCTTAAATAAATGCAGTTCTGCATATTTGATACATATCTTTATGTGTTTAAATTTTGTATCGAAAAAATTTAGGACAAAAAGCATTTTTCAAAAAAATAAAAATATATAGGATAAAATTGATGTTAAATTTTCAATTAACTAAATAAGAAGAAAGTTAAAAGACTACTAGATATATTTTTGTGTGTCAAATATAAAATCGATTCTAGGTGTGTGTGTGTGCGCTCTGGTGGGAGGGGTGGTTTGTTGTGTGCCAAGGAAAAGGCTAGTGCTCGTGGCTTGTGCTCGTGGCTTGTGCTCGTGGCTTGTGCTCGTGGCTTGTGCTCGTGGCTTGTGCTCGTGGCTTGTGCTGATGCGTGTGTTGTAATCTCCTTTACTCCTATTTTGTTAAAAAAAGTTACTAAAAAGAAAAGAGAAGGGAATAAGATACATATGTCCAACGAGTAATAATAAACCATAAATTTCTGTTATTGGAAACAAGGAACAAGTATCTAAAAAGGAAAAAAAAACTGAACCAAAAGCAGAGAACATAACAAGTGTGATCGAAATGATTGACACAAAGACATAAAAAGATCTTTTTTTTTTATCATTACAGCATAATTTGTTCCATCTCTCTCTGTCTATCTCTGAGACAAGCATCGTGAGATATATCGAATTACAGAAGAGAGAGAGATTGGTCATGTTACATAATAAAACTTTCAGCTTTATTTATTCCTCCGCCCACCAAAACCAATCTCTCACATAAAGAGACTTGTCTAGTACATATATTTTTTTTTGGGTGGAAGTGGGTTTAGAATATAAGTTTTTATTATTGCTTGCTGTCTCATCTCGATTATTCTCCTTAATTCCGACCTTCCCCTCCTAACAACAAATACTTTCATTTCCCAAAAAATTAGATAGCAAAAATCATGCAAAAGCTTGTGATCATCATATCTAACTTACCTTGGTCTTTAAACCTAATGTCATTTTGTTTACATTCGTTCGAATGATATTAAGAATATAACCTAACTCATCCTAAGTTTACTAGCTCACAAGTTAAGGATTATCACATCCACCTTTATATATATATATATATATATATATATATTATCGATATTTTTCATTCTAGTCGATTTGGGGTATTTTTAGACTCTAATAAACAAAAATTAATTAGTAAAAGCATCAATCACTGTAAATTATTTTTTAAAGAATACCATCTTAGGTTTTTAAGAAAAAATATGTAGGGGATTTAGTTTTCATATACTATTAGGAAAAAACTAGGCTATAGACTAGGTTAATAATATAACTTATATACCTATATTCAAGAAAAAAATCAGTCTTGTGATTCTTTAGAAGGTTAGCTTGTTCCACTATTAGTTCCTATGATTGAAAGATTAAGAGATATATAATCGACTTTTAAAATGATAGATATTCTTTGAAAAGTTATCTTTGAGATTTTTTTTTTTTTTCTTTTTGTTGGATAGACATGATGCTGAGAATTTGTCCTACTAAAGTTATAACAAGTAGCTATTAGCACCTAATTTGAACTAAATATTTCGTAAAGGGCACAATGTTGACTGGTTCGTGACTGAAGATGACTCGTTAAAAGTTCACAAATGTCGACACAAAAATCAGATTTTTTTCTCTTCTTATAATTGTGCTTAATTGATTACTCAACTAAAAACATTCTTGTCTCAACAATATCCAATTATTTGAAAGACGTAACTTCAATCATCTATCACCCCGTTAAAATAAAGTATATGCTAAACACATATTTTTATCCTCTTGTCACCTTCATGAATAAAATTACACCTCTGCGATATTATGAACATGATTCCTCCCAATCCTAAAAAGCTATATATAATCATATACAAACTATTTCCAAAACCAAAATAAATAGGGACGATAACGACTAATCATAAATCAGTAAAGTAAAAACCAAAAATTATAGACCCGAGTTTACATTAAATCATAGGGAACCGTCTTCCGACATAACATGTTAATAATATCCAATTTCATTTACTCATCCCAACTAGAAAATACTATCAAGTCTTGAGTAGCTGTCGTGGTTGAAAGTTGAAACAATTCTTTTCAATTATATATATAATTCTGAGTTTGTGACAGGTGCACAGATTTTTTTTTAAAATGGTGCAATTGCAAACAAAATGGTTACTGCGAAGAAGTTTCATGAATACGTGTTTGTAGATGAAGCTGTACAACCACGACAACTATAGCAAACAAATTTCATTACTATTTATTTACATACAAAACTGAAAAAACCATCCTATTTAAGGACGTTTGACCATTTTTTTAGAGGGTTTGATTTACATATCGAAAGATTTACGAACTAAAAATTCTTTTAGGAATCGACGTTTCTTCCCAAGATTTTGTTCGTTGAATTTTTCGTTTGTATATATATATATATATATATATATATATATATTTTTTTGTGTTGTAGTTTTTGTTGTTATTTTTAGCTTTGGGTTTATTCTGCAACTTATATCAAAATTTGTGAAAATGGTATAAAGAAACACTTGACGTTGATTAAAAAAAATCTTATAAAGACAAGATGTTTAGTATTATTTCAGTGAGATAGGAACTCTTAGCCTTTTATCAAAAAAAAAAAGAGATAGGAAGATTTCCTAAGATATTAGAGTAGATGTCTAAAAAGTTCTTTATCATTCCTAAAGACCACGTACTACTAATACGTCTATACCTTAGACATACCTTAGACAGTTAAGAGAATATTTTTTTTATAGAAGTTCATTAGACGTAGAGTGATCGTTTAGTCTCTAGAACCCAAGAACATCTCATCCTTCGTTCTCTCACGCAATTCTTAGATTTAGCTAAACATAATTTAGGCTCGCGCAACACCATTTACTATCTTTACATACAAGGATGTGAAATTCTATAGAGTTAGGTATATAAATGACCACCTCAAACGCTTCTACCGATATACAGTAAATGGTGATATAATGTTGGATCCATCAATTCAAAAACGTAAAATAATAATTACAAGAATAATCCCGATACAAGAGCCGTACTGGTCGTTCGAGAAACGAAAGAGACGGTAGATTGAAGCACAAGAAAGGAACCTATTAAAAAGGTGTATGAAGATAATGTGAATGAATACATACACACACATTTGGAGAAATGTTGGCACATTTTTACTATTTTAGCATTGGAGAGTGGCTCCATTGGAATATATTTTTGGGAACTTATGGGGCTGTAATTGCAATCATTTACAAAATTCGACTTTACGTTCCCTTTTTCATGTTCTTGAAATATTATTCCCAACTCAGCATTGATTCTACTCCCTGATTTGATTTGTGCTGCCATTTCTGAAAGCAGCTTCACACCAAAGAACAAATGCCTCCTATCTTTTCTGTTTATATCCATTTTAATGTTCGACTCGAACATTTAACAGTAGATATGGTTGAACGGTAGCAATAAATTTATGATTTTGTAACATTTTCTTATTGTCTAAATCTCTAAATAATAAATAAGTATGCCATAAATATTAAAATTAATTCAGGGGTAAAACTGTATATGTTACGCTTATCTTATGTAAGTATGACGTGATGCTGAGAAATGTTGTGTTTGACTGTTTGGTAAGTCTGTTGTTACAGTTTGCTCTGTTTTTTTTTTTGTTTCCTTTGGTAAGAAGTAACTTGTTCTCTCTCTAACGGCTCAAAGCTTGGTTTGTTTCGTCCTAAACCAGGAACATCCTCTGGTTTAATCCGGTCTTCTTCATTCTTCAACACAACTAACAAAGATTTTTCAGATAGCCTGGATTGCGCTGTTGCCTTTACTCAAATCCGCACCACTAACCGAGCCATTTGAGTGAAACGCCGATGGCCTTGAGGGCTCTAGTTTCAATGACAGCGGGGAAGGAGAAGGTGAAGTTTCCGTTTCATGTTTTGTCGCCATTCCTATGCTAAGCTGAGACATACCAACCAGCTCGTCCATGTTCACCCGTTCTTTAGCAAATTCTGG